GGTGCACGTGACCGTCGGTGTTGGATTTCGCGATCGGTGTGGCTTCGCGTCGCTTGTCTCTTGCTTTCATCACCTTCTGTCTCCCCGCCCCCGTCCTCGCAACTCCGTCTACTCTGCTTTGTGTCTGCTCGCCTGAACCATGTCGACGAAGATGCCACCGCCGCCGCCGCCGCCGCCGAACCCGGCCTACGACCCGAGCCTCCGGTCACGGCAATGAGGCCGGGAGAAATGGCCGCGTACCTACAGGAGACAACCGACCGTCTCCTGAAACTCTTTGGAGGCCGCTTGGTTGAGGTGGACGAAGAGGAGGAGCTGTTGGGAAGGATCGTAAGTATTGACAGCATACTTTGGGCACCGACGGTGGTGTTGACATTCGACTTTGCAGATGGAACCCCTGGTGAACCTCGTGGTAAGTATACATCCATATCACGCATGGTCGAAGCGATGCTGACCATATTCTACAGCGCGAGGTCATGTTCGAGATCGCCTTGGCCTGGTCGCGAACAGGATCCCGAGGACCGTCCGGTGATCCCTTTGGTGCTCCTGTCGGCCATCGTGGAGCTCAACATCGTCGACGCGGAGGGGGTCCCGGTGAGGCTCTCGCTCATTCGTCCGGACGACGACCGCCTGCCGACTGAGTGGTACAACCCACTCGCAGTGACGGGTTTGTATTCCCCGCGTGGCTCGAGGAATGCAACCGCGGGACCATCCCGCCAGGGCCCAGCCGTACGCTTCCAGGAGCTTGCGGGAAACGACTCGGATGGCGAGGAGGAGGTGCCGGTGCGGACGACCGCATGGAGATCGATGACGAGGAACCGACGCAATCCCGGCGGAAGGGGAAGAAGCCCGCAACGAAGAAGCGTCAGCGGTCCACGACCCCGCCGAGATCCGGCAAGGGAAAGCAGCGTGCGCGCCGGCAGGACGACGAATCGCCGGAGGAGGAGGAGCTCGAGCGGGAAGAGGGGGAGGAAGGGGAGGAGGAGGAGGAGGAGGAGGAGGAGGAGGAGGAAGAAGAACAAGTCTCGGCGAAGGCAAAGGGGAAGCGTGAGTGCCCTGCCATCTGTCTGGGTGGCATCGCTGACACGTCGGTATCAGGCAAGCCGGGGCGCAAAGGCATCCTCAAGTTGGACACGCCGGACGCTACGGTAGACGCGAAAAAGGCCAAAGCCATCAAGAAGGACCGGGCGACATTCGTGATGGACTACGAGGCCGAGGGTGAGACCCGGAAGAGGGGGGACAGGGAACTGCGGGTGAGCTGCTGATCATCGTGTGTTCTGACCACTCACCTCGTTGACAGGATCCACCTTGCACTGCGTGCAAGGGATTCCCCTGCTACATCTCGGTCAAAAAGGTGTCAGCATTCGGAAGGACGGCAAGCCGAAGAAGAGAAAGGTCGCCGCGTGCGACTTCTGCCATGTGAAGAAGACCAAGTGCGAAGCCATCGACACCGAAGGCACATTCAAGCCGCAGAAGGCTGGCCGGGGAGGTCGTCGAAGAAGTCGTCGGCGGGAAGTTCCCGCGCAAGCAGCGTCGCCTCCGAGCGCTCCGACAGTGTCGCCGACGGGCCCCCAACCACCAACGGCGATTCGGACACCGAAAGCGAGAACGGCTCGGTCGCGACAACTGGGTCCCGGCGGAGCACCAGACGCAGCAACACCCCGTCGCGCCGCCCGACCCCGGTCACCAAGCAGCCTCCAAACGGAAGGGGAGTGCGCCGCCGTCGAAAGGAAAGGGTAAGAAGGACCGGGGCGAGGGATCGTCAAAGGCGGAGACTGGCCCTGAGCCCCCACGCAAGCGGGCGAAGACTGCAACGGACCCGCCGCCCGATCCGAGTGACATCAGTACGCTGGCTTTCCCTCCGTTGACCATACGCACCACTAATTTTGTAGGGCGTATGTATCCAGTTGGCCCGGGTGGAGTTCGTGGTTCGCTCGGCCGCCCGTGGTGGTCATGCAACGCCCGGCGGAGCTCGCCGGGAACGCGGAGCTGCGTGTCCGCGAGCTCGAGGGTGACGTCCGACAACTCAATGAACGGGTGGCTGCGTTGGAGGCCATGAACAACTCGTTGCTTGAGCATCAGCGATTGCTCGGTGAGTTGTTCTGCTCACATTGACTGTTCGAACTGACATTTCGGTCAGGTCTGGCATTCCTGGGAGAGGGTGACCAAGAGGCCTACATCGAGGCCCTCCGCGATATGATCCAGGGCGCGGCAAGTGGACCGCAGGGACTGACAAACGACATGGGACGGACGTCGATGTCCGGATCACCACCGCCAACGCCGAGACCATGGAGCCGGCGCCGGGAGCGGACATGCATTTGGACGATGGCATGCGTGACCAGCTGGCGGCTACCACGTCAGGTGCTCCGGCAGGGCATCCTGCAGTCTTCGATCAGGCGTCGTCCCGGTGGTGCCCTCAAAGGTGAGTTTACCCATCTGGCTTTCCATTGATCGTCAACTGTCTAACATTCATACCTGACAGTCCCCGGTCGGAGCGACTTCCGAGGCTACCGTGTCCGTGCCGACGGTACAGGCAGCCCCGGCGCCACCGCCACTTCCCCCTCGTCTCGCCTGGGCCAGTCGCGAGTTCGGGACCGGTGCAGGCGGAATTGGGGGCTTCATCCCGAGGCCCCTGTTCAGCCAGGTGCCTCAGCTGCTGGCCGCCGCTGCCATCGCACCGACTATCGCACCCGCCCGATCCCCGCCCTCGAGTATTCAGCCGTTGCCCACCACGTTGGCTGCAGCACCATCGGCGGCTGAGGTTCCCCGTCTCCCGCTCGCTGCACCGGTCAACTCCACAACCGGCATTCCGTCGGTGGCAACCTCCGATACAGTCCGCCTCAACAGGGTACCCCGGTTGTCACATCGGCACCGACAAGCCCGGCCTCTGTCGTCCCACCGGGTTCGGGCAATGGCCCAGCGGCGCCACCTCCTCCGGCTGAAGCACCCCCACCACTTCCGCCGAACTCCCCAAGGAATCCGGGACCGGGCAATCAAACGGGGCCCCAGGTCTGGGGATGTGGAACCGCCGGTAACGGGCTCGGCGAATGAGATGGATGGGGGCAATGCGGTGGAATGAGATAAGCCGGGAATAACCTACCTGTCCTGTAGAATACGTGTAAACCTCAGTGTAACATAGAGTTCGCCAAATGTACAATGTATCTCGTGCGCCAAGACCGGACTGAAAGCCACAGGAGTGCCCGAGTCAAACACACACAAATGCACGGTCCGAGAACGTCACCAGCACCTCGGCCCGAGACTTCACCAATCATTCGGACGAGCATACCACCGATTTTTGGGCCCAATAGGAACACCGAGTTTCCTGCCACCATGTTTCATCGAATTCTGCACCGGGGAACTGCACTGAAATCCTGGCCCGAGCATTGCACCGAAGTCCCGGACCGGGCAACTCACCGAACTCTCGGCCGAGAATCTCACCGAACTCTCGGCCTGAGAATCTCACCGAACTCTCGGCCCGAGAATCTCACCGAACTCTCGGCCCGAGAATCTCACCGAACTCTCGGCCCGAGAATCTCACCGAACTCTCGGCCGATATCACAGAACTCTCGGCCCGAGCATTTCACCAAACCCTCGGCCCGAGGAGTTCACACAACACTCGGCCCGAGGACTTCACATACCTCTCGGCCCGAGACTTCGGTGAGAATCTCGGGGAGCGCACTCACACAGGGCTAGCAGGTCAAGACACCGGTGATGCATTATGGGAGGTGGGAATGATAAGGTGGTAGGCACGTTGTTGAAATTGAACGTATACAGTAGCAGGATATCTATGTATATTTAACGCCGGCGAGTGGACGATCTGGTCGCCTTCGTGCTCTTTGCCGACCGCTTTCCCGGCGCCGGCGATGCAGACACATTGGGCTTGGACCGTTTTGCCCGGGCACCGATGGCGGATGATTTCTGGGGCTCTCCATCCGCCTTCCGCTTCTTCTGCATGCAGTATGCCATGTCCGACCAGAGATCCGCGATCTCGGTGCAGTGTTCCCCAATTCCTCGACAAAGCGGTATGTCAGTTGGGATTTGTGCACGTACTGCGGGATTTCCTCCTCCTCGTCACTCCGGTGCTCGGTTTTCTTCTCGACATCCTTTACAACCATTGCAATGGCCAATGTGACCATGAGGCCGTCTTCCCGGCCCATCTGAGTGTCGGTGAGGCTTGTGCGGATTCTGGTGAGCCAGGAGCGGAACTGCGTGAGGACAGCCTTGTCCGTATGGATATCCGGAGTGCACCTTGCGCGGCGGTACTTCCAACTCGCCCAATCCCACTTCGTCTTCGATTGCCATGCTCCGGTCTCCGGCTGGTCGCTGCTCGTCAACACCACGTAGCCCAGGCCTCAAAGGATGCCCACCAGGTGGTGTAGATTGTCTACGAGCTTCGTAACGCCGTCGTCCACGGTTAGCTGCCTGATCCACTGCCGCCTTTCGTCCCAAGTCTTGCCGGCGATGGCTGGGCTATCTTCGTGTGGCTGTGGTCCAGGACGACCGGTGCGTACTGCCGGCACGTCCTTTGTCTTCTTCGGCTTGACTAAAAAATGAAAGGATGTTAGATGTGGCACATGCGACACTGACCGTTACCTACCCGGCGTCGGCAGAATGACCACCTCGCTGTCGGCGTCGGCTTCGGATTCGGCCGGAGCCTTTCTCTTCCGACTGCATCAGGAAACCACCCCTGCGCGAATGTGGCGCAAATCGGCGTCAAATCACCGCGGCGCGCCGTCGCTCCGAATGGCTTGTAAATCGGTGCAAACGCCTTCCGAACAGGCAGAAACACATTTCATATACACCCACGTCAAAAAATGATGTACATCGGATGCCTCGATTGGCTGTGATTACAATACACAACAGTAAATGTACACACAGCTCATCTCGTCCAGCTTCGCTCCATCATCTCTCCTCCTGCCCTGTCGTGCTTGTTGTATACTGAATTCGCTAGGACGAAGGAGCCAGTGGTCGCGTCGTGCGAAGACCCATGTCGAAATCTCTCCGTCACCGTGGGTGCGCTGCGTGCCTGTCAACTCGGAGACAGCCGTGCATCTGGTCGACGCAGTCGCGGATGTGGGACGTACCACGTGTTGAATGGTACGCATATCCCGACTACTTGTTGCGCTATGTGTGAGCTGTTCGCGGTCAGGCCAAGGGTCCGCGGGTCCACGGGCAGGCAGCGGGTCTGTTGGCAAGTGGGCGCACGGACGAGCGAGCGATCACGTGGGCAATCGCGTGGACGAGTGGGTGGTCAGCCGACCGAGCAGAGGAGAGCGCGGGCGAGGGGGTGCATGCGAGGCTGCATGCGAGAGCGCACGAGCAACAGGGCGCGGGCAAGACGACACGCGGGCGAGGCGACAGACAAGACAGCGCGCGGACGAGGCGACGGGTGAGCGAGACGACGGGTGAGCAAGACGACGGACAGACAAGACGTTGGGCAAGCGAGACAGCGGCTAGACGGCAGGAGACCGAGATGAAGAGCGAGCGAGCCCGTGGGCGAGACGGACAGCGGGCGGGGAAGCGGGCGGGGAAGCGAGATGGCGGGCCTATGTGGCGGGGCCGTGCGACGGGGATAGGGTGATGCGGGGAAGCGAGACGGCGGGCCAGAAGAACAATGGCCGAGCGAGACAGCAGGCAAACTGACGGGCAAGTCAGTGGGCGAGTAGGTGGGCGAGTAGGTGGGCGAGTAGGTGGGCGAGTGGGTGGGCGAGTGGGTGGCGAATGGGCAAGCATCTCGTCGTTGTCTTCGTTCTGACAGAGTAGCCAGCAGGACATGCTGGATGGGGCGTGTCTGCATTCCTGCGCTCTGTTGTGCGAGTGGGTGAACGTAGCGCGCTCGATGGTACACGTCGCACGTTCACTGAGCTCGAAGCCATGGGCTTGTACGTGCGTCCCGTCGCCTGATAGAGCAGTCAGTAGCTCGTGCAAGACGGGTGGTGTCGCATCCATCATGCCTCACCTGTCCATTGACCACACCTCAATACCATCCGATCCCCAGCCTACTTCGGGACTCACTAGAGCACGCGCAGCTCGTTCGCACAGTGGCCGAACTCGGAGTGCACCGTCGTGAAGACCTTTTTGCTCGTGGGCGGGTTGCGTGGCGGTGTGGCAATGCATCGTCGAAGTCGGTACCAGGGGTCGTCCAAAGCTCTATCGGAGCTGCTTGTCGTAACGGAGTTCGACAGGGAGAGGGCGGGAATCGAGTGGGCGAGCCTCTGAGGACGATCAGCGAGTAAAATTTGAAGTGCAAGCGCCCACCTCGGAGTTTACCGATGTGGGCGTGCTGAGCTGGCGGCTGGCAGTCTAACTCTTCCTCCCGTTTCTTCGCCGCGAAGTCCTGTGCCCTATGAAACCAAAGCCCTGCGAAGCGTCGGCTTCCGCGTGGCTCTCCTGAGACGCAACGTATCGGCTGACTTCGAACTTACTCCCTGAAAACAAGGCCGCAGGATCGCGACGAGGGCAAGACGACTCGAGAGGAAGGGGCAGTCGATTCCAAAGAGAACTCCAGACTTGTAGGTGAGTTTGTGTGCCTGCTTACCTGACTACCCTTTTACAGTTTAGTGGGACGTGACCTTTACAAGACCACCGCCCGCGATACGGTGAACGAGCTCGACCAAGTCTATCTCTCAGCGACCGGTCAGAGCCTCATCAACGACGTTGGACTCTTTGCAGACACTTCCATCAACAGCGCACACTCGGTGCTATCTGGCCATCACCATCACTCTTCCTCGCTCACTGTGCTCCAGCTAGCCCTGGTCGACACGTTGCTGCTCTTAGGGTTCGTTCCGACGTCTTGCTCGGCCATTCCACCGGTGAGGTTGTCCTTCTTTATGCCAGTGGTGCGGGACCGAGGGCTCTCGCTCTTGAGCTCGCCATTGCCCGTGGCAAGGCTATATCTCTGCTCGAGAAGGAGGACGACACGATGGCTGCCCTGGCTTGCTCACCGGAGCAGGCGGAGCCAATCATCGCAGAAGTGCTCGCAGAGCTCGGTCGGGTGTGCTCGAGATCGGGTGCTACAACTCTCCCGACGCAGTTACGCTTTCTGGTGCAACTGGTCATAGCGACAGGGCGGTCGAGAAAGCTAAGAAGGCTGGCATGTTTGCCACGAGACTTCGCACGCGCATCCCGGTTCACTCGGGAATGATGGACCTCTGCGAGGAGGACTACAAGCGCCGCGTGGGAGAGATCTTCCCGAAGTACGAAGTGACGTTGCCTACCGTCGAGACGTACTCCACGTTGAACGGCCAGTAGTAGACCGACGCTTGCTAGCTATATCTCTGCGATGGCGGATGCCTGCGTTTCACCCGTGCGTGCGCCCGCCGAGCGTCTGTCACCTCTGGCACTGCCAGCTCTATGGCACATCCGCTCACTCGCTCTCTCGCGCCGGACTTGCCCCCTCGCATATCTAGGTACTGGCCGTCCGTGCGTGCTCGACCGGCTCGTCCACCTGCTCATCCGCCCACTCGTCCACCTGCTCATCCGCCCACTCGTCCGTCACCCGACTGCTTTTTCGTCCGCTCGACCACCCATCCACTTGCACTGTTGCGACGGCGGGCGCGGACAACGAGCGGGGACAACGAGCGGATGTTGGGTGCGGAAGACGAGCGGGGACGACGAGCAGATGACGATCGGACGACAGGGAAGGTGTGGCGGGCGAGGGCGAGAGTCCAGCGGTGAGTGCAGACGCACGCGAGCGAGCCCACTAACGTAGACACGGAACACAGCAACGTGCAGCGGACGACCGCGAGCACTCAGGGCCAATGCCCTAGGTGCAGGCATGGCCGATGGACAGACGGCGGCGGACGAGTGGACGAGGGAGCGGGAGAGTGAGCGGCGGGCGGGAAGTCAAACGGGTGAGTGGGTGAGTAAGTGGGTGAGCGGGTCAATGGGTTGACGAGTGCACTAACGGGCGTGTGGCTGGGTGGACGAGTGCGCACTGGCAGGCGGGTGGACAAATGGCAGATGGCAGCATACGCCCCCCGCGACCGTGATTGCCCAGCACACACGCACGGCCAACGAACGCACACGCACGCGAATGACCAGGCCAACGAATGGGTACCGGGCAAGCAGACAAGCGGGCTGGAAGACGGGCAGACCGGCGGGCGATAGGGTGCGTGAGCGGATGAGTAGGTGAGCAGGAAGACGGGTGGGTGCGCGAGCGGGCGGGCGAGAGGGCGAGAGGCGAGAAGGCGAGAGGGCGAGAGGGCGAGAGTGCGAGAGGGCGAGAGGGCGAGAGGGCGAGAGGGCGAGCACACGGACACAGGGCGCGGTCAACCACCACGCGCACGGTGACCGAGAGCGCGCTGGGCAAATGCGCAGCTCGCAGACACGGCCGACGAACACGCGCCCGAGTGGGCATGCAGACGGATGGATGGACGGGTGGGCGACGGGCAGACGAGCGGACAGATGGGCAAGCAAGCAACCAGACGAGCGCGAGGGGGCAGGCACGGCAACAGCGAGCGCTCTGGGCGAATGCCAGCTGTAGGTACGAATTGAGTAGGGTGGATGTAGTGGCTATGCGTGTAAATACATGCAAAACAATGTGAATTGAAGTACCCAGATTGTATGGCCGAGCTAGTATTTCCTTGCAATTCACAGCCATTGAACGTGGATTCACGCAAATTCGAGCGAGGGAATCAGGGGGGTCAAGTAAATGGGGTCTCCAGGAGATTTGTGCGAATTTGTGCAGATTTCCACAAATTCGTGTGGGGTAGGTTTCCTGATGTGGTGCCAGCTTCCGGATTTGCGTCAGGCCGCTTAGCAACCTCCTGGGTTGCTGGGTCAGTGGTGGTACGATACCTCGGCCTGGGCCTGATTTGCTTCCGGCTTCCAGAGGGCTCGGGGCAGGCTCCGGCCGGTCGCTGGTGGGCTTGACACCAGGCTTTGCCGGCCGGGCCTTGCTCGGCGCCGGCTTTGAGGTCGTGTTGCCCGCTTCGTCAACAACTTCGCTTCCCGCTGTAACTGCGGCAGGCCCCTTCAGCTTGCCAGATTTACCTGCTGCCCGAGCTGTCATTTCCGGATGCCCGCCGAGTGGGCTCGGGCTTCGAAGGCGCAGTACGTGGTGCGATACCCTTCCCTTTGTCCTTCCGGGGCGGCGGTGCCTCATCGCCATCCGTTGAGTCGGGGACCACTTCCTTCTTCTTCCCCTTCACTCTGGGTGTAGGGACGGGGCCGGCGGCGCCTCGTCCTCGTCGGTGCTATCGTCGCCCTTAAACAGATAGCTGTAGCTCTCCTGCTCATCACTCTCGACCGCGGACTCCTCATCGGAGGTGACGTCGGCCTTCGATTTGCGGCGACGTGGGCGGGACGGTCCGGGCGTGGCCTGCCGGGCCTGTTGCCTCGGTCGCTTCACGGGAGGTCTACGCTTCTGAACATCCGGCACTACGATCTCCATCTTGGAGTTCTTCAGGCCTTGACCGACCTGGGCCCTGCGGGTGTTGTCCTGCCTCTCCCGCCAATGCCTCAAGATCGGTCCAGGTCCCCGGGCGCATCTTGCTCGGGTCATTAGAACGCTGCCGCGGGGAGGTATTCCGGATCAATGAAGGAGTCCGATGACTCGGAGTGATTGCCAGGGCACCTTAGCCGGTAAACGTTCGGTGAATTGAACTGTGGGTGAAGTGTCAGGCACGCTGATTGTCGCAAAGTCGTGTGACGCACCATACGTCTTGCGGACGAACGTCCCCAACATACGCGCTTGAACTTCGTCTCTTGAAGCAATCGTGATCCGCTGGAGGCAACAACGGGTACCCGTCTTCGTCCTCGTCCAGTCCATGTCTCATCAGTGCTGCCGGGCCCGGGCTCTCTTCGACCCGAATCCATTCGCATCTGGTGACGCTTCATTCAGCTGTCGGACACACTGCGGAATCTTCCACATACCAAAGGCTCCTCGACGTATGTCTTCCACAGTCATACATGATTCCCGTTTTCCACTCGGGCTGACTCCCGGTGACTTCGGAACCCTCGGGGCGCCTTCCTCCAGAACATCTCGTCGTTAAAGTCGAACCTGCCAATGCGTTCAGGACACCGAAGCAATGTATTACCAGTAATGCACATACTCCAACACACCGGTCTTCCCGTCAGCCATCGGTACCCGCCGAGCAAAAACCCTCATCCCGCATTTCCTCCACATGTCTTCATGAAACGCGGTCATGTTGGCGCGTGTTTTTCCAGCTGCTTGCGTTGAAGGTCGGCTGGCCACACCTGGGTATTCCATCCTTGCGACCTGCATTAGTCGGCCTGGTCCTCCGGCGACAGATTGTGCAGAGTTCCTCAGGGCGGTTTGGTAGATGCCCGGAATGTCGTGCCGGGTCACTGGCTTCCCTTCCTTCTCCTCCTCTCCTCCCCTCCCTCCTCATCGCTTCCTCCTCATCCGACCCGTCCTTGCCCCTCTCCCGACCAATTCTTGTCATGATCTCCCGAGCTCATCTCCGGTCCGGGCGGCCACCGTCTCCACGTTATTCCCTGCCGAGCTTGAACATCTCCTTCTTGACCGTTCCTTCGACCCTCGGCGGTTCGAGTACCATTTGCCGACACGCTACCGGACATTCCTCACTGACCCATCAACTGTTGGACTACGTACCTTTCGTAACACGGCATCGAACTTGTATTGCTTCCGGGCCTCGAGCCGTTGAATGCTGTTGTCAACAAGCTCTTGGCGGCCCTCGGGATCATCGGAAGCCTCCTGCCAGGCCTTCAGATTGCTTTCGAGAATGACGAGGTCTGGTGCCTCCCAGGACCTTTCCCATGGCGAGCGTGGCTGACGGAGTGAGGATGCAGGGTGAGCAGGCTGTAGTGTCGACGAAGTAGTCGTACAAGGGTGGGTATATTCGGCGCTACGGAGACAGTGATCCCGAAGGCCTGTTCGTGACAATCGTCGACTGTGACCTTGCACGGATGTACCCGACCGCAACAACTGTGTTGGGCTAAGCATTACATGATCACATTTGTTCTGTACATTCACCCTTTAGCCGCATCCGGCCGCCCTGATGGGAAGAATTCCGGCCGGCTCGTCACAAAGGACGGAAGACAATGGTTTTGTCAAAAAGTGTGACTCCGTTGCCTCGCTCTCGAGGATCCCGTGCATCCAGATTCTACATCACCGGGCACAGGTCGAGGACTCCGGTTACCCCGTTTCACGAGGTCCATCACCGGCCGCACCGACTAGGCGATCGCTGAATCTCATCTCAGGGGTCAATCTGATTTTCGGCCCAAATGCAACCCATAATTCTTCTAGCACCTCGTCTGCCCGGATGAAACCCATTGCACCCGACACGTGACCCGGCAGGCCGGCCGGACCGGTGTGATCGATACCTTGCCGGCCGCATCATTGTATATGCAAATGGGGAGCAACCGCCGGCCCATTACGCGGCCGCTTCTCATGAGAACCATGAATTTCATCGGAAATAGCTGTCTGATTTGGGCGGCAACGATCGGTTTGCGACTCAGATCGGTTTCTCTGGGCCCGGCCCCACTGTCTTCGGTGCACGTGCGGCCGGCCGCTCCAAAGTGGGGTAGGTGACTATGGCAGGGAAGACGCAACTGTGTGTTGACCGACGGCGAGACCACGCTGCACGTATTCCTTGTTCAACTGGCGGTGGGGTGATTGCGCCCCTCAAACGATGGGTCGACTGCGGCCAATAGCAACCTCGCCCGGAGTGGTTGAGCTCACACTCAAGAAACGAACTACAGCAAGGGGTGTGCGGTCACGACTTGTCGAATACAGAACAGCGGGTTACAGACTCCACCGGCTACACCCCGTCGAACAGCTCGGTCAGCGACGAGACAGTTAAGCTGGACACCACCAACCGATGATGTTGCCAACACAACATTCTGTGATTTCAGTTCAGTTCGTCAGACTGCCCCACAGGTGCACAGAATTCCCAAGTGTTGTTGTGGACTGAGCCTTACCCACACCATCAGACCCAACCGCTATGCTGAGAGAATGGATCCCCCTCCAGCACAACTACCTCCGATCCCTGTACGCCCACTACACACCCCCGCCGCTCAACGCGGAGGGCAGCTACATGTGCGCCGGGTGCAACAACGGTGGCGGTGTGTGGAAGTGCATGTCCTGCATCGGATATCCGATCTTCTGCCCGACGTGCTGTCTCGCCGAGCACCGGCGAACACCATTCCACCGGGTTGAGCAGTGGAATGTTGGGGGATACTGGGAACCTGCATGGCTCCGTCAGGTTGGAGTATCAATCAACCTCGGGCACCGAGGAGGGGAGTGCTCCCAGCCGGCGGCTGTCTTGGACGATGACGAGGACGGAGAAGCCAATAGGCCGGCCAATGCTGCCGGCGACGACGAAGCCGAGATACCTGCAGACCCTCTGCATCACGCCGACTCGCCACCACGGCCTCCACCAGCCATGATGACTATTGTTGACACGTCCGGGGTGCACTTCCTCCCGGTGACGCCGTGCGGATGTCCCTGGGCCGGTGACCACACGTCGCAGTTGCTGATGCCGGGCTGTATCCGGCGAGTCAGCGGAAGGCTCGCACGTGCTTCACCTTTGCGGTCTTAGACGCGTTTCTTCTGGACAATTTGGAGTGCAAGACTACGGCTATGAACTTCTACCAGCGGATACGCCGGGCGACAACCCGGCTTTTCCTCATGAGGTACCCGTGAGTCAGTTGCCGGAACGCCTGCTTGCCCAGATGATCACCATTGCACAGGATCGATATCTCGAGTTGCTCCGGGTAAGCCGGGAATGGGCGTTGCTGCAGGCGAAGAAACAGTTCGGGTACGGGCCACAGTGGCGGGGGGCTCCGGGAAACGGTGACCTCGCTCACTTTTGCCCGGCGTGTCCGCAGCCCGGAGTGAACATACCCGCGGACTGGGAGGTGGATGATAGGAAGTAAGTAGTTACCCTGTTCACCGGTATACGCCAGCTGAACTGTTTTGGAGGTACCTATATGCCCGAGGATATGTCATGGATGGGAACTTCCACGCCGAGCAAATGAAAATGCGCAAGCCCGAGAACGACGTACCGTTGATGCCGGGGAAAATGTTCATGGTTCATCCCGGCCCATACGAGGAGCACCTGAAAGTAGCGAAGGACGTGAAGATGGTGAGGGTGGTTACATCGGCCATGAGAACGTCTGGCTAACACGCCCACAGCACTCAAGCTGCAACGACCACAAGGCGGTCTCCCAGGCCAACGCCGACCGGCATAAGCTGGCTGTCACCGGGATCGGCGCAACATCTTGTTTGAGGCACGGGTGCTTCCTTCCGCACTCGGTAGTGAACTATCAGAAGGGTGAACGTCAGATGAACATGGACTACTCCCTTTCCAACGCCCTGGGCTATCGGTCAAGGGGATTGGGCACGTTTACCTCTCGTACGACATAATGTGCCAGTACCATGTCCATCTCGACGACCGGTTTGACCAGAATCCCCACCTGGAGATGCCCGGTGGCCTTGTGTTATACAAGTGCATCGGGCTCTTTCACATTCATGGTCATAAGGCCGAATGCGAACTCCGGCACTCTCTCACATTCACCGAGGGGGCCGGGCAAGCTGACGGCGAGATCATCGAAACCCAATGGTCGGGGATCAATCCCGTGTCGGGTAGTACACGCACAATGTCAACATCCCATCGGCAAGAAACACTCGACCGGCACATGAACAACTGGAATTGGAAGAAAATGATCACTATGGGTAGGCCTCTCACTGATCTTCGGAGAGAACACCGGGCTGACAATTGATAGTGGCATCGCTGAGAAGGAAAATCAAAGCGAACCGCCCACTGCTGGCGGAGATGAAGGCCGACCTGACCGCGAAGGAGGCCAGTGTCGATGCCGAAGTTCTGGGAGCGTGGAGGAGGGAACTGAGGATAGTACAACGGAAAAGGCTTCGGGATGTCAAGGTAATGGATAGATACCAAGCCAAGAAACAAATCAGTGGGTCCACTGGCCACCCAGGCTGATTTAGGTTCTGATATGATCACAGTGCCATCCCGGCTCGAGCTTCAAATAAAGCTGGCGGAAGAGGAGGGAGAGGGCGAGGATCGCGTCGGGACAGCGGACTGGATCGCAGATGGCCTCAAGCTTGAGGAGCAACAGTAAGTGTTCCACACCCATTGTCCGGTGTGTTTCTGACGTAAGTCCAGACTCGGAATCCAGAAGGACGTGAAGAAAATGGGGGCCATCGTTACTCGGCCGCAGGAGCTGAAACTGGCGAAACGGAGGAAGACTCTTGAGATCCAAATCCGGCGTTTCCACAGGCGAGCGGCTGCCATTCACCGAAGGCATAACTGGGGCATCGCAGAGCAGGATGCAGTGGAAGACGATTCGGGGATGAATGGGAGGAGGACCGCAACGACGACAGCCCATGGCGCCTCTTTTCAAGTCTACCACCAGCTCCGTACCCGTCAAAGGGTCCGAGCATACCAAACTCGGCCTACCGTCCAATTTATCCCGGAATGCACTTGCTGCAAATGGGTTGCAACGATTGGCGGCACATGAGCTGACCCTGCGCCGTGGACAGGCAAATGATGCGTTGCAGCAGCTGAGGATTCTCATTGGCAAGAAATCATTCGAGTTCCAGACCACCATTCGGCACGGGAGGAGGGAAGGCCACACAAAGCGCACCCGATCCTTCACGAAGTTGGGGAAACTCGACCGAGCTGTGCAGCTTCAAGCTGCCATTTATCGCCGGGCCCGAGCCGCCATGCAAGTACTTGGCGTCTCGGGAGAAGAGCAGGCAAAGTACAAGCCACTTACAACGGATGATCTCAACACAGTGACTGCAATCGCCGAGCCTAATAAGCCGGGACAAAGGCATAAATCGTCCTCGTGGATATGGAATGTCGACGTCGGTGGCGACATGCGGAGCGATGACGAACTGGGAATCAGTAGGAAACATGCGCGTACAACATTGGAGTCTTTGCTGACATTGAGTACAGTTCACCGGGTACAGTGGTTCCACGCCCGGTCAAAGGTTGACAGATTGGAGGAGGAAGCTGCGATCTTGCGCCGGGAGCTTGACTCCGTGTGTCGATACTTTGCCAACGAAGCATCCCGGTGGCGGCAGCTGGCAACGAGAAACACGCAGGCCGAGTACCCCGGGTTCTCACAACACTGCCGGGCACAGGCTGCACTGTTTGATCGGCTGCATCAAGATGCGATGGTGGCATGGCGGGATTTGTACATTGAACCGAATGTTATGACATAGCTGTACCGACTGTCCATTGATACAGAAAATGTCTCTCCGGGAGAATACCATCATTCCGACGTCATAGCTCCCAGGGTCCGAGCAATAGGCCCAAGCCATACATCGCGCACAGCTCCTCCGTGAACCCAACTCCGAGCCCGAGTGCATCCCCGAACTCTCGGCCCGAGCACTGTCCCGAACTCTCGGCCCGAGCACTGTCCCGAACTCTCGGCCCGAGCACTGTCCCGAACTCTCGGCCCGAGCACTGTCCCGAACTCTCGGCCCGAGCACTGTCCCGAACTCCGGCCCGAGCCTGTCCCAACTCTCGGCCCGAGCACTTTGGAAAACCTCGGCCCGTGCACTTTCTGAACCTCTTGGCCCGGCCTCGGTGCAGGGAGTGTCCGTGAGAATGCAGCACACCTCTATACATAACATTGGCATCCCAATAACCTGTCGGTCGTTGGATCTTAGAGGGACTGGCAGTGCGTTTAGAGGGACACACCGAATGCGTGATAAATGTGACCGGGCAAGGATTGTTATATTCCATGCCAGGTCTCGGGTAATTAGTGAAGGGCCTTTGGCATTCAAAACTCTAATGCAAAGCACGATAGCAGGAGAAAAGCGCCACTACAGTTATGACGAGGTGGTCAACCCTCTAACATTCCATCCCGTGCCTCAACAACATCAAAAAGCAACATGATTCTTTCCAGGCGATCATCGGTGTCGGGCACACGCATGGATACTTGGCTTCTTTCGTATGTGACCGACAAAATAACCTGCCCGAACAGATATCGGGTGATTGAATATGTATTCGGCCGCCCGGCGACAATCTCGGCATGCCTAAGTAATAATGTTACCAGGGCGCTCTCCAATGAACCGTGGGAAGCACTCACGGGGTGGACAATGCAAATGCAAGGAGCTCCCATCTGAAAAACGGAAATGTTTCCGGAATGTATGACTGCCCATCTCGGTTAATGCACGAGATGGGATTGGTGGGAGCGACGGGAACACACCATATCCATATTGGAAGAGAAAACAAGTGTGAGCTGAATGTAGAAGGACGGTGTGATGGGGTGATTAAGCACAAATACTGTCACACCACCTGAATTGCGAGAAGTCATGTCTCGGCAATGTGACACACGTGCCGAGCATCCCATACCAAAGAAGGCAACCCTCCCAGAGTCGAATCACGTGCTCTAGATTGGAGATCAGTTACCGATAAGACCTCCATCGCACTGTGTCCACATCAACTACCATTGCGATTACACAGCCCCCGCACTCTTCACCGAGAACCTCATAGTCAACATGAATGCAATCCTCACCAAAGTGTTGGAAGACATCAAAACCAATCTCATGATTCCCAAGACTCTCCAAACACTTGCCGAAGCGAAAGGGAATCCCGCCGCGCCCGGGGCACTTGACAACTTCGTTGTCGGCCTGGTGAGTGTGCCAGGTACTGCTTACGTAGACTCACAGCAAACGAACAACTTAGTCGGTTTCTGCCCTCATGATTGGCCTTCAGGAGCTCCTGAAGGCCGACGTCGCCGAAGCCTACGGTCTCACCGACGCCATGTCCGCCTACTGTGAGATTGTGGCCCCCCGGGTGCCGAAGAGGTGGACATTGTTACGAATGTAATCAAGGGAACCACAATGGTTGGCGATGGTCAAAATTCAACGCCGGAATATCTCCCGAGAATGCCAGTCTCGGGCGGAGAGCACATAGGTAATGTTCGGGCCGATGCGCGCATCCCCGGTGATACTAAATCCGTGGCATGGGAAGGCGCGGTAAATCAAACCGTGAACGACCTACCCGCTGGAATTACTACCCCGGAAGCAATGCTGGAGGAATTGAGAGCAAACCAGGCTTGTATGGACGACATCATCAAAGACCAGCTCCAAGCATCCAAGGATCAGCTTCGGCGTGTCTCGCAGCATCTCGAGTTGGAGAAATTGCGGGTACGTCGAACGGATGACCTATCACCCTGCTAAACGGTCATGCTAATGCATGTCTTAGGACAAAGTCACTGTTCGCGCCGAGCAAATTAATCGCGTACACCTGCCCAGATTTCCGCTCCCGGCGAAACTCTGCCCGGATGAAATGCCAGCCAGTATGCCAAACAACATGATGAAATGGTTGCAGCAATTGGGGAAGGCGATGAAAACCATGGACATTTACATACAGGCAGAGCTGAACTTTTGGCATGCTGCCGCCCGGGCCAATGCGGCCGAGCTGGAAGCCTGGCAGCGCGGGGAGACTCCAACGGCCCCGGCAGCAGTGTCGTACTTCCGGGTGATTGATTCCGCATTCAAGTAATGTTCACCGTGGTATTGTATCAGACTCCAAAGTAGTGCACAATGAGATGTCGATGTTACTGAGATGTGCCTGTGTTTCCCCGGTCAAACCTACGTAATGTCCCGGTGTGCGTTATGCGCATCAGAGCATATTGTGATCAACAAAGAACATGGATTGTTATGGACCCCGAAACGTACAGCTACGGAGTGCCAAATGTATAGCCATTTCCCTTCGCTAACCACTCTCCCCGCCTCCCGTCCTCCTCATTCTCCAGTGCTGCGCCAACCGGCAGAAGGCACATTTGCCCAGCGATGTACATTCCGTCGCATAAAATACGCTACACACAACCGCTCCGCAGATGAAAGCGGAACCTCATGGGGGAGGCGAGTGCCCGAAAACGCTGTCACTGTACCACTGTGATAGGGAAGCCTGAGATGCAATGTCGGGAACCGGATGACCTGCTCGTGATCGCCCCCGATGGTCATCAAAATGTCATAGACATTCAGAGGAGTCATCTTGTCGCGATGAACCGGGCTTGCGCGGTTTGTCACCACCGAGAGCGCATTGAATGGGTTTTGCCACGTATCCACAACGCTGGCCCGGTCTGGATCGCTTCGCAAGGCTTCAACCGAGGCAATACCGGCGTCATATAAATCCGGGTGCATAATGTGCAGCACACCGGAGATGATGATATGCGGATAGATCATCTCGGCCAACCACGCCCGGCCGGCGACGGCAGTGTTCGGATCGGCGAGCAGTCGAGAGACACTTGGCACATCGTCCGCGCCCTGCTCGTTGTGAGAGAAATAATGTCGAAAACGTATTGGAATACGTACGTCGTGTCCGAGCTGGAACCATCCCGGTGAAAACGACACACATGCCGGGACGAGCTCGTCCCCCTCCTGCGGCTGCCGGAAGTTCGCGATATTTTCCCTCCAGCCCGCGCTAGCCTTCGGGCGGTTCCGGGCCAAGAGTGGGTTGAGGTCCATCGTCGCATCCCATATTACACCCTTGTATTTATGTATTGTTTTAGAGACAGTCGGCAAAAGCCCTCTGGATTCCGGCGTACCTCAAAGGGCTCTATGATCACGCCGGGAAGATGCCACAACAGCATCCGGCCCTTACTGTCTTCGATGGTGAGCGGGTCTGAGCAATCATCGTATTGCACCGTGGCCAATTCATCGTCGTCCGGGACGGCACATGGATGAGTTGTTGCATCCCACGGCAAAGTAACTGCTCATGAATGAGTAAATGACCATGGAAGCTGACAACTTATGGGCACGTACGTCGATTATTGAACGCCTTTGCAAGCATCTCAGCTGCACGCCGGGCCTGGCGGACGAGATACACATCGAGGAGTAGTCCGGGGAGTGGAGCACGCGGGGCGCGCGATTCCGGTGCCGAGAGGAAGCGAAGATACATTGCGTCCAAATACGACAAGTACTGGACGCGCACCTGCTCCGGTGTGATCATCGTATGAACAAGGCAGAGGCAGGGGAATGAGCAGTGTCGCAAGGGTTCAAGGCAATGCAGAGATATATCAGACAGACATCCCCGCACCAAACCGGCCTCGTGGGTACCTTCCGTTCGCCATGAGGCTACCTCATGCCCTGGATAAGATCACGAGTCGATGCCTCCACCCGAAGCATAGATCCATAGTGATCCATATTGATGTGAAATCACAATATGATGTCCCATCACCGAAATTAGCGTAGCCCCTTGGACAATGTATCACCCGAGTGGCCGATGTAATCTCGGGGCGCCGGTTTTGCTGACAGGCAAGGCCGGGCGCAGCATTGAGCAGTGAGGGGTGGGCTGGGACGCGCTCCGGCCGGAGCGTTGACACGCTCGGTAAAGGGGGCCGGGTGGAGCGTTGAGGAGTGAGGGGTGGGCTGGGACATGCTCCGGCCGGAGCGTTGGAACCCTCGGTGAAATACGCCGGGTGGAGCGTTGAGCAGTGAGGGGTGGGCTGGGACGCGCTCCGGCCGGAGCGTTGACACGCTCGGTAAAGGTGGCCGGGTGGAGCGTTGAGGAGTGAGGGGTGGGCTGGGACACGCTCCGGCCGGAGCGTTGGAACGCTCGGGGAATAGAGGCCAGGTGAAGCGTTCAGGATGGGATTTGAGGAGGGGAGGGCCGGCCGCAACGTTGGCGACGAGGCCGAACCGGCCGGCATGCTCTCCGGCCGGTCCACTGGCAACGATCACGTCTGCAACGTGGACCCGGACCCCTCCGGCCGGCGCCGGCCGCCACGTTCGAGACGGGCGAATCTCACTCCGGCTTTAACGTTCCGAACGTTAAATCTTACTCAGTAGGCTCCTGAGGTCTCCCCTGAGGTTGAGGAGACGGCTGCCCCCGCCCCCAAGACCTCGCGCAAGAAGGGGCCGAAGTCGCGCGCCCTCATCTCGGACAGCGACGAGGACACTCCGGCAGTCCAGGAGCCGGCCTCCCGCCTCGAGGAGACTGCCCCCGCCGCCGAGGAGACTGTCCCCGCCGCCGAGGACCCTGCCACGGCTCAGGCCCCTCAGCCCTCCGCCGAGTCGAGCGCAGCCCCCGCCCCCATCCCGGACACGTCCGCAGCCGGCGAGAACCCCGTCGACTCCATGGACGTCGACCCCCAGGTCCCCGCGCCGCCGCCCCCGCCTTCGTCCATCCCGCCCCGGTCCCCGCCTCGCCCTTCGCCCCCCCGCCGCCCGTGGTGTCACGCCACTCAACACCTATCGCACCTGAACCATCTACTCAGAGTGCGCGTGACACCCCCGGCCAGCTGGATCCCTCGCTGTGGTTCCGCTCGCCGACGCGCTCGCCGACTCGTCCCCCTGCCGTCCCTCCGACCATCGCCGCGGTGTCGTTCCAGCTGGGCTCGACTTCGCTCTCCCGTGCCCCGTCCGCCCCGCCCTTCGTCGACGACATGAACGTCGACGACATGGCCGTCAACCAGGAGCCCGTTGTGCCCGAGGTCCCGGAGGCTGGCCCGTCCGACTTGCGCGGTCGTTCGACGAGCTCGCGCTCTGAGTCGACTCGGCCGTCGTCTCCGCTGTCGTCGGCCTCGTCGGCGTCCCCGACCCCCCGCAAGCCGAAGCGCGTTCGCGAGCCCAGCAGCAGCCCGCCCAAACCTGACGCAGCCCCGCGTTGCTCGAATCGGAAGGCCGCCCCGGTGAATCGGTTGCAGGCGGGCCCGGCGGCACGCGAGGAGCGTACTCCTGGTGCCGGCGCCGCGGATGCTCGCCAGAAGAAGCGGTCGAAGAAGTGAGCCTGTCGTCCTGTCGCGTGGCCGCGTTTTTTTTTGCATCATCTCATGTACAATTTAATGACCGTTAATGACGAATGTTATCGTGTGTATCACTGACTTGTGTGAGAATAAGACTGGATAAGAAGACTAAGAATAAGTGGACTACGAATAAGACGAGGGTGGCCGCAACGCTAAGTCCGTCAGTCGAAGGCACCTTCGTGAGGAACGGGCAGGGACTGGTGAGCCGACGGCGCACCCGCGCGGGAGGGAGCCCGCATGACCGCCCCGCCACGCTGCAGTGCGCCATCGGCGCACCCCGAGGAGGCGGCGAGCGAAGTGCACTCGGCCCGCCCTGTCCGCCGCAGCCGGCTCGCGGGGCCGGTGTGAGCAGGTCGTCACCGCTAGTGCGCCATCGGCGCACCCCTCCGCGGTGACTCCCATGCTCACACCGGCCCCGTGTTCGCCTGGCTTTTGGCGGCCAGTGGCGACCCTGTGCACCGCGCTCGCCGCCTCCTCGGGGTGCGCCGACGGCGCACTGCAGCGTGGCGGGGCGGTCATGCGGGCTCCCTCCCGCGCGGGTGCGCCGTCGGCTCACCAGTCCCTGCCCGTCGGTGCCGTGGCTGCTCAACCACTTCTGGACTTGTCGCCGCGTCCACCCTCTTCTTATTCCCATTTGCTCTCCCCTCTCTCGTTCGTCCTCCGTGTGGTGTGTCCACGTGCTCAAGTCCCGGGCGCTAAACGGAATTAGCGCCCGTTAGGGTTAGGGCTTGTGACGAACCTAGCCGTCCAGGTTGCTTGTTTTCGTCTCATAACTGATTCGTAAGCTTCTTTACCCGCACTCGTGCCGGCAGCGCGAAAGGGGGTAAAATACCCCTACAAAATGGGTATTCGGTAGTAAGTGCATGAGTGACGCATGAATCATTGACGTAGCTATATTATTACTGTACTGTGTTAGTGTGTTGTGTAGAGTAATGATCTGTCTATTCACCCGCATCTGCGCTGTAGCGCGAGTGCGGGTAACAGTCTCGGACAGTGGTCGTTTACCCGCAATGGCGCATGTAGCGCGAGTGCGGGTAAGGAAACAGGAAATTGTTGGGTGTTCCTCATGTGCAGAGGTCCAGTTTTTTGTGAAAACCTCGCCCTGACCCCGCCCTGACCCCGAACATTGGTCGAAAATCCCCTATAATTGATGGGTGTTCTCCATGCGCAGAGGTCCAGTTTTTTGTGAAAATCTGCCCCTGACCCCTCCCTGACCCCGAATATTGGTCGAAAATCCCCTATAAATATATTTCCGACCGCGTAGCGGAGATCCACAACTTTAGAGACCTGGAATCAACCTGGAACAGACCTAAACGCATGAATTTAGCTCGGGGGGGTACCCCCCCGAGCTAAATCCCGGCTGCGGTGTCGCACTGCTATCCTAAAGCAAATCAAATCCTTCCGCATTTGGCCTAGCGCCCGCAGGTAATGTACGGGGAGACGAGCGCTCTGCGATTCCAACGCGGGCCTGTACGCTCCCGATCAACTCCCGATCCATCCAGCTCGCTATTCTGTCCTCGGACACTTGGACGGCGGGCTTGTCTGCTGCAGCACTTTGCTTGATGAGCTTCCGCTTGTTGGGCTGACACTTGCTGGGGTTGTAAGTGTTGTACACATCCTGGTCGTATTGGCCGGCCCTGATCGTGTTTGCCTTGTTGATGTTAATCGAGGCTCGTTGTTTTTCTCCCGTTGCGCTCGTCTAGAGCGCGCTCATCCCGCTCATGCTCGCATACCTACCTGCCCATCTGCGTCGTGCTCACCTGTGTCATACCCGGGCCCGCATGCGCCGTGCTCACCCGTGTCGGCGCCGCTGGCGCCGTCGTGCCCGCATGTGTCGTGCCCATTGTACTTGGCTTGCCCCTGCTGTATGTCCGCGTCTTAAGCGTGCTGCTCGTGTTCGTAGTGGACACACTCTTCGCACTCGTCCTCGCCGGGCTCGGGCTCCCTGGGCTCGTGCTCGGCAAGCTCCAGCTGCCTGGCTTGTTCAGTGCGCTGCCGCTCGGCAAGGCCGTCTATTCTCGAGGGCTTGTAATGTGGCATAGAGGAAGAATGGGCCACGGCTCATCGCGCGCGTGTGTGGAATCCATCGACACCGTGACATTGGGTGCTTCTGCAAGTACGCAGGACGAGTTGTGCTCTTCGTCAGCAAGGTGTACATCGAGCAGAACATTTGATGTACTCACTACATCATGACCGTCGGTCGTGGGTAAACGGAGCACAACGTTGGATGTGCAGCGACACGCGTCCGACGTGATGCCATGCGTAGCAGCGGGTACGACGTAGAAGTCGTCCTGAGTGACAGAGGAGCTGACGTCGTGGCCAGCAAAGCACACGACGGACATCTCGTTGATCAGTCACCTGCTGGCGCAAGGGCAGCCGTGAATGGAGTGTCTGACAGTGGAGGCGTACCTTTGAGCTTGATGCCTTCGCGCTCATTCTATCCGCTCGCACTACATCATTCGCCTTCCTTCCTCTTCTCACTCGCCTCCCGTCCTTCTTGCTCCAGGCTCCTTGGGGGTTTCTTGCTCGATGCAGGACTTCTACGCGCATGCTTAAGTCCTGGGTTGTGCGGGTGTGTCACCGGAGCCGCGTGTTCGGCCAGAGGTTGCCACAGCCTGAGTCGAGTGTTAAAGTGCAAAGGTTCACGAGAGGGACGTGAAGTGTCTATCTGAACATTCGGTGGATAGGCTGGGAGTTGAATGAACGTTGAACGTTGACGCGTTGACGGAGCAGGTGGGAGATGGTTGAGCGGAAAAGCGAGAGAACAGCGCGCCGTGCGAAGCGCTCAATGCGACTTACTACGCCTGTGAATATTGTATATTGAACATGTGCATGAGTACTTAACCTCTCAGGTGTGTTTACTCGTGGTATTGCTCGTGGATCGGGCGGCGCGTGAGGTAGCAACTGCAGCGGCGGGTCCAAGGCACAGAGGCTCTTCGTCTTCCCAGCCCGGAGACTACTACCCAATGGGTTTTGATTTAGAAGTGATCTAAACGTTCTAAACTCGTCTTACGGATTAGAAACTCGTTCTAAACAGAATTAAAGCTCCGCTACAACTCGTTTAGAGACGATCGGTCGGTTCTAAATCCTTACGGATAGTCATCCAATACGCAATGTGGGCCCACTTCCCCTCCCACTGATCCCAATGCAACATGAGCCCCTCCACAAAGTAATGTGCGACGTCCTCTCTCGAGATAGTATACCCATCCCCAAGCTCGCAGTCCTTCTGCCTATAAGGCACTTTCCCATTCTTCTTCTTGTCCGCTTTGCACGCCCCGCTCGTGAGTAACGCCGCCCGGATACCGACAACATGCTCCAGCTCGCCAAACGCGGGCAGGCCAGGTAGGCTCGTCCAGTCTGCGGAGAGTATCCCCGTGGGCGTCTCGTGCGCCCACTCCCACCCCGCGCAGTGCGCGATGACCCACTCCATGGCGAGCTTGTCGGCATGCGGCTGGTGGAGGGCGTAGCCGTAGAGCGGTTTGAGGAGGAGTGGGAGCTCGGCGTGCGCGGCGTGCGAGAGTCCGATAGAGGAGACGGCGATGAAGCGTGGCTGGGCGGAGGGTCTACGCAGGGAGGCGGGCATGGTGATGACGAGGTTGAGAAACGACTGAGCGCAGAGGTTGGGCGGGTTGACGAGGAAGCCTTTCGTCATTTGGAACGAGGGCAAGCCACCTACATGGACAAGGTATACTTCGTGTCGATGCACGGGAGCAGTGACACAACTTACCGACGGTGAAAATGACGAGGTCGATGGTGCCATCCTTGGCACCCTGTGCCGCTTCTCAACCACGCTTGACATCTTCTGCCTTCAAGGCATCGCCCTTGACGAGGCGTGCGGTTCCGGCACGGATGTGAGCCTGAATTTCCTGGTTGTTGTCGAAGACAGAGGTCGAGCGCAAGAGGAACGTCACTGTAGCGCCTTTGGCTGTGACGGGCACAACATTGAAACTAATCACTGAAGGATGAAACGGAAAGGTGAATAAACTTACCAAGCAGTCGACGCGCTGCATGATAGCCGATGTTGCGGGATGCACCGATGGAGAAGACATTCATTGTGGGAGGCTAGACAAGTAAAGAGGTGACGACGGGAATTTGTTACATACGATACCGAGAGCACATAGGTCGTCTTTAAATACGAGCTCCCGGGAGACCGGAACGCCTAGCGCAGTAGCGATGTCGTGTCGACGGGCACACGGAAGTACAGTGCAACAGCCCACGTACTCCCTCTGCATGGATCGGTATGACTGGAAAAGCCGCCAGCTGACGTACCCACCGCTGCCGCTGTCCAACTGGACGCAGCGAGGATCAACTATCATGCTGCTAACTAGCGCAGCATCGAGTCACGACCGATTTGAATCTACCGCCAGTGTCCTAAGGCCACATATCGGGCGCACAAGCGACAGAACTCAGATGCGAGACAGGGGGCGATAGCCTGCGTCCCCGAGCATGCACAGCGTCGAACTCACCCGCAGTTTGCACATCGTTGAGAAATTGAAGATACGGCACCGCATAGCCTGATCTGCAGGTAAACCGCATGAGCAGTAGGTGAGGAAGTACGGGTAAAAGACGGAGGACACATTGAGAGCACATACATCGATGACACGACCGAGAGTCATGATGTGCAATAACAGCATACGCCTTGTTCACGGAAAGGCGGCGTCAGGTTTCCGAAAGTCGCGGGATGCTGAACGTCAAGTCGCTGTTCCATGGCGGACGGCTCAAACGGGAAGGGAATGATACGGCACATGCATGAAATCAGGAACTGCTCTACAACTCCATCTGCGGATACGTCCTAATGATGAGCCTCCTTTGCGATTTGCGCAGCATATGGGTTGCGCGGGTCGTTGCGCCACGTCTCGGCTGCGGGCATTGCATGACTTGAGCGATACGTAGCAGGGACAAGGAGACAGACATACACTTGACACCCATGTCCTGCGCCTTCGAGACGAGGAAGAAAGTGAGTGCGCCAGCGGCGACGAAGGGCCACATGGGCTTGGCGACCTAGAGCGCGGACGAGTTAGACAGATAGAGTTGGATGCAAACGGGCAAACATGCAGGAGTCGGCCACTTGCGGAGACCCAGGAAGCTCATGTTGGGATCTAGTCTTTGCAGAAAACGGTATGAGCTGTGTGAAGTAGACGAGGGAATGGAAGAAGGACACACCAGACGATGTGGACGAGAGGAAGGAGAGGCTTGCTCGCGTCGGGCCAACTCGGTCCTCACTTTGCGCTCGGGGTTTCCTACTTTCCCGTTTGGGCCGGCATCAGTGGACAACTCTAAGCAATGCAAATGTAGCCTACAGCGGGGTTTCAACTGCGCGACGAATCGCCGACGCGGTGGGCGCGTTCGCATGCACGATGCAGAAGTAGCGGCGGTCGTCGTCCCACATCTCGAGCCAGCCGAACGTGGACTGTCCTAGGCTATCTTCACTTGCTACTCTCTTGTTTTGCCATCGTCTGCCAAGGGATTCAGCTCTCGTCTTCTCCATCCTCTCAAACCCGCTTGCAACATCGTATACAAGGCATTTGTCAAACTCTCCGGGAGCTAAAGTCAGAAAAGCGGAGAGGAACGTGCTCCCTGAGACGTATTTAGCGGACCATCATGGCCGCGCCCACTGCTATACTGTCAGCGCCCGCAGTGAGTACATGCGATCTGATTCCGTAGCATTGCCAGGAATGATCAGAAGCCCGCTTCTAGTGGAGGCATTCACGTTCTTCGACGTGGTCCCTGTGAAGGACGTTCACGACCTGGCCAGCACGCCCGAGATCTTCAAGGTGTGTGGTGCGTCTGCCCGTATCCCCTGTAGCCTAAACCATGTCTGCGCAGAAAACACCAGAGATATCGACTGTCGCCGCATCCTCGGTCGGACCTTTGGTAGCGGATATTCATGGAAGCATCTACAGCCTCAATCGCGAGTTCGAAATTACGACTAGCTGGATAGCACACACTGGCGGGCGCGTGACACATATGGTTGAGCGGAAGGGCATCCTGGTCACCTTGGGGGTTCGTCACTCCGTCTCATCCCTCATTATCGACATGCTAACGTACGCATAGGAGGAAGACTCTGCCAGACACCCTGTCTTGAAGGTATGGAACCTCGAAGTGATGGACAAGAAGACCGGGACCCCGGTGTTGTTGCGGTCGATAAAGCTCCAGAGCGGCAGCCGACCTCATCCTGTAAGTCGCCCAAGCTGTACCTGCTGGCCCTGCAATAACCATCCTGACTAGGTGTCAACAATGGCTGTTACAGCCAATCTGTCCTATCTCGCTGTCGGCCTCGCTGACGGGACAGTTCTACTCTACCGGCACCTCGACCAGTCGATCTTCTCTGGCTCCACTTCGCTCACGGCACTACCCAAGCCACGCACAGTACACGAATCTCCAGCCGAGCCTGTTACAGGTCTCGGCTTCCGCGAGCCCGACGAGGAGACGCAGAACGTCTACCTCTTATCGTCACTCTCAATCGCGTGCTTGCTTATCAGGCATCGGGTAAGGGTAGCGGCGCAGCCCCGACTGTTGTGAGCGAGGCTGGCTGTGGGCTGGGCTGCGCTACGATGGATCGACACGCCAAAAACATGGTGGTGGCTAAGGACGAAGCGATCTACGTCTGTGGTACGGATAGTCGCGGATCGTCTTATGCGTATGAAGGTTGGTCTGTCCGGCTCCTCGCGATGGTTGATGCTTATGGACATTCACAGGTCCCAAGGCTTCTATCCACACGCACCGGAACTACCTCGTCATTGTATCCCCTCCTATCATTCCAACTGTGACGTCTGCTTCGGCGACGGTACGCAACTTCGCCGCCAGAGCGAACTCCTCTGCCAATGCGGATATCACGAAAGTTGCTGTATTTGATCTCGAGAACAAATTCGTCGCCTACAGCGGTACGTTCAACGAAGGCGTACGAGAGGCCATCTTCGCCTTCGACAAGATCTTCGTCCTGTCCAACGATGGAGTGGTGAGTTCAATTGCCTCCGCGCTGGATCGGTTCGGCTTGCTGAATTCCCGTAGTTATCTTGTTTGGAAGAGAAGCCTACGCCCGTCAAGCTGGACATGCTGTACCGCAAAGGTCTGTACCCCACTGCTCTGAATTTAGCGAAGAGTCAGCAGCTCGACGAGGCGAGCGTCGCGGAGATCCACCGACAATACGGTGACCATCTGTATACCAAGGGCGACTACGACGGTGCGATGCAACAGTTCATCAAAACGATCGGCCACGTCCAGGCGAGCTATGTCATTCGGAAGGTGAGTTAGATACGTACAGCCGTTGCTCGTGGCAGCTAAACTGTTGACATTCATGCAGTTCCTCGATGCCCAGCGAATACACAATCTCGTCACGTATCTACAAGAGCTGCACGCGCAGGGACGGGCCAATGCGGACCATACAACGCTCCTGCTGAATACGTACACTAAGCTGAAAGACGTATCCAGGCTAGATAGCTTCATCAAGCGTGAAGCGTCTCGTGAGACGGACGAGCTGCCGTTCGATCTAGACACTGCTATTCGTGTTTGCCGCCAAGCGGGCTATTTCGAGCACGCGTCATACCTAGCGAAGAAGTACGAACGGCATGAGGACTACCTTCGAATCCAGATCGAGGACGCAGGGAAACACAAGGATGCTCTCTTGTATCTAAGGAAGCTAGGGACCGAGGCTGTACGTGTTTATGTCCAAACAAGCAGCACCCACTCACCGATACGTCTCGTAGGCGGAGGCAAACCTTGCTCGATACGGCCGCGCTATGCTCAACAATTTACCGGAGGAGACGACACAACTACTGATTGACATCTGTACCAGTCTTGTCCCACTCAGGTTCGACGAAGACGAGGAGCGTGCGACCCCGATTCGCCAAGCCAGTAGCAACGGACCTTCATATCTCTCCTACCTCGCTCTGAACCGTTCAGCGACACCAGCGCAGGCTTCAGAGAATGTGCCGCCGTCGTCTGCTTCTACTATGACTGCTAGGCCTGCAGTGATATCTGGACGCGACTCTGCTCCCGAGACATCGAGAGCGTCCACCCCTCCTCCTGCGACGCCTACGGTACTATCTGTTGCAAAGACGCGATCAGACGGAGTCAAGCGTCCTTCGCCACGGCTCTACTTTGCCCACTTTATAGACCACAGAGACCACTTCGTGCGTTTTCTTGAAGCCGTGGCGCTCAAACGTTGGGGGCAGAGCGTGGACGTCAGCGTCGCGCCCCAGTCGGTCGAAGCCGACCCAAACGCCGACGAGGTTCTTGAAAACCAGGACCAGATCGCGGTTTGGAACACTCTGCTTGAACTGTACCTGGGTCATACGGACGACGTTGAAAAAGCGCTACGTGTTCTACGCAGCACGGACATCCCTTACGATCCGACTCATGCTCTGATCCTTTGTTCAACGCGCTCATTTGCCCCCGGACTGGTTCTTCTGTGGGAGCGGGCGGGCATGCATGAAGATATCGTCCGTCACTGGATGGAGGCACACCGCAATGGCGACCCGAAGCCTCTGCCGAGATTGTACGGGCGCTCGACAATTATGGCGATGAACATCCTGGGCTATATCCGCTGGTACTCCGCTTCCTGACGTCGTCACCAGAACTGCTCTCGCGTCATACGGAGGACTTGCAGCGCGTGTTGAAGGTCGTCGAAGAAAATAACATCATGCAGCCCTTAAGCGTCGTGCAGGTACTCAGTCGGAACGGTGTGACGAGCGTGGGTCTGGTTAAGGACTGGCTGATGGCGAGAATCAGGCAAGGGCAAGAGGAGGTGCGAACGGTGAGTCTTCGCAGTCAATATTAAGGGCTCTATTCTGATACTCAAACCTGGTATAGGATCAGCAGCTTATCGACTCATACCGCGCAGAGACCCAAGTCAAGTTGCGACAAGTCGAGGAGCTATCTGACCCTGATCATCCTCGGGTATTCCACGTCACTCAATGTTCTGCGTGTCAAGGCCAGCTCGATCTTCCAAGCGTGCACTTCATGTGCAACCACAGCTACCACCAACGGTACGTTCCTCAGCTCTGGGCCGCACTCGTTGTCGCTGATTTCGGCGACCGTATCTTCCATGCATTTTGCTCACCCACGTTCGCGTTATGTGCCGTAGATGTTTGGGCGAGCACGAGACCGAGTGTCCCAACTGCGCCCGTTCGCATGGTATTATCAAGGAGATCAGACGAAACAATGAGCGGTTGGCGGATCAGCACGACTTGTTCCTGCAGGAGGTTCGGGAGGGTGGGTTTTCTGCGCTTGCAGCAGGCTTTGGGCGAGGATCGCTCAACGCTGCGAGACTTGAGGATGTCAGCGCGTAGATTCCTCAGGTTGGGCATACCTCTGTACCCTCTGCTTGCGTCCAAGCTCTCTTTGACAATTGATGGCTGCTTCTTTTTTTTCGGTCGGACGCGAAGAACGTCCCTAAGTATACACAACACAATGCTTATTTTCCTTCTAGAGTGCGCCACTGGCAACGCCGAACGGTCCCAGCACGAGATCGGCGTCACCGGGTCATGGCCGAGTCGCTATGTCCCTCCGACGTCCCGGTGGGCCGTCTGTTTTGCTTCCGTCGTGGTTGATTCCGAGCTGATACACGCGTCGAAGGGCCGTTAGGACAGCATGGGTGAGTGGCGGGGCAGATGGATAAGTGGCGGCCAGTGACGGTGAGCCACTCCGTTGCTTTGTCCTCGATCGCCGATCTTGCACGCGGAGGAACCATCTCAGATCACGCTTTGCCCTTGCAGCGGGCGAGCAGACGGGACAAAGCACGTCGTCAAAGGCCGTCAATTGCACTCTTTGTCTCTTTGTCCTTCGCTCGCTCTATCATGCCTCTAGCCATAAAAGCCAGGCACGATGTGCCACTCGTCCGCTCTCAGTCTGCTGCCCCCTGTCCCTCGTCCAGCCTGCAGGTCTTCAACGATCCCCCTGTGTGTAGCGCATACTCGACCCCAGAAACATCAACGCGCTATCAGCATGGCTATATTCGGCGCCGGGCGACATCTTTCCAACCTCGTCGCGTGCACCTCGCGTACTCACTCTTCCGACGATCACCCTGTCGACGCGCACTCTCGCAGCGACTCGGAGAACGCACGCACGCACACCACCACCGACTGGAGTACCGAAGAAAGTAGCAGTTCCGACGAAGAGGACAACACTCAACCAACTCCAGAAGGCTCAGGCAAGGCAGACCTTTCCTATGTCCCTCGCCCGCTCTCGCACTCTCGTACAACAAGCCAACAGGCGCAGTCCAGGTTTAGCAAGAGTTCTGCTCCGAGCGGTCGCTCTCGCGGCAACTCGAGATCCAGTTCTGACTCCGGCTCAGAGTCGGCCTCAGACGCAGACGTGTCTTCGGGCTCTAGTTCGGGTTCAAGTTCATCTTCTTCTAAGTCCGGATCACGCTCGGGTTCGAGCTCGAGCTCTGAGGTCGGCCCTGCTCAGCAGGACCAATGGGATACAAATGGTGATCAGGCATGGCTCAAACCTGCAGGCAGGAGGTGCGTATCAGTATGACCATCATTAGATGCCATTTGGCTTACATGGCACTTTAGCCCGAATCCCGCCGTTGCCGACCCACCATACCTGCCCTCCTCCACCCCGCCTAGTCGCCGGGCAGGCCCCTCGAGTCACAGAGCGACACCGAAGCGCCGTTACTCGCCGTACGAGAAGCCACCTTCTCCGGCGACGTCTCGCTCTCCACGCCAGAATTCCGAAGCATCATCTGTGTCCATACCTCTTCACTCCGTTCGTTTGCCACGCAACAGACCAGCTCCTCGCCGTAACCCTACGGCTTCCCGCACACCGCGCCGTCCGCCACCCGTCGAGATCGCTCCCGAAGAGCCCCTTCTTCCTCGTGCAAGCCGCATGCGTGCCGCGAAGACGATTCGAACGTACGCCGAGCACGAGTCTTCCGTCGAGAGCGAGGCGAACGCGACAGATGACGAGTTCGTCCCATCACCCCCTCCAACCAACCATAAACCACGTTATCAACCTTATCCTCGCTCATCGGCGTCCACTTCACTCGCCGCACGCTCGCGGCAGCCACCGCGACACTCACCTGCGCCCTCGAACTTCTCGGAGTCCAGCTTGTCGTCGGCGCCGTCCTCTGGACCGCAACGTTGCAGAGGCGCACCTCGCGCCCGTAACAGGCAGATCAGGATAAGTGATGAAGATTACCGACTCGCGGAGCAGCGGTTCTTGAGTGGTACGTCGAAGGAGTGCCCGGTGGGCTGCTCCTACGTGCAGAAGAAACGGCGGGTGCCGGACATGCGGCGGCATATGGAGTCGCACCGATACAACATCAGCCACGAGAAGTGGGTCTGTTGCGGTGTGCCGGTGGAGGAGGGAGAGAGTACAAGATCGAGGACTGGACAAGGCGCCGAAGAAGATGTTCAACGGTCGGGAGATGGTGGGCGGATGCTTCAAGGGCTTCAGCAGGCGTGATGCGCTGCTCAGGCATGTGAGGAACGAGGGTAACGAGTGCGTCGGTGAAGGTGGTCTGTTCCACTTGCTCGGCATCTCAAGGTCGGACGAGTAATGTCGTCGTCCTCCATGCGCCGACCAGGCCGGCTACTGTCTTCGTGCGCGCTCCGTTCTGTGATTGGTTGTCTGGATTTTTTTTTCTTTGGTGGACACTATATACCTAATCTCTGTAATCGCGTGTAAGCATCAGGAACAGTAGATTTATATCCTCTGGAGGTGGTCTGTTTAATCGACGCATAACGTGTTTCCTGTTCATACTCTCAATTTGGTGATGCATCGAGCCTCAGCAGCAGCCTTGACAAGTGAAGTGTCTGGAGTGTACGCACAGGTCCCGTCGAGCCAGCTCCGCCACGCCCTAGCCGTGAGTGGTGGGGGCGAAAGGAGCATCGGCCTATCGACGTTTCACCTTCAACATCAGTGTTGCCCCGCAAGTGTTGTGAAGACGATACGTGCCCGTTCGTACACCATCGTGAGCAGAAGTAACTGTACTCATGTAAAGTCGTGGAACGCGCCGGTCTTCTCTCACCCGCATGGCGACGATTCTTGTCGGATGCGGCAAAGGACGACAGTTCCTGTGCCGCTGCCCACACGAGTTGCGTCGATACGAGTTCACGATGAGACAACGGTATAGCGAGACCTTTCCTTGGGAATTACTTTGTACTCTACGCTAACTTGTTGGCTTCTTTCTTCAGCATGCTCTGCCGCCCAGGTCCGACGCCGATCCACTCTATGGGCACCCCCAGGAATTGTTCTATGAACACAACGTACTTCTTGCAGTTCTCGGGTAGGGCGTCGTACGACGTTGCGGACGTGATCGGCGCCTTCCAGCCCGGCAGGACCACATACACGACTTCGACCTTCGCGAGTAGCTCCAGGTCGGCTGGATCGCGCGGGAAAACCGACGGGTAAGCTATGAAAGCAAAGAGTGTGCATCGTGAACGTACCTGGGAAGCCCTCGATTTCCTTCCCATCTACGATGTACTTGACGGCCACCTTGATCTCCTCAAGGTCGTCCAGGATATCGAGCTTGGTCAGGTTCAGGCTATCGTACCCGTTGATCAAGCAGGAATGCTTCATGACGACTAGGTCGAGCCATCCGCAACGCCGCCGACGGCCGGTCGTCACGCCAAACTCGCGGCCGACTTCTTGCAGGTGGACGCCAATATCCTAGATGCACCGTACGTAAGCTCAACATAGACATGATCGCAACGAGACGCACGTTTAGCTGTTCGGTCGGGAACGGCCCTCCTCCGACGCGAGTCGTGTATGCTTTCATGACGCCGATGACGGTGCCTATCTTCTTGGGCGGGATGCCGAGGCCAGTGCACACGCCGCCGACGGCGGTCGCAGAAGACGTTACGTACGGGTAGGTGCCAAAGTCGAGGTCGAGCATGAGCGCGTTGGCCCTTCGACGAGGACCCTCTTCCCCTCAGCAAGCGCACGGTGGATGTAGGTCACGCTGTCGATAACGTACGGTCGTAACCGCTCGGCGAGGGCCTTTAATGTAATGTGGATGAGCGCGAGCGATGACGACGAAAGCTGGTGGACAGCGCACCTTATAGCGAACGATCTCGCCCTCCGTGTCGTACTCGAAGTGCCCATAGCGCTTGAATCGACCTTCAACGACCTTGCGGAACTTGATGGCGAAGTTTTCGTGGTCAAAGAGGTGGTGCACACGCAGACCGGAGCGCGATGCCTTGCCGGAATAGGCCGGACCGATGCCCCTCTTGGTGGTTCCGATGCTAGCAAGCAGTCAGAACCTCTCGTCTGTGAATCCAACGATCCGGGTGCGTGCTCACCTCTTGCCTCCCAGCTCGACCTCCTTCAACCCATCAACGATCTGGTGAAAGTCGAAGACGAGGTGTGCGCGATCGGAGACAAATAACCGTCCAGTGCAATCCAGTCCTATGCATCACCACTGAACATAGTTCATCGGACAGGCAGGACGATGATGCACACCTTGAGCCTGTAGCGCATCGAGCTCCTCGAAGAACGACGGCAGATGCACGACGACCCCGTTGCCGATTACACCCGTACAATTTGGATTGACCAGCCCTTCAGGCGAATGATATCAAGGGCTGAATCCAAGGAAGAAGGCGACGCACCACTTGGTAGGAGATGGAAAGCAAAGTGAGTGGAGACCTTCTCCGGGCCGATGGGCACGACGATGGTATGACCGGCGTTGTTCCCGCCTGCGCAACGGGCGCAGATATCGGCGTCGGCGGCGAGGATGTCAACGAGCTTTCCCTTCCCCTCGTCGCCCCATTGCGCTCCGAGTACGACGCTTACTGAAGATGCCATGAGTGAGGCAGATGGCTGGGTAGGGAAGGGTTGCGTACCGCTCATCGCGGGGAGTCAGCGTTTCCGCGGGGCGTATCGCACGTAGGGCGAATAGATAGGTGGGAATAGAGAATAAGTATGGGTTCGACGGAGGATGGAATAAGTTAAAGCTTGAGAGTCGGCGGCCTCAGCGCTCGAGTCAGTCCGTCCGCAGACCTGCCTTCCTTATCGGGACGCCATGGTCGAAACCTTCTCGCGTCAGCACCTCCCGTCATCAGCCACCTCTAGCCGTCTCGACCAAGCCTCGACTACATACCAGCATGAGCTCGCACGACGCACGATCCGGCATGACAGGACTATTCTGAAGCAACTTGAACGGCCACAGACAGTCGCCGAGAGGGCGACGAGGCGAGGAGGAAAGGCGAGATGAATGAAAAGGTGAGGAGATTGTCTCGACGGACATGTACAGAGGTACGCAACAATAGGGCATAACTGTCTCATTACTTTCTACGCCAGACGACACGTACGACGAACAATAGAATGTTAGTCCCCGTTGCTGGCCCTTTCTCGCCACCTTGGCCTTTGTCCCGTCGCTCAAGCTACCGCCCTCTCGCCGTCAAATCAACGTCAAATCAATGACACTGACTTTGGGGGCATGATGCACAGGCCCGCGGCAAGTACCCGCCCCTCAATTTCCCTGCTTCTTTCGCTTGTGGTCTGAATTTGCGCGCGGCCCGTTAGACTCCAGGTAAACACGATGTATCCCCCAGTCCCATATGTGCAACCGACGCATCCGAACATCTAAGAACCATCGCCACGGAGAGGTGGTCAGGTATACCGTGCTCTGAACGTGCACTGGTCGGCTGCGAGTGTCACTGTACGTGTTAGCCAGGGTTCTCGGCAGGACGCTCTCCTTAAGGATTATTCTGCCTTACGTCTTCGAACAGCACGTTCTTCCAAGCTAACGGCGCCCCTCCAGCATGCTTCCTCCGACAGTTGTCTACAACTGACGAGTGCCTGTCAGCCTACCCGAACGAAGTCCTGGGATCGAATGCCCATTCAGTCCGTCCGTCTCGTCGAAGCCGGCCTCTACGAATAGCTCGCCAGGCTCGGCTGGAAGGTTCGAGGAAATGGGCAAACTCAACTGTCCTTTTATCCGCAAGGTGAAGAACCCCGGCCTCGCCTCTCGTGTTTGCGACGCTGTCGCGAAGGGTCACGCGAAGCAGACAGTCGTCTTTACCCTCGACGGCGATCACACCCCTAGGTAGGTAGATTTGGAAGCGGATTGCATACTTCAGCTGAGCTGTTTCTGCCCCCAAGTCATGCGCACTATCTCGGGAACGAATTGACTGCATAAGCGGCACATTCCCCGCGCGATGTTGCGTACTGACAAACGGGGAGTCTACACTCGGCTCCAATGTTTCCGAGTTCAGTTGGTTGCGCCCGCTCGTCCAGGCGCACCGCCTCGTCTACATTCGCCTGTGTGACGTCGACGCGGGCTAGAAGCACACGTTTTCTATGCACGAGGTCAACCAGTGGTGCATTGGGAGGGTCCTCGAGATGGCGCTCGACCTCGCTCGACTGTGTCAACCCCAAGAGACGAGTCCGTGCATCTGACCTTTGATGTAAACACGTTTATGCCGACGGTCGCACCCAGCATAAGGACGCTGGTGAGCGATAGGCTGGCGAGCGATGTCGGGTGTAGTGGAACGAAGGCGCTGTATAGGTGCGTGGTGGGCTGACGTTTAGGGAGGAGCACTATCTACGAGGCGACCTACGAGACGGGTTGTCTCGTCGCAATGAAAATTATTGTGAGGTGCAGATTAGATGAGGTCCTGCGGATCCGAACTTATCGGTACACAGGAGGTGAACCCGTCCTTCAGGACGAACGAAGAGGCTGTGAAGAAAACGATTGCTATCGGATGCTTGCTCGCTCAATCTGCGCTAGGTGAGTCCCGTTGCATATCTGTTCTACGGACCCGTCTCACACACTATGAAGCAGGGAGACCGTTGCAGAAGATGTGATTGCATGTCTGGGGTTCTGACTCCGAATATAGCAATCTGAAGTCAACAAGCATCCGGCGCGTTATGAGTCCGTTGTGTTCCGCCTGGCGTTCGCCTAAAATGGCCATGCAACCATCGCGATTATGCAAGCGTATCGGTACGAACCTGACCGTCGGTGATGTACTTGGGTATATGTCCCTACAAAAATAGGGGCAAAAGCAGGTAGTTGGGTGTCGTAAAGGTAAGCGGTATTGTACAAGACCTAGCGGGCGATGCTCAGACAGACCATAGAATGAACGCGGCGTGAATGGGACGTAAGACGACTTGGAAATACCAAATAGCTGCGCTCATGTGGTTCCTCGTGCAAAGAATCCGGGGCGATGTCAGAAGACAAGTCGCGCTTCGATTTTTTTGGCGGCCGCGAACTTGGGTCTCGAAGGATGCCGGCATATCAATTGCCGAAGAGGCTTCCCGCTGTCGAACTCGAGGCTGGTGATGCGCTCTGCGCCGCCGTCCGATCTGATTCTGCAGATGAGATATGCTGTGAGTGCGGGTCCGCTGCTAAGGTTCAGTACGAAATAACATTGACAATACCAGTAAGGCTGCAGCAACAACTTCGGACGGTATTAGTGGACGCCTGCGATGGAGTGGTGCAAGATCGATGCGCCTTGGAAGCCGCAGTGAGTGTCAGTACAAGTGTCAAGCCCCTCGGAGTTGACTTGCCTCGAGGCAAACATGCCACCCTAGGCGGGCATGTGGTAGAGGTCGCAATCAGTGGTCAGCCGAGAAGAATCTATGCTCACTTTTTACATCAAATATGACAGCCACTGTGCCACCTCATTACCTAAAGATAAGGTAAGGCAATGTCATGGTTCTTGGGTTTCGAAGCCGAGTTACACTGACAGCTCTGGGATTCTCCAGTCCGAGTCGATCCGGCGCGGGCATGATCTACATGGGGTAACTTGTAAGTGTAATTGTATTACTCGTCCTGATCCTACTGACATTCTCGCTTGCATATGACTCAGACTTAGGGGTCTGCGATGTTCCCGCCAGCGAGCAGTTGCGCCCGCTGAGCGAACGCCGGCTGTTTTTTTACGTCACAGTGGTGTCAGACTTGGGCCAACATCTGACCGAGACGTCGAAAGCCGGCCCCTCTACCTTCCGCGTAGCATTCGCCAGCAATCGCACTCACCATACCTAAGGCACGGTGAGCAACTGCGGCCATTCGATCGATTGCGCCCTGCACGGTGTGCTTCATAGGCGGCTGCCTTTGTAAGTAGTTCCTATGGTGCAGAAGCTCTCGGCTGTCACTGTGACGGTAGTTCAAGTTTGCCCAATTGTACAGGTATTCATATGTATCTTCGCATGCGCGCCCAAAAGACGGCTACAGCCGGTGAGTGTCGCCCCTTGAAACCTTCCTTCGACAATTTACTGCCGCACCCATACATGTAATTATCCACGGATGCGAATTACGGCGCGGAAGAGCAACCAGACGCAGCCTCGTGGCTGCCTCACGCAGCTTTAGAAGATACACTTACGACACCTCATCGTACCCGGTCGAGTACAAGATGACCGCGGAGTACGAGGCTTTCGCAACTCCACCCGTCAACACACAGTTCTACGAGCTGAAATGCCGAAAGTCCCGTCGTTTAACCCTACACCTTCGCCACGCCACCATCCCTACTCGGCGAGTGCGCGCCGTGCGTGGAAGCGCAGGGTAAGTCATTGTCCGGGTCGTGATGTCTTCGATTCGTTCAATGTTGATGCATTGCATAATAGGTGCGATCGCACGAGCCGTTGGTCCTATGTCCATTCTGGCTAGTCAAAGCCTATCTTCAGATACTCGATGGTTAGTGTTCACGTTTGGACGCATAGGCCGTTGTACTCATATAACTGTACTTGTCGCTGGTCCAGACGACTGGCCCAGTGATACTATGTACTTAGGAGCACTTTGATCGCCTCCGCTTTGGATCGGATCCTGTACTTGGTGGGATCTCGAGTTTGCATCCGTGTCTGTGTAGCTTTCTGTATTCGTGTTGTCGTTGTTGTCGCTTTTCAGGTACCAATGCTGTGACTGTAACTTTCTCGGATCGAATGAGGATGTTGAACCACTTTCTGCAGACTCAGGTCATATTTTACTCCTGTCTGCCCTGCTGGTAACCATGGTTTTGTGATGCCTGAATGGAGTCATCACGAGCATATATGTGGCACAAACATATGTATATTCGTGTGATCAACTTCGGGTCCACGATCGAGAACGATCGCGCAGAGCGTTCAGTATAAGCGGCCATGGCTCGGGCATTCCGAGAAAGGCAATAGGAAGGGTGTGGTGACGAGCTGCGCGACTCGTTCGCGTTTGCCTGCCCGGCCTCCTCAAAGCTTTCTTGTCGTCGTCTGCTCTCGTTGTGGCCATTTTGTTCTCGAATTGACGACAATGACAAACGAGCAGCAGAGGACTATACGATGGATTGATGCGTGGGCCGCCTGGCTTCCGACCCTTTTCACTAATGGTTCGCAATCGAATTACTATCAGCAGCTCACGAACGCATCCCCGACCGCACCCGTCTCTTCATCGAGATTCCACGGATCCGCAAGGCCTGGATCATCTCGAACAGGCAATACAGCACTAACAACATTGCCATATCGTGAGCCAGAGGTCGTGGAAGATAGCCTTGCCTCTAGCCGGCCGGAGGTGTATCAGGATGCCACAACAGGCTGGTCAGTATCGGACCAGTCATCGTACAGGGACAGGGGGCCGCAGTGGTCTGGTCATATGTGGTCAGAATCTGGTAACTCGCACAAGATAGCCATCGACGGCCGTGACGATTTCCAGGAGCTCAATTGGTACAATCCCGCTGTGCACGAAGCGAAGCCCAGGCCTGGGCCGGGTATGCTGCCTCCTTTACTTGCGGACGAAATTCACGACCCAGAGCATGCTCTTTACTCTGTGAATGTCATGGCTCGCCTTCCCTCTACCACTCCTGACAGCGCACAGCTTGCGCCGTCGCAAGAGGAAGCACGGATGGCTATCCCTCATGCGCGCTCCTACTACTGTGCCGAGTACAATGGTTGGGTCTTAATCCTCTGGGGTTCGTCTTCTGTCCTCCCGCCTCTCGCACGCACAGTCGAGAATCTACCAGACGCGGCGCGGCGCAAAGGTACTACCTCGTGCATCGGCGACGGCGAGCAGCCGTTCGCGCAAGTGAATGCTACGCACCATTGGCACCGCTATGAGCGCGCCGTCGACTCGCGAAATCTGAGCACACCGTTCAGACACGAGGAGGAGACACCCAGGCTCCTCGATCTGTATCTCTGCTGCCAGTGCAGCAAGTATTGCATGGTGTCCGACGTCCTCCCTGGCGTCATCCCTCACAACGTCCACCAGGCCTTCACTCATGACAAGTGGAGCCACCCTCCTCCCGATCGAACACCCAAGGGGAGCGTGATGGCAGCCTGGGAGACGATGTTGACGTGCGTCCGCTTCACATACACACTCGTGACAATCGCTTACCTCGTCCAGCATCCTCGAGAACCGTCTATGGAAAGACGAGCAGCGTTCGCTGCCCGTCACCCGTCCTCGCTTTCAGCACAAACTTGGCTGGAACAACACTGTGTAAGTATTCATGGGTATGACACTTGGCACGTACTGACACTCCCGAAGTCGCAATATATTCGAGCTTCTAGGGTTTCCTGCTATCAAGAAGTCAACGGCTACTACCGCCAATATGTCCTCGGCCGTGGAAAACCTTAGCTTACAGCCTCCGAACATCGATCCCGCGACTCCTGAGGGAAAGCACATACGGGCGAAGCTGTTACGTGCGTGGGTAGAGATATCAGCCTGGTTGGCTATCTACCGAAAATCAAGTGCGTATCTCGCTGCATAGCGTCGTGTATTGTAATAACGCACGTTACAGAAGGGGATCTTGGCAACTATTCCTCGCAGGTGATTTGCGTAGATGCCACGGATGTCCGGGAGATGTACCAAGAGGAAATCGGCGCTCATGTCAAGCAGAGTACGCAAGCAGCGTTTTGTGTCTGTTAACCGATACTGACACCCGTCTAGTTCCGCGAGGGTTGTTGCCTAACGATCTCGTGAACCTGGGTGTCTTGGACGATGCGTGGAGAACTCTCGGCATGACGCCGTCTTCATATACATGGGGTACGTTGACGAGAACAGGCAGTCTTCATAGTGCTCATTTCGCATAGAGCTGCTGGGCTTCGCGTATCAGGCGCAGTGCCGCTGCGACCCCCTGCGGACGCCGCTGTACTTCACCAAATTTTGCCAGATCGTTCAGATGCTTGCGAACGTCGGCAAAGCCTCGCCGCCACTCCAGCAGTTGATCCACGACGAGCGCAAACGCCATCGGTACACGTTCGATGACCTTCGCGACTCCATTGCCCTCTTGGGCTTCGGCCAGGACGATGGGCTTGGCGTCGAGTTCGATGGTGATAGGCTCGTTCTGGACGCATGGCGCAACGCGAGAAGACGAACGTGGACAGACCCGGAGAGAGGCGGGGAGATGCGTATGAGGCTCAACGCCGCACTCAAGATCATTGCCGACACTAGGAATAGGCGGACTCTTGAATCAGCGTGGGATCGGGCAAAGGGCAGTATGTATGTATGTTTGTAAATCCCGTTCTATCGTCGTGTTAGGGCGAACTTCCTTACGTAGACTGTAGCTAGCTGTGTAAGTATGTGGCTGTGGATTCGTACCGTGGATCAGTGTCTGTGTATTGGCTCGGGTTGCTTCCGTAGAGGCGACTCTGCCAGATGGGATGGCAATATCCGAGTCGTAGGGGCCATATGGCGTGTACAGTAGGGTCAAAAGTGCTTTTGTACGGTCTTTGTGCAGTATATGGAGTGTATATGAAACGATGCATGGGCTCTCAGTGTCTGTATCTGGAATGCGTGCATTAAGGGAGTGTGCCTCGTCAATCATCGTCTTCCGTGGCCGGTGGAACGTCTAGCCCTCCGAGACAACTGAACGTACTCGTTGTGTCTACATGTTCAAGGATCTGTGTGAAGCTACCTGTTCGCCGCCGACTGGAGCGGTGAAAATATGATAGACAATAACAGAATCAAAGGCGATGTCATATCGCGTCGGTGGGAGACCAACGTTCCTTCGTCGTCTGGTTTCGCTTGTGTGTTTTATTGTGTGTTCAGATATGCGCTTACAAATCTGTCTACGGGTTACTAGGCTAATGAAATCCGTCCTGTAGAATCGACCGACTAGGTGTACGATACGCCCCCCTCGTTTGTTCCAACGTCGTAAATGTTCTTCTAACTTGCAATAGAACATCGCTGTCGAGCCTTTTGGCCCCCGCCGTCCCTCCACCGCGCGCTCTTTGTCAATGAACTTAGACTATACCTTGATCACGCACTATCTGCACTTTTCGCAGTCAAACTTGGGATGATCCAAGTCAGGATGATACAGCACCTCCAGGCCGAATGTCCCTCACCTGAGGTTCACGTCTTCCATGTCAGCGACCGAGAATCGTGGACAATCTGGTGCAGGCCAGAGTGTACGACCGCCTTGCGATGTGCGGGAGCTGCCACAGCTGGCGGACGGCCACTGGCAGCAAGGGCCAGAACCGTCAACAACGCGTACCACTGCGTACCATGCACATCCAGGAGGGCCGTATCGGGCGCAGTGCGCACCCCGCCCGAGCGGGCGCCCTGTCGTCGAAGGCTTCGCGGGAGACCGGTCTCGGCCTCGTCGACGTCGCCCACACGCCCCGCCGATCATGACCACGCGGGGATCTCGACGCTGACGTCGTGCAAGCGGTGATTGGTCGACGCACCGCGGATCGGGATTGGCTCCGCGCTGGGGGGTGTTCTCGTTAATGGACGGTCTGGAGCGTGGGCCCGTCAGGCTTCATTCGAAGCTGCCAGGCCCGCCAATCACATGCACGGCTGACGATGAGATCGACGACGGGGCGGACGCGATCGAGCGACGTCGATGGTGTGGCGGCGGAGAGTCCGGGATTCTCGGGGTGCGTCGCGAGACTTGTTGGGTGTGCCGCTGGTCGGACGTGTCGAGGCGAGCAACCGGCAGGCTGCAACGTACCTTGAACCACACAGAGTGTCCCCCCCACACCGGCGAGAGATGGCAAAAGCCCACGCCTGCGTCCTCCGCATCGCACCGCAGCGTTGCTCCCGACAGACTCGGAGGGAGAGGAGATACGGCGGCAAGCTTGCGTGGTGCAGCGAGAGCGGGCGCGCTTTCAAGCTCGTCCAAGGACCCGTACGCACGCTGGAGCGGCGGGGGCCAGCGGTGATTGGCGGACAGACGACGGGTCGGGATTGGCTCGCACCCCGCACCGTCGACGCTTCCCGGGCTCTCGTTCATGGACCCGCTAAATGGACGGTCTGGCCCGCGAGGCCCGCCAATCATGAGCAGATGCGATCGACCTGTGCTTTCCGAGATTTTCGGGGTCGGTGACTTGCTCTCGGGGGGATGCATCGGGCGAGGGCGCGACGCCGCTGTGCTAGAGGGTGGCCGGGTACAGCACACCTGCGACACCGACTCCCCCGCCAAGCACGTCGGTCCCTGCGCACCAGTACTAGTGTGCATGACGGCACACACCCAACCCATCGGGGACCCGCTCAGTCCCCACCACGGCGATCTCGAGCACACCCAGACGCAGACGCAGACGGGTCTCGCCCATAGCGACCAGTGAGGCTCAACGAAGGCTCGCAAGCCACGGCGTTCCGCTAGCGCAGGAATAGAGCTCGCTGGTGGTATGTCTGCGCCTGGACCCACTGCGCGGGCCAGGCCTCGTCGCCCGCCGGCGCGCCCGGTGTTGTTCAGGCAGGATGTGGATCGGCCTGCTGATCGACGGAGGGGCCGGCTCCGAGGTATTGCGTCGAGCGAAAAGGTTCCGACATGTCTCCACTGGACCTACAACCTCGCGTGCGCCGTCGTCGTACCCGCGAACACCGCGCACGGCGCGTCTCTGTCCGTCGACAGCCCGCTGAGGAGGCTCGGAGCGCACCGCAGGGGGTCGGGATGGACAGGGAGGGGAATTTGTAGTGGGGGCAGTGGTGAGAGCCGAATTTGTAGAGGGGGAGAACGGATTAGGAGGGCAGGCTCTTCCACGCATGTGCGAGCCGCTATCGCACCGCCGCCTTGGCGTATCTCGCGCGCGCAGTGTCGTGCGACGGGCGCGCGTGCGTGCGCCGGGTTTGGGGCGGTGCCTGCTGATTCGGGCAGTGATGGACGGTGCAGAGCGCGGGCCTGGGCCTGGGGACGGGGAGGAGGAGGGCCGAGGCAGAGTTGTGGGTGTCGATGAGCGCGAGGGAGGACACCGGAGAGCCGGCGCGGCGCCCCGGGACGTGGGAGGGCGCCTCTCCGCAGGTCGCAATGCGCCGTGGCGTCGGTCGGCACCGCGCGGGCGGACCATCGACGCACGCTGCGGGCGCTGTACTCATCGCGGCTCCACCGCAAATTCACGGGGCGCGTCCTGGCGTTTGCGTTGTGCGGGAGGCAGCGAGGATGCGATGGGAGGAGGCGGGGAGACGGAGGCGCCGGGGATCTGAGCGGATCTCTGGGGAGTGCCTGGATGCCCCTGGAGGGACGCAGACGGGGGCGAGTGCGAGCGACCGCGGTCCAGGCCCGCCCATCTTTCCGCGGCGATGTTCTGGACGCACGCACGCAGACGCCCGCGGTTGCGGAGGGCTGCTCGCTGTGTGCGACGACGACGACGAGGCGTGCGTGGGGTGCAGGGGGGCACGGGGCGGGGTTGCCGGGACAAATACGAATAATCGATAGGATCGGTTGAGTCGAGGGAAGGGCGATGGCCGGGAAATAAGGTTCTCGGCGGATATATGAGGAAGGAGGGCATATAACGGGGCGATCAGGCGCTGGCCCCACCCGTCTTCAGTCTCCCCAGCATCGCCGCCCGCGTCCAGACCGCGCTCACTCGCAGAACATATACCTGCGCTCGCCCGCCATCCCGACCGCCCGCCATGGACCAGTCCCCGTCCTACCCTCCCTCCTCCCGCTCCCACCTCTTCGCGTCCCCCCAGCTCCCCCCGCCGTCCCAGCTCCACCAGCTCGCCTCCTTCTCCCGCTCCTCGAACAACACCCTCCCCCCCATCTCCTCCCACCTCCCCTCCTCGTCCCTCAACGCCCGCTATCCGCCCCCACCTACCCCCACCCGTCCCTCTCCACCGCAGCCGCCCAGCTCCCGCCCCCGCCCCTCGGCCCCACCCTCCCCTGGCCGTCCCGCACCTCCTCGTCGCGGGACGAGATCACCCCGCCCCTCCGCCCCCACAGCGAGCACCCCCGCCACCCCTCGTCCCACCAGCCGCCCCCAAAGAGGATGATGGAACGCGACGACCGCTCTGCCGCACCCACCCCCGTCCATCATGACGCCGTCAAGCACGAGGGCGAGTCCGACATGCCCTCCACCTCCGACTTTGTCAAGAAGCTCTACAAGTGCGTATCACCGCGTCCCCGCTGAGCCACCGCTGACCCCGCCCAGGATGCTCGAGGACACCTCCTGGGCCCACGTCGTCGCCTGGGGCCCCCACGGCGACTGCTTCGTCGTCAAGGACATGAACGAGTTCACAAAGTCCATCCTCCCCCGCATGTTCAAGCACTCCAACTTTGCCTCCTTCGTCCGCCAGCTCAACAAGTACGACTTTCACAAGGTGCGCACCCGTCTCCCGTCCGCCTCCCCCGCGCACGCCGCTCACTCCCACGTCCTGACGCCCGCAGGTGAAAAACTCGGACGACAACCAGTTCGGCGAACACGTGTGTATACACGCCCCCGCCCCCGTGCCACTCCCCGCTGACCCCGCCCGCTTTGCAGAGCTGGACCTTCCGCCACCCCGACTTCCACGTCGACCGCCGCGACGCGCTCGAAAACATCAAGCGCAAGGTCCCCGCCGCGCGCAAGTCCGCCGCGCACACCAGCTCGCCGTCCCCGCCCAGCGCGTCCGTCGAAGCCCTCCAGGCGCGCCTCGACCAGATGACGCGCGACCAGGAGGAGCTCGTCGCGCACGTCCGCAACCTCGAGAGCAACTACCAGAGCGTGCTCACCGAGATGGTCAACTTTCAGCGGAACATGGCGCAGCAGGACGGGTTGATGCAGAACTTGATACAGTACTTTTTGCAGCTCGAGAATGGTGGGGGTTTCCAGTCTTAGACTCCCCGCATCGGACGCTGAGCTACCGTGTTTTCCCCCTTTTTTTATTGCTTCTGTTCGCATATTTCGAATACTCTCTGTGTACAACAACGCGCTTCGCTGGTTCCGCTGCTCTCTCTCTCTCTCGCTCGCACTCTCTCCTACGCTGGCACGCACTCGCTCTAATGTCGACTCCCCGCTTCATCTGCACTTCGAATTACGCACTCTGGCATGCTCGTCTGGAACTCCCTCACCGCCGGCATCTCTACGAAACGGAATCCCCACGCATCCACGCAACGCGGAAACGAACATCAACCGTCCATCACGCACCCTCCGCCTCCGATGGTCTGGCCCCTTCTGGACGCGCCTCCGCCTCGACCCGCCGCGACCCGGCTCCCGCCCCCGTCTCTTCGCATCCATTGCATCCCGCCTCGGCCCCTCGCTGTCTCGATCCTCCTGCTCGTCCCCTCTCGAACGCTGTGATGTCTGGACTTGGACTTGGCTGTCGATGGCGACCCTCTGGACCGACTCTCTTCGTCTATCACTGCGGTGTCTCGAACGTCCTCTACTTGCTGCGTCTCGACCCTACCTACGCCAATCCCTCGGCTATGCACCCTACTACGCTACGTCCCTCGCACGTATCACCGTTCCCACTGACCCTCCCACGCGCGCACCCCGCTAACCCCCACAGGCAAAATCAAGGCCGAAGAGCTCTCCTCCGCGCAGAACCCGCCCTCCGCGCCCGGCGGCGGGCCGTCCGCGCAGGCGGTGCAGGACGCGAACCACCCCTTCCTGCCCGCGACGGAGACGCAGCGCATGATGGCCGGCTTCCCCGACGGCGACGTCGCGCGCGCCAGTCTCGCGCAGATGAACGAGATCTCCCGCCGCGCGGAGGTCGCGGGCATGAGCTTCGCGCCGCCCCAGCCCGCTGCGTCGGGCTCTGGCTCCGGCTCGGCGGGGGGAAGTGGCAGGCAGCAACAGCAGCAGCAGCAGCAGCAGCAACAGCAACAACAGCAGCAGCAGGGTGCGAACGCGAGGATTGCGGCGGCCGTGAATGGGCTGGGGATGGGAGAGGGCATCGTCAGGCCGATGAGCCGCCAGGATGCACTCAATCGCATCGAGGAACTCACGCGCCAGAGGCCTGAGAGTGCCCAGGGCCATCATGTGCTGGCGCAGGCGCAGGCGGCGATCGCGCACGGAGCGTCCCAGCAGAGCGGCAACGCGTCCGCGTCGTCCTCCAGCAGCCAGCAGCAGCAGCAAGGCTCGTCGAGCGCGCCGCAGGGCGGGGACGCGTCCGCGTTCGGCGGGGCGGACTTTACGTTCAGCAACGGGGGCGGGCTGAGCCTGAACTACCCGCAGAGCGTGATGACGCACGAGGGCCTGCAGGTGTTCACGGTGGGGCACCTCCTCCCGCGGAGCGCGCTCGACGACGAGAACGGCAACTGGGCGTTCGACGCGGCCGCGCTCAACTCGGTCGTCATGCCCACGCCGCAGGGCATGGGCGGCGACCCGGAGCAGGAGGACGAGGGGAACACGAAGGCGCCGTATAGTATCGGGGCGGCGGCGAACGCGATCGACTCGGCGTCCGCCGCGGCGGGTGTGGGCCCGAGCCCGAGCCCCGCGCAGGTGTCGCCGAGTGGCCGCCCGGAGAGCGCGCAGAAGCTGAGGGTGCGGAGGAGCACGTACGTGCCCGGGTGGGCGGTCCCGCCGCGGGTGCTCCTGGTGGACGACGATGCGGTCAGCAGGCGGCTGAGCAGCAAGTTCTTGCAGGTTTTCGGGTGCACGATCGACGTGGCTGTGGACGGCGTGGGCGCGGTGAACAAGATGAACTTGGAGAAGTACGATCTGGTGCTCATGGTGGGTCTCGTTCTCCGTGCGGTGGGAGAATACAGCTGACCGTCGTCGTGCAGGACATCGTGATGCCGAAGCTGGACGGCGTGTCCGCGACGTCGCTCATCCGGCAGTTCGACCACATGACGCCGATCATCAGCATGACGTCGAACAGCAAGCCGAACGAGATCATCAAGTACTACTCCTCGGGGATGAACGACGTGCTCCCGAAGCCGTTCACGCGCGACGGGCTGCTGGACATGCTCGAGAAGCACCTGATGCACCTCAAGGTGATCCAGACGATGTCGAAGATCCCGCGCTCGGTGGGGATCCCGCCGCTGAGCGACGCGTCGTTCGACCAGGCGCTCCAGATGCAGATGCAGGGCGGCGCGCTGCTCGGCGGCGGGGAGGACGACGGGAAGATCAACCCGCTTGCTGGCATGGGCCTCACGGACGACCAGTACACGATGATCCTCCAGAACCTCGTCAACGGCGAGAGCTTCATGGGCGTCGGCTCGCTCGATGGCTCGCTCGACGGGATGGGCGCGGGCGTCAAGCGCGGGCTGGACGACGGCAGCGACGGGCGCGAGCCGAAGAGGAGCCGCTTCGAGGTCGTCGAGTGAGCGGCGGATGGACGCGTGTGCGCGTGCACGTCTGCGTGTGCTGCGGCTGCTTAGACTCGACGGCGGCGACACAGTGCGGCGCGGCGCGGTCACGACTTAACTTATTGCTGGACTATGTGCGCCTCTGCGCCTGTGCCACCTCCTCGACTTTTCCACTGAACCTCCTCGCGCTGCCGACCTGTAGCAGCAGCACCTCCGAAGGCGCGTCCGGCCCTGCACCTCTCGTCCGCGGTGCGGTGAATTCACTCCTCGTCTAACAACGTCCGTATCCCTTCCGACAAACCGCCTCGCGTGGCCTCCGCGGGCGTTATGCCCCATGCCCTTTACTATACCTTACACTGCATTTCGCAGGTTCTGTGTGCACGTATGCCATGACGCTCTTCATTATCATCGCCCGCTCGATCTGCCGCATGCACCGTCCACTTATCATTTGTCCCCCGTCTGATGGTTGTGTATTAGTACGGACTTAATGTCGCTTTCTGTATAGTACGCACGTAGTCGAGCATACCGAATCTGAATTGGAAAGTAGCATAAAGGATACTGTTTGCAACCTTGTGCGTGTTCTACAGACGGACAAGGTATTCCACTCAGGGTGATGAGAGCCAGGACGTTGAACTGGGATCCTGGGCTACGGTTTGTATCTGCGAGCCGATTGATTACAGCAAGTATACCAATACAAAGTCCAAAAACGTCCTAAGGCACGATGCATCCTACGCGGCCGGCACAGACCACGCTCTCCGCTGATAGTCCAAGATGATCGGCACAAAGTCCCACAGCCCAAAGTCCGGCCAGTACGTCGAGCTAAACTGCAGCTGCGTGTCCTCGCAGCACTACGTCAAAGAAGCGCCACACGAGGATCAGGGTGAGGTCAGAGGGGTGGACGGCGGACGGGACGCACCTGCCAGAGGAGGAAGTCGCTCAGGCGGCGGACGCCGCTGGTGCGCACGAGGAGGTCGAGCGGCGGACTGCCTGCACGGGTGGTCATCAGCTGAGCGGCGATGTCGGCTTCCGTGATCTCGCTGGTAGCGGCGGTGGAAGCAGAATGGTCAGACGTGCCCGGGCGGGCGGCGAGACGAAGAGGGGGAGGGACGCACTGCTGGGAGCCATGCTCTGTCTCTTTGGAGAGCGCGTGCTCGACGGCGCGGTCGACGGCTGTGGCGATCTCGTTCCGGGCGGCGTAGGGCATGCAGAGGTTGAGGATCGCGCTGCGGGCACAAGTGAGAGCGCGGTCAGCTGCTGCGACGGCAGGCGTGCCGATAAGACAAGGGTGCGCCCTGCCACGCATCGCAGGCTGCGGTGGCGTGCTCGGTATTGTTGGGAAGTGCCCCGGGCAGGGAGAGAGGGACCGAGCCTCGAGGACGGCAGTCGGAGCTGGAGGGGGCACGCACCGGTCGTTGTGCCGGGTCATGTCCTCCGCCTTGCGGATCGCAGCCTGTACGTGTGGCGGAAGCAGGCTCGTCTTGCCGAGGACGTTCAGGCGGACGCCGTACTCGTGTAGCAGATCCCTGTGCGGCAGGCTGGAGATTCAGCAGGGAGATAGAAGGTAGCGAAGCCTGCGGACCCGTGTTGGCAGAGCTCGAGGAGCTTGGTTTCTGCGAGCGCCATGAGGGCATCGACTTCCTCGGGCGTGCGCTTGAAGTTCTCGATGGCGAACGCATACACAGACACACAACGGACGTCGAGGCGCAGGCAGATGTCTAGTATCTGCTCCGAGTCAACGAACCATCATGTTCATAGATCGCGGAAGACGCACGCGCCGCAGAGCAACGAAGCCGTCCGCGTGGCCCTCCTGGACGCGTTTGTGGTGGGAGCGCGCGTACCGCCGGTTGCCGTCCATGACGAAGGCGATGTGGCGGGGGATGGGGCCTGCGGCGAGGGCGGCGAGGACGGCATTGCGGGAGTGGGTCGCAGCGGCGTGGAGGAGCCACTGCACTGAGCGGGAGACGAGGGAGAGGTCCATGCCGTGGGAATCCCGCCTGCTTGCTTTGCTCGAGCATGCCGCCACCCCGGTGGCGCTCCCTCCATAAAGCTCTCTCCTTGTCCTCCTCCCCCAGAGCTCGCCTTCTCTCTTCTCTCCTCGCCACACGCTCCCTCGCGAGCTTACCGCAAGCCATGGCGAAGCGCAAGGCAGAAGTCATCGACGTCGACGAGTACGACAGCCGGGTGTCGTCGCTTCCAGCGCGCCCGTACTCGCACGCGTCGTCCTCCTACGCCTCTGCCAGTCGGCCCGCCACTCAGTCGGCACCCCCTGCGAAGAAACAGCGGAAGAAGAAGGAAGCCGACGCGGCGCCCCAGGAGAAGCGCGCTGCCAGGTTCAGAGCCAAGTGCCCGCAGAACATCCTCGACCGGCTGGACCGAGTTATCTCCCAGAGGCGCGTCATTCCGCGCGTCGCACGCGTCGTCTATGCCTCACATGCGTGCAATAGGTTCTTCATGGTGGACCGTCATCGGAACGGCGACGAGTTGAAGGAAGAGTTCAGCGTACTGGGTTCGACGGGGAACGTGAGTGATCCGAGTCGCTGGCCCGTCCCACACTAGTGACACGCATGCAAATCTAGGTCTACACGGTGATCGTCGACAAGACGCCCAGCTGCAACTGTGCGTATGCTGCCGTCGAATGTGTCCATAGTGCTGACCGTGTACACGTAGGTCCTGACGCCACGAAGGGCAATCACTGCAAACACATCGTGAGCTTGTTCCAGATTGCTATTGATCGACGCATCACTGATGTCCTTGCCATAGCTATTCATCTTCCTGAAAGGTAGCTGCATCTCGCGCATGTTCCCCCTCGCCGCAATTCACCTTCCGAGCAGTCCTGCAAGTGACCCAAGCATCCGGGTACTGGTTCCAAAAGTATACCTCTCCCGCCCCTCCCTTCTACCCGCTAATCTCCCCCCTCACAGAGCTCTCCTCACCTCAGAGCTCCAAGACATCTTCTCGCAAGCCCCGCTCGCGCCCAACGCTCTCGCCAACGCTCGCGTGCGCGAGGCCTACGCGCGTGCCACAGGCAAGGCGACCTCTTCCTCCGCCGCGGCGAAGCAGCCCGAGAAGAAGCGCGTGCCCGGCCCGGAGGACGACTGCCCGATCTGCTACGAGAACATGCACCGCGCGAAGGCGGATGTCCTTGTGTGGTGCGAGGAGTGCGGGAACGGGCTGCACAAGGAGTGCTTCACGCAGTGTGAGTTCTGTTGCGCCCGTCTGTTGGGGTTGAGCTGACGGGCGGATGGACGCTGGGCAGGGAGTACGACGACGCGTCAGAAAGGGCAGCAGGTCACTTGCGTGTTCTGTCGCGCGAACTGGGTAGGCGCGGGCGCGGGTGCGAGCGCGGGCAAAAGCGCTGCTGCTGGGGGCAGCCGCTACGCGGAGGGCTACGTCAACCTGGCCGACGTCGCCGGAGTCAATGCGGTTCGCGACACGAGCTCTTGTACGTTGACTCCGTTCCTTGATCGTGTAGTGGCAGCGCTGACCATGGATTGTAGATTATCAAGGGCCGAGCAGGGGGAAGCGGCATTACGGTTACGTGGAGTATGTGGACGACTACTGAGGTCGTGGCGGTATCGTATCCCATCTTTCAACATGTTCTTGGACTATCTCCATCGCACGACGTACACTACACCATGGCTATTCTCAAGGTTATGTTATAAACTGACATCAATGTATGCCTCTCTGTGGAGCGATGCCGGTCCACACGCTACAACGTGAAAGGTCTGAGCTTTGCGCTATACACTGCCACCGTATCCACCTCTGTGTGCACTGCCGCGTGGGCGAGCACATTCGGTCTGCACCCTGCCCCACGACCCTTGAAGCCACGCGCCAAGCGCGGACGTGTACAGTATGTCGACAGGTCGTCCACACCGATGGAGCACGGAACGAGAGGGATGACTAGCGGACGAAGAGTGGGCGGCAGATGTGGTTTGGTTTCGAGCGGTCAGTTTCGCTGAACAACGCGTCATCAATGCCTACGTACTCACAACCTTCTTGCGGCGGCCGCGTTGCCAATCTCTGCAGGTGCATCTGTCGGTCTCGTATTCAACGTGGTGAGGAAAATGCTCTGACGACAAGGAGCGATGACTGGAGCTAGCGTGTAGGAATGAATGTTTGTACCGACTGGGTTACACGGGATAAACTCCACGCTCATATTTACCGTTCAAAGCCCAGCAGGATCAGCGAAAGCTAGAACGGCCAATCTGAGTAAGGGCTTGTTTCAGGACGCACACGTCAAGTGTTACCGCGAGCCTACCGTCTTGATGCGGCTGCACCGTTCGTCGGCGTCGATTGACTTTCTGCGTCGCAGAAGCCCATTGCGCATCAATTGCAGCAAGTAGCTACTTCGCAGACAACAGGACAGGACCTTGTGTCGTCAATGTCTCATTGCTCCGAGTCTGATGTCACACTCTGACCCGGGTTCTCCCTCCAAACCGCGACATTTTCCTTGCCTTGTGCACTATGCGCCTTTGATACGACAACCCGGCCAACAGCCTCCTCATTGGTTCATGGCTCAGTGCCGGTTGTAGTAGGTTTCTGTGTCTCCTACCGCATGGACGTGGACTGATCATTTGTGTCTCATCTGTAACCTTCCATGCCAACAGTACAGTGCGCGCAGCGCTGTGTGTGGCTCTGGAGTCGGTCACCTTATCGCCGCAGCTACGTGGTTTATAGCGACGTTTGTGCAGTCGCAAAGCCCGCTGGCAAACTGACTGGCCGCCAGGACCTACGACATACGGCTATTCACTGGCACGATGTCCTGCAGTTCGATCACGACCGTGACGGAAACCTCCACGTTCATCTTCGAGAGCGTTTCCACGTCATACAGCGCGGTCATCGTAACTGGTCCACTTTCCAGTTCGACTACGACGCCATCGGGACAGTATACCGGCAGGGACGAAACCGCCATTCGTTCCAGACATCCGCCAATTACGACGAGCGGTGAGCACACCTACCCGTGCGATTTCCAGTTTGCATCGCTTTAATGATTTATTCATCATCTCAGTGCAATGGGCCACTGAAACGCTGCTTGTTCCCGTTTACGAGACATATACGTTTACGCAAGCCATTACGAGTACTCTTTTCGAGGCGATCTGCTCAACTACGACTTCAGCGCCTGCGCAGAGCTCCGGCGTCCCTTCTGAGTCCGCGTGTTCAAACTGTCCCCCATCGACAGATGCAGGCGGTTCCGGCTCTACAGCAGCTTCGGCGGTTTCACCTTCCGCAACGACAGACCCCGAGTCTACGGCGGAAGGCCATCCACGTCATGTGGCTCGAGACATAGCGGTCAGCGCTGCTGTTATCGGCGGGCTCGCACTGCTTGGTGTCATTTTCGGCCTGATATACTTCTTGTAAGTGGCACGTTCATCGCGCTCTCGGATACCACTGACGTAATTACTAGCAGGCAACGGAGGGCTCAGAAGCAGAAGCAGCTTACTACTGCTACTGCTACTATTACTCAACCAATTCTACCACCCCACTGGCAGCCGACCGTCGCTGCGCAAGATGACAATGGGTCGCAGGGCACCAGTCAGACCCTGGTGAGGTACGTGTCCAAGTCGAGCTAACATCACCTCGGAAATCAGCTCACGACTGTCGCTGCGGTAGGAGCTCGAAACCTCCACGGAGGACGCAGGTGAACGGTGTCGCCGGGACACGTAGACCGAACAGACCGTTGCGCGTCATGAAGCAACGACCTCTGTTGCCAGTCGGCACAAGCCAAACTCGCGACCATCTCCCAGCAGAGGGCGCTGTTGTTCCCTCTCCTGCTCAAGCTTACACTGGTACGCCCGCTCCCCTACCTGTGATCTTCGAACACGGGACTCCGCCATCCTCTGTGGCCCCTCAAGCTCAAGCCCAAGCGCTCACTCCGAGCTCGTACCCTCCGCACGTATCCTCCTTCCTCCCCCAGGCTCACGCACCCGCAGGAGCCCTCGTTAGCCGCCCTTACCCACCAATCGTCCACGCACCAACACAACAACCGTACGCCCTCACTCACGCGTCCGTGGGTGGGGCCATCGCGCGGCTGCCTGGCGATGGTTCTCGCAATCGCCTTGAAGAACAAACGCCTCCCTACTACGCGCGATCGCCACCAGCACAACGAGTCCGTCGAGTAGCGCGTCTTGATGCACGGCCGGCTTACTATGACCAAGGCGCATGAAAAGGTCACACCACGGTATAGCGAAAATCAGGATGTCTTCACATTGCGCCCGACAAACGTGGACTATGCGACATACAGACTACAGCAGGACAGAGAATGATAGAGGATACACGGGTGGAGCGACGACACGGACAACTACGCGACTCGGCTAACGATGACGATATGGATTACGGGAGTTCCTGCGCGGGTGATACGGAGGACTGCATGAGTAACGTAAGGAAACAGCCACGGTACATACAGTAAGCGGAGCGAGGCTTGCGTGGGGAGTCGTCAGGGGCAAGAAAATCGTCTACAGTCCATACCCATAGAGCATACATACCATACATATGTTACGGAAGAGGACACAACAACAGCCTGGGTGGACGAGGAGGCGCATCATGATCGCTCGAGCTTGCCCGCCACTCCCGCCGCCTCGTCGCGCGCCTGTCCGAGTTGCGGGTCGATACCCGCGACGATCGTCAGCGGATTTGGATGCTGCGGTGGCTCGCTCGGATGTGGAAGTGGATGAGCGTGCGGGTGTGGCGCGTTCGTCGACAGCGCGGGGTTGATCGTGTCTCCCTGCGGCGGGGTGGCGGCGCTTGAACGGGCGCGGACACAGAGGCCGAGGCGGACGTGCCTGCGGTGGGTTGAGGCGCGGGAGGCGGTGGCTGTTGCTGGTTGTCGCCGCCGACGAGGACGGATCGGAAGGGGGACGGGGCGACGAGGGAGCGGTGGAAACGGGCGCGGAAGTCGTTCGGGGGTGGCTGGGAGGGATCGTGCGGGACGAAGGGCATAGGGTAGGGAGGCGGGGGAGGGGGTTGTTGTGATCTCCCTGTACTGACCCGTCAGGGCCTTTATTTGCTGCATGGTGCGCATAGTGTATCCGGCGCTGTGAAATGAGAGTGTGGTCGAGTTAGACGCTGTGGCCACATTCTGCCAGAGGCCTTACCTGCTGATCCCAGTGGTCCCAGGCTTGTGCGATGATAGGCTCGAGCGAGGCAAGTTCTTCGTTAGTCATATTGAGCGTGCGAAGGAGATGTTGCTTGAGAAGAGGCGCGCATGAGAAGGAGAGGAGGAGAGTGGAGGCAAAGGTCTGTCCCCCTGAGAGCTGGTGCACGCCGTGGGGAAAGGGCGGCTCCTGTATGGACTGCGGGGGCGGGGGGTGGGGCGGCATCTCGTGAGGCATGACGGGCTGATAGTGGCCGTCGGCGTTGACGCGAAACTGCATGTCTTCCATGCCCGGGAGGAGTTCGTTGCCCATGTCCATGCCGAGCTCGCGCATCTTGCGTGCCTTGACGAGGGCACGGTGCTTGCGTTGCCGCTCTCGCGCGGCCGCCCGAACACGATCCCGCTTTGCAACATCCTCAATGTTGGGATCATCGGCCTTTGCGAAGTCTGAGATCGAGGACGACATGCCCGCGGGGCGGATATGGTCTCGAGAGGCGGCGGCGCAATGCCGGTGGGCTGCTGGACCTGGGAGAGAGCAAGGATGTTATTCAGACCTGCCTGGCGGTCTCTCTCGCGTTTACGGCGCTGCCGCTCTGCAGCCTTCTCTCGCTTGTGTCTCTGGCTGGGAGTCTCGTTCTCGCGCGACCGCTTGCGGGACGCAGAGGGCGTGGCGGGGAGCTGCATGGGCGGCTGGGACGGGTCGTGGGCGTGCTGGGCGGGGTCCATGGGGAGAAAGAGTATATTGATATTCGCGGCGGACGATGCGCCCTGCTCGGTGACCGTTACGCTGTGGGCGGACTCCTTTCCGTGAGCCCCCTCGTCGCCAGTGACAGTCGTGACGAAAAGTGACAAGATGCGCACAAACACTGTCACACACCGTTAAGTACATACTGTGGCGTGGGAACATCCCCCTTTGTCGAATCTCGGCCACGCCCACTGTCTTTTTGTTAACCTCACTCGTCCTTCTATCACATCGCCTTAGCAAAACTACTATCTTGAGACAAGATTATCTACTAGAAGGACGCTAACACTGGCCGTGCGATCTCAACTTCTGTGGCATGCACGACTTTACATACTCCTTGAACGTTTGAACGCTGATCCCACTCTAAATCAGTGCAACAGAAGAGGATGCCACAGCATCCTTGTCCTCGCTCCGATTGCGAAATGTCGTTTGGGAGACAATCAAACTGTGGATGTGCCGAATAAATGTGGCGGCGCCACCTACATAGCTTGTGGATTACTGGCGAACTTACCAAGCACTCCTGGACCGTGACCGACATCCACGTCAGACGTCTCTTCCGAGCTTCGTCCAGAAGATCGACCAATAGGTCCCAATCGTCAACTGTGTCCTCAGGTTGCTGCCTTACCACTCCTCAGGCTTGTCGGCCGTATACACCCGCTGCGCAAGCAATCCGGCAAGCCGCTATGTTCTGCGCTACGTTCGCGCGTGTCTCCTGGACGTGTTGTCCACGCGCCCTCTCCCAAGCATCCTTCCCGTCCCAGCTGTGGTTGTTTTGCATGCCATTACCCACAGTCCGAATATGCTGCCACGGCTTGGGGTCGTCCCTTGCGAGTGTTCGGGTCAACTCGAGATCGGTAATGAACCATACCGTGCTACGTACCACTTTGTAACCCTTCGCTGTTCCAATATCAGACCCTCGAGTGTGAACAGCTTCGAAACTGAAGCGATCCGGGACTTACAACGAGTGTCAGGTTGTCGGCGGCGACGTCACCGTCCGTTCCCCCTCATCACACCGAAGTTGCAATCGAACAGCAAGCCGTTGGATGGTAAGACGGCGACCGAGACTGTCTATCCGCAGCACCACCAACGGCATTACCAGTCACTAAACCAACAGAGAACCGAGAGGTGAGGAACTCATCCGAGTTTTACATGGCTGCGCATATGGCGGAATAGTCAGGGGACGGGGGCGTGTCGGCATGAAGGTTTGGGAAGGAATCGCCTGCCATTCCATCGCTTGACGCCCGAGTTCTTGTGTCCGGAAGATTGAAAAGACGATGATGGAGCTGATGCAGTGACTGCCAAAGTAAAGAGAAACGGCGGGGACGGCATTAACACTGGTGAGTAGAGTCCGCATCATGATGACCAGGGAAGGAAGAGATGAGCAATCGCATGGTGCTCAGCTGAGTATTTGGTGTGTCTCCTTGATAACACCATTCGTTGCTGGGCGTAATGACATTGATCTCGAGAAGACCTACGAGTCACCTACAGACTACATGGCATTCAACACTGTTGTCCATGAAAGAGGCAGCTGACGTTGTAGAGATATCAGAGGCCATCGCCTGGCGGAGCGGATTTGTGTCCCAGTTATACTCGGGCGTCCAGTCCGAGACCCCCGTCATAGAAGGTTTCGGGCAGCGCCGCAGTGGTCCAGGATGCGCCAACCTTATTCTCGCCCGTCTCCCACTTCCGTGTCGACCTGTCGCTCGGTGCAAAGTCCTCGAGACGAGCTCCTCGATCGACCTCGACGACTTTGACTCGGCGATACGTCTACTGTGCCCTACGCAAGGACGCTCAACACAGGTACGTAGCACTCGCCCAGAGAGCAGCCGCGTTCCTGAGGGGCATCGTACATCGTGATAAGATACCCAGGTCACCGTGCATACCTGACGTCGACACAATGGGAAACGAGGAATCGAAGATGAACTCCAGGTTCCAGGAGATGGCGGACGAGATGAAGAGCCAGCGGGACGTCCTCATCCAACTGCAGCAGCAGCAAATCGTGCAGGGCTCTGCGGACGCGCTCAAACGTGCCGAGGACACACTGAAGAAGGCGGAGGAGATGGCGCGCGAGCAGCAGGAGGCGACGCGGCGCATGGAGGATGCCGTGCGCCAGGCGGAGGAGGCGCGCCGGGCAGCGGTCGCGCAGGCGGAGCAGATGCGCGAGGCGATCGGCAGGCTCGAAGAACAGATGCGCCGCGCGAACGACGACCGGGCTCGCGCGGATGCTGAGGCGCGTCAGGCGCACAGGGAGGGGCAGGATGCGAGGAGCGCACGGGAGGAGGCAGACAAGGCTGGTACCGCCGCGCGTGAGGCCAAGGAGGCTGCAGAGAAACAACTGCGCGAGGGCGTGCAGCCGTTCATCGTCCCGACGCAGGCGCAGCGCGAGGCGACCAAGCGCAAGTTTGGCTATCGGGAGAGCCTCTTCCACTTTGCAGTCGCGGGCGTGTCGGGCAGCGGCAAGTCGTCGCTCATCAACGCCTGGCGCGGACTGCGCAACAAGGACAGGGGCGCTGCGCCCACCGGTATCGTGGAGACCACAGCGGAAATCACTCGCTACCCCGACCCGAGCGCAGGCGTGCCGTACGTGTGGTACGACGTGCCCGGCGCGGGGACGCTGTCCGTCCCCGACTGGCAGTACTTTACCGACATGGGGCTCTACGTGTTCGACTGCGTCGTCGTCGTCTTCGAAAACCGCTTCACCGCCACTGATGTCGCGATCCTCCGGAGCTGCACGCGCTTCCAAATCCCGACCTTGGTCGTGCGCTCCAAGTCGAGCCAGCACATCCAGAACCTTGCCAGTGACATGGGCGGTGCGGATGCAGACGACAACGATGCGGAAGAGGACGTTCTGGACATGGATCAGCGAAAGGAGAAGGCACGCGCGCGATACGTGCAAAACTCGCGCGAGATCGTGAAGTGGGACCTGCAGGCGGCGGGCCTGCCCCCGCAGCCGGTGTACCTCGTCGACAAGGACGTGCTCGTGAAGATCGTCCGTGGGGAAGCCCGAGCGGGATTGACGAGAAGGCATTGCTCCGGCGCATGTTCGAGCTGGCACCGCCTCAGGCTGACGAGTCGGACGAGTCGGAGGTGACGATGTCGGTGGGCAGTGAGAGTGAGTGGCAGACGGACATGTCGTTGTCCACCAAACTGTCCGATCTCGGGTTGGCCTCGGTCACGGCTGTCGGGCCGAGCCTATGAAATGAGTCCTCCAGCCGTTGCTCATGATCACGTCCTGCTTGTTTGTAACCTTCACTGTTGTTCTCGAGAGATCGTTGAATGCTGTTTTGCAACATATTCCCAGTGTGATTCGGCGCAGTCAAGACATATGTACGGGTAACGGTTTTGTGCAGAAAGCACGCCGCGTCTGCGAACCACGAAGGACTAGATATGTAGTGCCGCATCGGCGCTGCTCACTCCCCCAAGTCATGCGAGATTCGGGCACATATCGAGCACCGTTGGGCGTAGGGTGAGTGTGCTTCTCATTTGGCCGTTGACTGTAACTGAATGCCTTCTCAGTCGCCCCGTGGTTGCAGCGCAGCTAGAACCTGCGGTGCGATATTGTCATATTGAAGCTAAGTAAGTTCGCACCGTTTCCCAGCCGGATGATGACCGTTCCGATTGTCCTCTCCCTTGTCGTATACTCTGGAGTCGCAACGGGAGGCCACTGCAGCAGAGTTGAGGTGTTTCGTTCATGTCAGCCCGCTTCCGTTTCTAAGCAGCCGTCCCGCATCTGTATGTGCCCTGAAACTGCTGTTGCGAAGCCCGAACTCAATCTCCTCGTTGTGTGGCACGAGTGGAAGCACATCCCTCATTGATGTTTCATATTCCGTGTCACCGGTCCATATTGACCATGGTGCGCTTCCGTTGACTAAAGTCGGCATAGCCTGTCAGGCCTTCAGGGAGATCGCAGTGTGTGGGTTCATTGTCGCCGTAACCATAACCGCCATATCGTTCACACACAACAAGAGAGCTGAAAGTCGATCTTGCCACCTATAAAGCCCTCGCGGCAATCTTGCGCGTCCTCAGGTCCTCTGACGACTAGTACCTGTTGTCTCGAAATCGGTGCGTAATCAACCTTGAGTTTCGCAGGATACTGAATGACGCGCATACCTCGTCTACTGTAACTGCTTCCTAGCTATGAGTTCGCGGTTTGAAACGGTCGCAGCTACAGTCGCCAGAAATGATGCAGTGGTTCTTTTGTTCGACGCCCTCTTCAACAACACGAGAGAACGCTTCCTGGGTCGTCGTAACGACCGTAACACAGCGAGGATCAGATCCCGGATCGAAGCACTGCAGGCCTGCCTTCAGAAGGGGGACGCGATGCTCAACGCTATGAGAGCGAATACCGCTGAGGCGGCAGACGCCTTCCGAGCGGCACAGGAAGCGCGCCAGCGAGTTGAAACACAATTATCGATAATGGAAGAGAGCTCCCGACGACGAAATAGTCCGGATCCATACTCCGCCGAAGACACCAAGAGCATGGCTGATGGCGACTTCAGGAGTACCGAGCTGGACCGACAGGGGACCGAGGAGGAGAGAAGGCGAGTGGAAGAGCACGACAGTCGAGCCCTTGAGGAGCGCAGTCGAGCCATCGTCGAGGCGAGTAAGGCTAGGCAGGAGGAGGAGGAGACTTTTCAGGGGCTTCGTGGCGCGGAGGTCACTGCTTCTGGTACTCGTATTGAACAACTGGACGCGGAGGACAACTTGTGCAGGGGCATTCGCCCTGTCGTTGAGCCTACACAGGCCGAGTTCCTCATCGTCCTGTTCGACAGTCGTCTCATTTCCACGGACATCGGCACTGTACTACGCGACTCCACCCGCTTCGGGATTTCAGCCTTTATCGTGCGCTCCAAGGCTACTCAGCACATCCAGAACCTTGCCAGAGACATGCCTGATACCGACGACGACGACGATGCGGGAATCTCGAAACGAGCGCGCGAGATGTACATCCAGGAAATCCGCGCGAGCATAGCCCGGAACTTGGTGGCCGCGGGGTTACCTGAGCAACGAGTGTACATGGTCGACAAGGACACTCTTGCTCGGATGGTGAAGGGACGACCGGTCATGGACGGCATCGACGAAGAGAAGCTGCTTCGTGACCTTCTTGCTGAGGCACGTCGCCAGAAAGCAAGTACAGACACCTGACACTTCCTGTCAACCCTTCGCCGCGACCCGTCATATATTCATACCTCAGATGTTAGCACTTCCGTGTCTGGATCGAAATCGGTATGATCTGCACGCTCTCATATCGTCTACGTACGAAGTTTGTTTGTTTGTTTATTCCCTTTTGTGGTCACTGAGGGCGAAGCCCTATGTAGACAGTACACGTACGAAGTTGATCGTGATCACACTGGTCTGGCTGGGCCTGCCCCGGACTCCCTGTAACATATATATCTATACGCGCAGAATAATTGTAGTCGATTGGTATGAGTGCTGCATCGATCCGACAGCCTCAAACGGCACTTACCAGACTCATCTGCGGATTCTCGCCATTTGCGGCGCAGCATACATGCATGCGGAGATCCGCACTACAGTTGCGTACAGGAGGGTGGTAATCAAGAAGCTTCATTTCGGCCAGCCCTGTGATGCGTGGTGATTCAAGGATGGCGCCCGCTTGAACTCAAACCTTGATCCTGCGAAATCGTGAGTGCATATGAATCCAAGCGGGTTTTATAGTTCTCAACGCTCATCGGAATGTCTTGACCTTCCCATACCGACGGCGAGACCGCTGCGCGGCGACAAATTCCCCAGTGAGCATTCTATGTTTTGTGATTAGCAATCCGATATGAACTGTATCACTAACCATGCGGCGTTACAGAGACAAGATAATTAATACGTCGAGTTCCATCTGCCAGAGTTAAGGGAGGCAGCGCGTCCCAGATACGCTTGTTGGAGGAACGAATCCAGAGGCAGGAACAGCTGCTCCAGGCAGCTATGCAGCAACAGGAGACCACGTCGCAGAAAGATGTGACGGAGGCTTCGAGGAAGAAGGTGGAAGACATGACGCGTGAGCAGGATCAGCTCAGACGGCAAGTGAGTGAAGCGATGCGACGCGTGGACGAGGCGAGACAATTCACAGAGGAGCGTACGAAAGAGCTGCACGAATCTATACGCAGGCTGCAGGAGGATACGAGGGAGGCCAGAGAGGAACGCGCAGAGGCTGCAGCCTCGGCTAGGAAGGCACGGCAGAACGAGCGAAAGGCGCAGCACGCACAAATGGAAGCCGAAAAAGCGGCGGCGGCAGCACGTGAGGGGAGAGAGGAGGCGGAGAGGCAGCTGCGTGAAGGCATACGGCCGATGCTCGTCCCTACCCAGGCGCAGTACGAGGCGACCAAGCAAAGACTGGGCTACCGGCCTGGCTTCTTCCACTTTGCAGTTGCCGGCATTGCTGGCAGCGGCAAGTCGTCGCTCATCAATGCCCTCCGTGGTCTTCGTAACAAGGACAGAGGTGCCGCACCCACAGGCGTCGTGGAGACGACATCCGATATCGTTCGTGAGCGCTGACATGCCCTATGTCTGGTACGACGTTCCGGGCGCCGGGACGCTGACCATTCCCGACTGGCAGTACTTCACCGAGCAAGGGTTGTACATCTTCAACTGCATCATCGTCATCTTCGACAACCGCTTCACAGCCACCGATATCGCCATCCTCCGCAACTGCGTACGATTCCAGATCCCGGCCTTCATCGTCCGCTCCAAGTCAGGCCAGCACATTCAGAACATCGCGAACGACCTGGGCGGTGGCGATGATGACGATGGCGACGACAGCGACGAGGAGGGGGATCGAGAAGGCGAACTGGAGCGCATGGCGACGGCGCGCGACCGTTATCTTCGGGAGACTCGTACGAGTGTTGCGCGAAACCTGGAGGAGGCGGGCCTGCTTGCGCAGCGGGTGTACGCGGTCGATAAGGACGTTCTGCTGAAGGTGGTCAGGGGGAGGACGTCCCGTAAATGCATTGATGAGGAGGCCCTGCTCAGGGACATGTTTGCACTGGCAAATAATGATTGGGCATCACAGGCAACGGATGATGCCCAGGCTTGAGCGGTTGTAGAGCCATAGGTTCCAATTTCGCCGAAATACCTGTGAAGTGGAGACTGGGGGGAGGCAGTGCGAAGTACTTCGTTGTAACCGAGTGATATTGACACGGGATCATCGTCATGTCCACAAATCGCTAGAAAGTAGGGGACCCCGTCAGCTGCACGGTCAACAGCTGAAGCAAGTCAGAGCAGTGTACCAGCCGGTCCTTAGCCAGCACCGAGACGAGTGCACAGAGATACCTCAATCTTGGGCAGCCTCGATGCGAAACTCTTGGTATATCAGCGTCATGTGCGAGCCTCGCTGGCGGCTAGCCAATGGTGCCCGAGTACTCTCGCCCACTTCCACGAGACCAAACGATGCGATTGATGTGTGACGATGACCGACTAGATTCTGAATCTTTGTCCGCGCTGGCAGCTTGCACGGATGGCACAGTCACGCGTCGGTGTCATCCTCGAACACTATACGCCGTGGCGCGGTTGAGCAGGCTCCACATACTGTATCAACCGGGACGTACCGAATGCCATCAAATCACATATGCGGAGGTACGCAGCACCAACCACAGATCTAGAGCGTCGGGACTGCGCCAGCGTTCGATGGGCGGCGGACATACGAGATGCAACGCTATGTCCGAATCCGGCTCTACACCTTGAACGTAGTCATAGTTCCAGCTTGCCCGACTAGGTTCGGAGTTCGCTGCGAGAGTACTTCAACGAAACAACACAGTCATGTGAAGCACATATTATACGCATAAAGTCCCGCATCGGGAGCACGGGTATGGCCTCCGTCCAAGCCGGCTCTGGCCTACAAGCCTACCAAGGCTTCGTGTTGAGCGAGTGGGGGAGGGTGACGCATGGCAGCGGGTCGCCAGGTCTGGCTCGGAGGGATCTTCTCGTTCTATCATGAGGGTCTAGAGCCGGGATGCATTTGAGGCCCTCAAATTCCCTGACCACGGTTGACATGAGCAGAGATGTGACTGCCGGGGTCGGATGAAATTGAGCCGCGAGCGACGTCAATTGCATGGCTTGCGGGCGCGCCTCAGGGCGGGTCCGGGGTTCTTGGTGTTGCATTGGGCGACTCAGACCCTCAGACCCGCAGACTCGTGCACGGTATGGTCGATCGTCTGTGCGCTCTCATAACATCTCGACTAGCCTGGCATGGTAGGGGATTGTGCCCAGAGTCGCTCACGCCCTCGCAGGTCGACAAGAACTGATGATCATCCATCATAAGCGTCGCCATATGGAAGAAGCTGGAGATTGGAGCTCACCGGCACCCCATCAGCCTGGGTTGCACATCGACCTGCTCTCGATGTACACAGCTCACCCGTCCGAGAGGTGCGCCTCAATAGTCTCTCCTATGCAGCCACTAAAGAAGCCGTTGACGGAGGGGAGGACGGTTGGCCTTGGGTTGGCCCTCAAGTCCTCAAGGCCTCAAGGTGCGCCAGCGGTCAGACGATGATCGGCAGGCGACCGGCGCGACCGCGGCGGACTCGGGGTGAACGGTCACGTGGTACGTGTCTTGATTTTACGCTCGGTTGAACCTGGGCTGAACACCTAAGTTCATCCTCAGCGTATGCACGGCGACGTGGATTCTCAGTCACTTCCTCGGCCTATCGCCAATGTGTGGGCTTCTTTGGGGGCTGCAACGATTTCAAAAACGATGTCGCAGCTGGAATGTTTGCGCGGCACTGGCAGCCCGAACATTGGTTCGTATGACAGTTACTAATAGCCAGACCGTTCGCCGGGCAACCCATTCTGCTACAATGGATCGAAGCTCGAGGACAGACACGATGACGATGAGTAGGCGTCACTGCAACGGTTGCATATAATCCGGATTCGTGCGTTCCCCTGGCATGATACGACGAGTCCTCCTCCTCGATAATAACAGTATAGGGGCACGCAACGAAATTCAAATGAGGTGCCGATCATGGACCTAGCCTTGTGGTGAGTCTGCCGTACTATACCTCCTCAGGATGCTTGTGACAGGGGAAGGTTCAGCCTACACGGCCGGGCACCCAGTATATATCAACTGACTAGCAGCGGACAGGGAACGATCGCCGAATATGTATTCCTCCTCGATGGCTAGTAGCGTGGTCCCGACAGGCCCTCCTCCGGCGCCGATGATCGAGCTCAGTCGTCGCACGTTCCGCAATGCCGACGCCGGTCCTGTTGGAACAAGAGCGCAGTGTGCAACCATTGCTCGGCTGCGCCAAACGACGGCCAACATTTCTCCGTTTGCAAGCAGTGTCATCGAGTTGCGTACTGCAGTGTATCTTGTCAGAAGGCGGCATGGGATCTTCACAAGTGAGTGATGTGGCGACTGTTGCGGTCCCATCGCTGATTTATGTGACGTAGGGTATCATGTGAAGGGAGAATCCGTGCACTGGAGGGCTGGGCGAAGGACGCTAGTCCGAACACCGCTTCCCAACAAGTAGCTTCGAGCTTGCCGCCTGTGGAGCATCGCATCGAACTCCTCGTCGACTTCATCGAGCTCTATACACATATAGCGCATTGGGCATTCACTGCCGGGCCCGCGCTCTTCGAACAGAGCGAGGAGGACTCCGCCGTCGGCCCCACTGGCATCCCCGTGTATCACGCCTTCTACATCACCCTGCAGTTCCGGAAGGACTGCGACGGCAACCCCAGCAAGGCATACTTTGTTAAGGACGCGCAGGTCCTGCGCTTCCCGGAGAACGATCGGCTGACCTTCTTCAGCGAGGCGGGTGTGAACCAGTTCTACGCGAAGGAGGAGAAACAAAAGGATCGCCCTTTGACCTATGAGTTCCCCAACATCATCTGGGAGTCCGAGGACACACGGAAGTCGACGATGTTGAGTGTTCCCGGGACGCCCGCTCCCGTGTCCGAGTGCTTGCCGTCCCTGTTGGCTCGGGGCTGGCTGGACTGCCTGCGGCGCACTGTTGCGAATGGCCTGGTGTTTAGAGAGGAGCCGGGTCGCGGACACAAGATGACGCTGGGACGACTTGAGAAGTCGGGTTCCCGCTGGCGTTGGCGGTCGCTGAAGGCGTTGACCACGCGCGCTCGGATGGTGGATAGCCCCAAGCTGCTCATGTGAGGTGAGCACATTCATCTCTGTCCATTGTTCGTTTCCTCAGCGACGGCTGTGATCAGAACCTTAGGACATTTCCGTACTCTCGAGGTGACTCATCTGCGTTGCGCATGTGTTTTGATTTCGCCTCGACTCAGACTTCTTGTACTTCACTTAACATGCACTTGAACAACCCGTCCCTGGGTACAAAACCGATCTCGAGCTACTGACGACCTAGATTGAGTGCTGCCTCGGCACCTAGATCGACCACATGTACGACGTGTCTCCCTTCGTTCCGACCCCGTGAATGTACTTCTACTTTGCGATGATCACCGTTCTGGACCTGAATGCGTTCAGCGTGAACGTGTACACGCCGCGTACCATGTGTCGTTACGCTGCCAGCGACGTTATGAACGAACGGGGTGAGCATGGACATGGTCAGTCGTTGCTTCGACCAAGAACTCTATCGGTAGTCTATGTTACAGATGTCTTCCGTACACATGCGCAATTTAGGGAACAAGCGGTAAGTACTATAGTACAGTAGTGATCGGGGTTACGACTCCTTTGACTTCGACAGCTCCTCTACCGTGAGCCCATTATTCACGAACCTCGACAACACCTCGATCATGGGCCGTCTACACTCCTCGTGATAAAATTGGTTCGAGTGGTCCAAGCCCGGAAAATACAGGACTTCTAGGCCGTCCTTCTTCCAGCGCAGACTCAGGTCCTCGGAGCCAGTGAGGTACGCCATCACCTCCCGCGAGTCGACGATCTGGTCCTCGCCACAGAGCACGACCGCCGTCTCGCGGCCCTCGAGGTCCTCCTTCCAGAGCACGTTCTCCGTCCAGAAGAAGTGCCGCGAGAGCGCGCGCGCGATGTCGGGGTCGCGGCTCGCGAGGTACCACAGCTGCCACTCGCTCGCCGCGCGCGGCTCGCGGTACACGAAGTTGTACGCGACGGGCGGGAGGTAGAGCAGGAACGGGATCGGGTCGATGAGCAGCGTGGCCGCGACGCGCTGCGAGAGCGCGGCGTCGCGCAGGACGTGCGCGGAGAGGACGGTGCCGTAAGAGTGCGCGGCGAGGACGAACGTGGAGATGTTGTGGTGCCGGAGCACGGTCGTGAGCGCGGCGAGCATGTGCGCGCGCCGGAGGGGAGGCGGGGAGATGCGCATGCTGATGGAGAGGTTCTCGATGGCGATGATGCCTACGTCTGGGTCTTGCGCCGCTAGCTCGCGGAAGAACGTGACGTAGGGCCAGAGCCCGATCTGCAGTCATGTCAGAAAAGTGCGAGACGTGTGAAGCAATACGACGCACCCCGATGCCATGAAGGAAAACAACAGGCAGCTTGGTCTTGGAGCGATGCGGCCGGTACCAGTACGCGAGGGAAGGCTCGGGTGTGCGCTGCGAGAAGAGGGACCACAGCCGGAAGGGGAACGAAGAGAACGGGTTTCTGGTGTCGCGGTGCGTGAAACCTGCGAGAGCCAACCGGACGCAGGTCACGGTATCGACGAGACCCACGATCTGCGCGTCGTCAGACCTCCGACATGGCATGGCTGAGAAACGGAGACCCACCGCGTACCAGACCAGCGGCCTGTGCAGCATGACAACGGGATCCAGCGTCAGGCGCATGCACCGCGCCACCTCGCTCCAGCCGCCTTCCAGCGGCTTGCCCATGTAGTTCTCCAGCATTGCGAGATACCCCTCGATTTCATCGTCCCATTCCGGCCGTGCGCTGTCGCGATTGCAGCCGAAGAGGGCCCACAGGAGCCATTCCCGCATGTTCTCGCGCTTGATGAGTGAGGCGTCGCCGCCGAAGAACCAGCCGGTGGCCATATTCATCTTGGCGATGTAGCCGAAACATTTCTCGAAGAGGGCTTCGCGCTCCTTGCGGGAGAGCGGAGGCGGATGGGTCGCAGCCTGGCGGGTCGAGTTAGCAGGGAGATATACATCCACAAATGGTGCATATGTACAGCTGATTCCATATCGCTAGACCCAAGGCGAAAAAGTATGCACGGGCGGGACATGTCGGGTTTGCGAGAGAGGGCGTGTCCGACCAAGTTTTATGGCCGAGGTCAACCAGCACAGGGTGCGGATCCCTCGACGAGGAGGTCAGACAAAGACCCTCCGCCCTCCGCCCGTGCACGCGTTTCCGGGAAGTGGTCTAGCAATAGGAATTGGCTAGAAGTGCCGGACGACTGACCTTCTGAAGGAGAAAGGATCGCGGGAGATACACGAACAAGTAAAAGCACGCCTCCACCAGCGCGTACGCTCCGACCCACGGAGAGCACAGAAAGCGGCCTTCCCGCCAACTGGCGAGAGTGTAAACGAAACTCAGAGGAGCTACGAGACGGAGCCCCGCGATGCAGGTGCGGATGAAGATGTACTCCGGAACGGAGTTGCCTATCATGTTGGCGTCGTTGCACGTTGTCTAGAGGTCGTCACGGTCGTCGCGGTCGTTCAGAGGCTTGGTTGAGATGGAAAGGGTGTGCCGACGAGAGCAGTTAGGCATAGTATTCATATGCGAATTACAGAGTGAGTGCCTTGGGGCTGGTGGATATGCCCCTGCGGGATGCCTCAGCCTGCGGTGGGGTTCGTCTCCTGCCGCCACCGTGCCACCGGCATATGCCGCGTATTCGTTCTCCGATCGGCAGAGCGCGGGAACCCGATTGCTTGCGAACTTTCGCTCGCCCTCCCGACGCCCGTCTCACTCATCCGACTCAACCATGGCAAAGAAGAAGAGCAAGCAGGTAGGCATCGTCCGCACCAGGTGCAGCAGCGAACCTAACCGGCTACAGATCATCCGGCCGTGGTGCTGGTATTGTGAGCGGGAGTTCGAAGATGAGAAGGGTCAGTCGCACGCTTCCTCATTGTCGACTCTCCGGCCACTGACATTTCCTCCCAGTTCTGATGCAGCATCAAAAGGCCAAGCACTTTAAGTGCAACATGTGCCCTAGACGTCTCAACACAGCAGGTGGTCTCGCAGTTCACATACAACAAGTCCACAAGCTTGAGCCAGACCAGTGAGCATCGCCCCTTGCTGGCGCCAGTTTTCTGCCTGACACTCCTGTAAAGGTTGCCTCGTATCGAGAACGCTCTTCCAGGCCGAGATGGCTACGAAGTGGAGATCTTCGGTATGGAGGGTATCCCTGCGCCCGACGTGGCAGACTATAAGCGACGAAAGGAGATCGAGCTAGGGCTCAACCCTGGTACAATCTCACAACCGCAGTCCAAAAGGCCAAAGCTGGACAACCGTGCACTCACCGAGGAAGAGCTGAGACAACAGCTCGAGGCTCACAAGGCGCTCATGGGCGCAGGCGAGAAGACCGCAGCCCCTACAGCGCCTGATGCCTCAGGCGCTGTCTTCGGTGCTCCTCCACAGGCATATTCCGCACCGCCTGTTCCCGCCATGATGCCACCCCCGTCGGCATCTCCGCCAGGGATGATACCGCCAGGTGCGCCGCCATATTTTCACGGGGCGTTACCTCCGCCAGGTTACCCAGGACCTCCCCCGTTTCCGCCGCCGCCTGGCATGCCGTTTCATCCAGGGTAAGCTGGTCGTCATTGTACAAGAATCACTGATGCGAAATGTCTGTTATTACTTAGCATGCCTCCTCCGGGCTATCCCATGCCACCCTTTGCAGGCTCCCCACCACCAGGTATGCCACTGCCTGGTGCGCCTCCCTTCCTTCCACCGCCGGGCATGCGCCATCCCTTTCCTCCTCCTTTCCTGCCCCCGGGTGTCAGCCCGCCACCCGGCTTCACGCCTCCCCCAGGTGGTAACGGCATGGTCCCGCCGACGCCTATGCCTCCCGGTGCGCCGCCCCCGCCAGGCGTCATGCCCCCGCATATGGGCGTCCCTAGAGCGTCGCCTCCTGCGCCTCCTGGTACAGTGCCTCCGACTACTGCACACCCTTCATTGAACGCTGCAAACCCGCCAGTGGCACCGCCGCTAACGTTGCCGAACCCCAGTCTGTCGCAGACGAATCCGCCATTCAAGAAGGCGACGATGCTTAAGTGGGACAACTCGAACTTTTCTCCCGTACGTCTTATGCTATCTGTTTCTTGAACCCGACTAACATGATGTATAGGAGGAAAAGCGTGCGACGCATCCCAAGTACTATTTCCCCAAGGAGGGCGACGCGCAAAAGCACGCCGACGCTCAGGCGCAGCAACCCTATCAACAGCAAGCTGGGGCATTCGTGGCGGAGGAATCGCGTGGCAAGAAGCGCGCACGCGCGGAGGACTTCCTGTAGACTCGGCGCATTCAGGTCAGCCCGTGTGTCGCTCACCTGAACTACCCTTGGGATCGACAAATGATGGAGGAAGCGTCGTGGGGAGACCAGTCCGTCCCATCCGTTCATGCTCCCGCTCCGTTGTCTGTTTCTCACTGTCACGTTTCCTGCTGAAGAGTTGGCTTGGTGGGTGGATTGCGGCGCCGAACAGCGGTACGAGGCTCTTCCTGTCTACTTCCTCTCGCCTTCCTCTTCCCCCGTTCGTGTTGCTATCCTTACAGCCTTGCTCGCGCGTTGTGTCGTACGGTCGGTGTTTCTGTTTCTTTCCTATACTTATTTCCATACGTCGTGTGCAATAAAGAAGGTTCGTCTGTTGTGTGTGCGTGGTAGTGGTACTCACGACAGGTCCGCGCCATGCTCTCGTCTTTGCCATCACCCCCGCGAGACGAGACGAGGCGGTGCATCGAGATCAGCAATGAGAAACGAGGCGAGGCCAGAGATATTGTCACTGCGAAAGTCGGTGGTCAGACACTGGCAGCGTTTGAGTCGGTACTGACGGTCTGTATGATAGTCCCTGCGTACAGGTTGCGCGCGCGATGTTGGTTGTGGTAATTGTCAGCGCTGGTGAGTGTTCGCTGTCCGTACCCGTCGCCGTCTGCCTGTATACCTGTTCTCCGATGAAATTTATGTGTAGTCGTTGGGCGGGTGCAGGACTCGCCCGTCAGTTTACCGACGATGGTTGGCGATTAGTCGTTGCATTGAATTTCCCGGCGTGTTTGCTTGTGGGCTTCTACCTGTGAGTGCCTGTCCATGTTTTGCTGCGCTGGCTGCAAGACGATACACGAACCACTTCTGAGGCAGAAGCTATACCCATCCAGGTTATATCCTCACTTTCAGCGAAGAGGTACAGCACGGATCACTCATAGATCATGGCGGTGAATATGATGAGAATGGCTTCTCTATTGTCCTGGCATCGATGAAGCTAGCGACGTCTCAGACGCGTTGATCGGTGGACCGCCCTCACTTTCAGTGAGCGTATGTACCCGTTGGGCGTACGGGCAGTGTGCAGCGAGTGCAGGTTAGTGTGAGATCTCATATGCTTGGGGGTGAGTTCTGATTTCCGAGACCTTCCATACGGCGAGACTCATCATGACCATCCGTTGTCCCGTAGTACGGTTGAAGCGACTACCTCCATAAACCGGTCATCCGATGCGGAACACGCCAACCCGTACGTATGATACACCATCTCTGGTGCGGGGACGCTGGTCGTGCTGAGTTGGACGTACTTCACAGACCAATGTGTACGTCTTCAACTGCACCAGCATCCTCTGGGACTCACGCCTGGTTGACATACCGTATCCAATCTCAGCTGCCCACGCCTGCATATTCGACCTGCAGGAGGCGCGAGAGGTCTTCACTCAGGAACCCTAGATATCCCTTCGCGAGGCACCAGCCGGCAAACTGAATGACAAGCTGCGGGTATACCATCGATAGAGAGCCTATGACTCAGGCGTGTCGCGGATGCCCTTAAGTCACGCCGGAGCCCGGAGGATCATTCACAATCTCCACCGACGAGTTCAAGCTGATGCATGATGTAGTCCGCAAGGCCGGTCAGGGGCGCTGCATAACACCAGCATGAAGGTCGGTTATAACTGACTATCCTGTCTGGGTCCTCTCTGACTATCATGATCTGATACCTGTTCAAACAGCCAGTCGTGCTCTTGGGCTACTCTACTACAACTTGCGTTGCAGGCTTCACGAATTATTTTCCCAGTGTATTGGGCTTTCGGGAAGGGCGTCGTCTGCATCTTTTCTCTCTCGCACGCTCACTGTGTCGTCAATAGCTCGAGCTTTCGTCCTTCCGGAGCGATCGTTGCGATAGTGTAACGCATCGGCCTTGGAGAAGTTCCTTAATTCAATCAATCAGTTTCCTTGGAAGTTCGGCTGGAGTTCTCGGGCTTGGAGACTGCACCTCAGCTCTGAGTTGCTTCAACATATGGGCATCGAGACGGTTGCAACAAACTGTTCGATATGGTATATCAAGATAACCGATCCACCAACTCAAGTCTGAACCACGTACATTTCCAGTTCTCTGTATCAACCGGCGAGTGCGTTGTCAAAACAGATGTTGTCGTCTGCTGATACGCACCTGGATCCTGGGCACCTCAGCAGGTCACCCCATAATTCGTGTAAATGTGGCAGCGACGGCATGCTTCATCCCAGAATGTACACCGTCGCCCGCTGTCCATATGCCAGGGAAAGTAGCCCTTCCAACTAGTACCAATCTACGACTACTCGAGTCTGGCACCATCCACTGCCTATGAGTCCCCATTAGTGTCTGCAAGCGCAAACATGTCTCTGAGCAAGTCCTCTTCATCGATGCATTCGTGAGACTTCCTCCCTTTGACCACTTTCACCAAGGCGTCCTTATCGACCACGTACACCCGCTGCGCAAGCAGGCCCGCCTCCTCCAGGTTTCGCGCAACACTCGCACGAGTGTCCCGAAGATAGCGATCGCGCGCCCTCGCCATGCGCTTCAGTTTGCCTTCTGGATCCTCGTCGTCGTCATCGTCGTCGTCGTCATCGTCGTCGTCGTCATCACCACTCCCAATGTCGTTAGCGAGGTTCTGGATGTGCTGGCCCGACTTCGAGCGCACGATGAAGGCTGGAATCTGGAATCGCACGCAGTTGCGGAGGATGGCGATATCGGTGGCTGTGAAGCGGTTGTCGAAGATGACGATGATGCAGTTGAAGATGTACAATCCTTGCTCGGTGAAGTACTGCCAGTCGGGAATGTTCAGCGTCCCGGCGCCCGGAACGTCGTACCAGACATAGGGCATGTCAGCGCTCGGGTCAGGATAGCGAACGACATCGGATGTCGTCTCCACGACGCCTGTGGGTGCGGCACCTCTGTCCTTGTTACGAAGACCACGGAGGGCATTGATGAGCGACGACTTGCCGCTGCCAGCAATGCCGGCAACTGCAAAGTGGAAGAAGCCAGGCCGGTAGCCCAGTCTTTGCTTGGTCGCCTCGTACTGCGCCTGGGTAGGGACGAGCATCGGCCGTATGCCCTCGCGCAACTGCCTTTCCACCTCCTCTCTCGCCTCACGCGCTGCCGTCGCCGCTTTCTCGGCTTCCTCTTGTGCGCGCCGCGCTTCTCGCTCATTCTCCCGTGCTTTCCTCGCCTCGGCCTCGGCCTCTGCGCGTTCCTCTCTGGCCTTCTTTGCATCCTCCTGCAGCTCGCGCATAGATTCGCGCAGCTCTTTCGTACGCTCCTCTGCGAATTGTCTCGCCTCGTCCGCGCGTCGCCTTGCCTCATTCACTTGCCGTATGAGCTGGTCCTGCTCGCGCGTCATGTCTTCTGCCTTTTTCAAAGCCGCCGTCGCATTTTTCTGCGCGTCTGTCGCGCCTTTGAGCATGCCCAACGTGGTTTCCTGCTGCTTCATAGCTTCCTGGAGCAGCTGTTCCTGCCTCTGGACTCGGTCCTCCAACGAACTTATCTTGGATTCACCGCCTCCCATAGCTCTTGCAGGTTGAACTCGTGTTTCGTATGTTGTCTCTATGACGTCGCATGATTAGTGATGCAGTTCATATTATATTGCCATCACAGATCTTATTGTGCTCACTGGTGGGGGATTCGTCGCTGTGTGGCAGACTCGTCGCTGGTGCGGGAATGTCAAGACGTCCCAACGGGCTTCTAGAACTATAAATCCTGCTGGATCTACATGCAGTCAGGGTTCCGCAGGATCAAGGTTTGAGTTCAAGCCAGCGCCGTCCTTGAATCACCACGCATTACAGGGCTGGCCGATATGAAGCTTCTTGATGACCACCCTCCTGTATGCAACCCTTATGCGGATCTCCGTATGCAGTGATGCTGCGTTGCAGATAGCGAGAACCGCAGGTGTCTGGTAAGTGCATATACAGTTTATGAATCTGAGAGTGGTCAGGCCGCGGATTCATGGTGCTAAGCATCCTGCGCACGCGTCATTCTTCGTCTTGTCTCGTTGGCACCTCTTATCATGCTGCCGGCGAAATTCGCTACATGACTGTACACCCTCAAGCAGTCCGTTTGAGGTTGCTGGATCAGTGCAAGCATTCATGCCAACACAGTGGAATGGTTCTGGGCGTATAGAAATACATGTTACGGGGAGTCCAGCGAGCCCAGTAAAACCACGATCAACTGCATATGTACATAGACGATACGAGAGCGTGCAGATCATACCGATTTCGATCCAAAATTGGAAATGCTAACATCTGAGGAAGTGTGACGGGTCGCGGCGAAGGGATGAAATGTCAGCAGTCTGCCCTTGCGTTCCGGCGTTGCGCCTCAGCAAGAAGGTCATGGAGCAGCTCCTCTTCGTCGATGCCGTCCCTAACCGGTCGTCCCTTCACTATCCGAGCGAGAATGTCCTTGTCGACCATGTACACGCGCTGCTCGGGTATCTCGGCGGCCTCCAAGTTCCGGGTAACGCTCGCGCGGGTCTCCTGGATGTACATCTCGCGCGCTCGTTCCAAGATCCCTGCATCGTCGTCGTCGTCGTTCTCGGGCATGTCTCCGGCAAGATTCCGGATGTGCTGAGTAGCCTTGGAACGCACGATGTAGGCGGGGATGTGGAAGCGGGCACAGTCGCGGAGGATGGCGATATCCGTGGAAGTGAGACGGACGTCGAACAGTACAATGATGCAGTCCAAGGCGTACAGGCCTTGATCTGTGAAGTACTGCCAATCCGGCACAGACAACGTGCCTGCGCCAGGCACGTCGTACCATACAAACGGGTATTCGGGATCCGGGTAGCGGGCAATGGCACTGGTGGTCTCGATGATGCCCGTTGGTGCCGCGGCCTTGTCGCTGTTACGCAGTCCGCGAAAAGCGTTTACCAACGACGTTTTGCCACTGCCTGCAATCCCAGCGATGGCGAAATGGAACATGCCTTCTTCGTACCCAAGATGTTCCCTCGCCGCTTGGAACTCGGCCTGTGTAGGCTCAATAACAGGGCGGATGCCCTTGCGCAAGTTGACCTCCGCCATCTGCTGTTCGATACGAGCACCAGAAGCAGTGACCTCCGCGCCACGGAGAGCTTGAAGAGCGTCGTCCTCCTCCTGCCTAGCCCTATCCGCCTCGATGATGGCTCTGCTGCGCTCCTCGAGGGCTCGACTGACGTCTTCTTCCGCTCGCCTTCTCTCCTCCGACTCGGTCTCCTGTCGGTTCAGCTCGGTGCTCCTGAAGTCGCCATCGGCCATGCTCCTGGTGTCTTCAGTGGAGTATGGATCTTGTCTATTTCGTCGTCGGAAGCTCTCTTCCATGATCGACAATTGTGCCTCAATTCGCCGACTTGCTTCCTGTGCCATCCGGAAGGCCTCTGTAGCCGCATCGGTATTCGCTCTCATAGCATTGAGCGTTGCTTCTCCCTCCCAAAGGCGCGCCTGCAGTGCTTCGATCCGGGATCTGCTCCTCGCTGTGTTACGGTCATTGCGACGACCCGGGAAGCGTGCTCTCGTGTTGTTGAAGAGTTCGTCGAACAAAGAAACCACTGCACCAATTCCGACGACTGCAGCTGCGACCGTTTCAAAACGCAAACTCATGGCTAGGAAGCAGCTAGACGAAGTATACGTCTCATTCAGTACACCCCGAAACGATAGGTTAATTACGCACCGATTGCGAGACACAAAGCAGTTGTCAGGAGGCTTGAGGGCGTGCAAGATTTACGCGAGGGCTTTATAGGTAGCAAGGTCGACTTTCAGCTATCTTGTCAGTTATGGTTACGGCGACAATGAACTCACACCGCAATCTTCCTGACGAGCCACGCCGACTGCATGCAGTCGACAGAAGCGCACGATGTATGGTCGATATGGACCGATGACCTGGAATATGATTCATCGACGAGGAGTGTGGTTCGACTCGGGCAACGAGGTTCGGGCTTCGCAACGGTCCTTTTACTATGTAGGGCAGGACGACCGCTCAGAAGCGGAAGCGGACTGATATGAACGAATGCACTTGGGCTCTGCTGCAATGCCCTGCAGTTACGAATCCAGGGTCCAGGTGGGAGGACCACAACAGCGTATCTGTTGTTGTCCCGGGGTATACGATACGAGAGAGCTTAGGGGATGATAGTTGGAACGGTCCATCATGGTCTCGCTGAAAATAAGTTCAATCTCGCACTGCAGCTTCCAGCTGCGCCGTAACCACGGGATGACTGAGAAGATCAGCATTGTGACCGTCCGCGTCAACGGCCGAAGGTAAGAAGTACACTCGCCCTATGCCCAACGCTGCTTGAGATATGTATGCCCGAATCTTCAAACGGGAGATGAAGAATTCCTTCAGATGCGGTACGTCACCATACGTACTGTCGTACTGTCCGTCGTAAATGCATCGCGCTTTCACATTTGGCGATGCATAGACATGCGCACGCCATGACTCGACCGGGTCAGAGTCGCGCTGTGGTTAAGCTCGAAAACAAGAGTCACAGTCGACTAGCTAGGCTCCGACATGTAAACAGCGGAAAGACATGATCATGAGTGAAGCTTTGAGGGAGACTGGAGGACTCGACAGCAGGCTTAAAGCTTAAGGTTGGAAGCAAGTTGGGAGGTTCATAACGTTCATGGGCTCGGCCCGGCCACCGGGTCCAACTCGAAGTCGGACAGCTTGTCGGACAACGACATGTCCGTCTGCCACTCAGGCTGACTCTCACTGCCCACCGACATTGTCACCTCCGACTCGTCAGAGTCGTCAACCTGAGGCGGCGCAAGCTCGAACATGCGCCGGAGCAAGGCCTTCTCGTCTATCCCGCTCGCACTTCCCCCACGGACGATCTTCACGAGCACGTCCTTGTCGACAAAATACACGGGCTGTGGGGGCAGGCCCGCCGCCTGCAGGTCCCGCCTCACGATCTCGCGCGAGTCTTGCACGTATCGCGCGCGCGCGCTCTCCATCCGCTGGTCCACGTCGGGAACGTCCTCTTCCGCATCGTCGTCGTCTGCGTCCGCACCGCCCATATCACTCGCAAGGTTCTGCTGGATATGCTGACTCGACTTGGAGCGCACGACCAAGGTAGGGATCTGGAAGCGCATGCAGCTCCGGAGGATCGCGACATCGGTGGCGGTGAAGCGGTTGTCGAAGACGACGACGATGCAGTCGAACACGTAGAGCCCCATGTCGGTGAAGTATGTAGTATGTGCTTCTCGTGACCGTCACGTTTCGTTGAAGCACTCTCGCAGCGAACTCCGAACCGAGTCAGGCAAGCTGGAATGATGACTACGTTCAAGTTGTAGAGCCGAATTCGGACATAGTGTTGCATCTCGTATGTCTGCTGCCCATCGAACGCTGGCGAAGTCTCGACGCCCCGTGGTTGGTCCTGCATACTTCCTCGGAGCACGCAATTTAAATACGCGTGGTCCCGAACGCAATGTGTGACCCTTATAGATCCTTGAGCCTGCTCAATTACCGTGCCGTGCACGGCGTATGGTGTTCGAGGCTCTGTGCCCGCTGCGCCTGACAGCGCTCCCTGCGCAGAACAACTTAGTTCCGCATCGGTATGGCATACAACACCTTTGTGCTGCCATCGGCGGACTGACTCCTAGCACGAATGAAGATTCGGAAGCTAGCCGGTCATTGTCACTCATCACCAAAACGGAGCCTGCAGCTGGCGAAGATACTCGAGCATGGCATTGGCTAGCTCGCATACGGGCTGAACTGGCTGGAGCTTCACAGCCAAGCCGCCTGAGACTGGGGATACTTCTGTGCACTGGTTTTGGTGCTCGTCTAGCACTGGCTGATAAGCCGCCGGTCTGTATACATGTAAGGTTGCTGGAGGTGGTGGTGAGTCGTCGGTCGTCACAAGTGCGTTAGATCCCGTTCCATAGCGGTAAACGACGCAGCGTAGTGACGGTACAAGAAAAACGAATAGTCTTATGTAAGCTACGAAGTCCGAGCTATCTGCCTTGGGAACCCTAACCCTCGACATCCTTACAGTACTATTCGCCTCAACAGTCGACCGTTCGTCGGCCTCTCCAGCCATTGATATTCGTCGACATGGCGATGATCCTGCGTCGTATTTCACTCAGGTACTACGACCTCGTACAACCCCCTCGAATCCCCGGTGTACAGACAGTATTTCGGCGGAAATGGAGCTTACGACTCTACGACTGCTCAAGCCTACTAGCTGGCATCTTCCACCGCCTGTGAGCCCCCGTTACTATCTGCCAGTGCAAACAGGTCTCTGAGCAAGTCCTCCTCATCAATGCATTCGTGGGACCTCCTCCGAGTCCCCTTGACCACCTTCACCAGAGCGTTCTTATCGACCAGGTACACCCGCTGTACAAGCAGGCCTGCCTCCTCCAGGTTTTGCGCAACACTCGCGCGAGTATCCCGAATATAAAGATCGCGCGCCTTCGCCATGCGCCTCAGTTTGCCTTCTCCATCCTCCTCCTCGTCATCGTCATCATCATCGCCACCGCCCAGGTCAGTCGCGATGTTCTGGATGTGCTGGCCTGACTTCGAGCGCACGATGAAGGCTGGGATCTGGAATCGTACGCAGTTTCGGAGGATGGCGATATCGGTGGCCGTGAAGCGGATGTCGAAGATGACGATGATGCAGTTGAAGATGTACAACCCTTGCTCGGTGAAGTACTGCCAGTCGGGAATGTTCAGCGTCCCGGCGCCTGGAACGTCGAACCAGACATAGGGCGTGTCAGTGCCTCGAGCAGGATAGCGAACGACATTGGATGTCGTCTCCACGACGCCGGTGGGCGCGGTATCTCTGTCATTGTTACGAAGGCCGCGCAGGGCATTGATGAGCGACGACTTGCCGCTACCAGAAATGCCGGCAACCGCGAAGTGGAAGAAGCCAGGCTGGTAGCCTAGTCTGCGCTTGGTCGCCTCGTGCTGCGCCTGGGTAGGGACGACAATCGGTCGTATGCCCTTGCGCAACTGCCTCTCCGCCTCCTCTAGTGCGTGCCGTGCCTCTCGCTCTTTCTCCTGCGCCCTTCTCACCTCGGCTTCTGCCTCTACGCGTTCTTCTCTGGCCTTCTTCGCATCCTCCTGCAGCTTGCGCATAGATTCGCCCAGTTCTTTCGTACGCTGCTCTGCGAATTGTCTCGACTCGTCCGCACGTCGCCTCGCCTCATTCACTTGCTGTACGAGCCTGTTCTGCTCGCGCGTCATGTCTTCCACCCTCTCCAAAGCCCCCTTCATCGCAGCTGTAGTGTCTTTGAGCATGTCCAACGTCTTCTTCTGCTCCTCCCTATCATCCTCGAGCTGCTGATCCTGCTTCTCGATTTGTTTCTTTAACAGCTCGGGGTCCGGCTTGGATTCGCTGCTTCCCATAGCTCTGGCAGATGGAACTCGACGTGTTGAGTATGTTTTCTCTGTAACGTCGCTTAGTGATACAGCTCATATCGGATTCCCATCACAGATCTTGATGTACTCACTGTGGAGTTCGTCGTGTAGGAGGCTCGTCGTCGCTGGTACGGGAATGTCAAGACGTCCCAATGAGCTCCGAGTCCTATAAATCCCGCCTGGACCTTCATGCACTCAGGGTCCCGCAGGATCAAGGTTTGAGTTCAAGCGCACGTTGTCCTTGGACTTCTACCACGCATTACAGAGTTGGCCGAAATGAAGCTTCTTGATTCCTATCCTCCTGCATGCAACTGCGGATCTCCGTAAGCAGGGGTGCGTTGCAGATAGCGAGAATCGCAGGTGGTTTGGTAAGCGCATATACCACTTGCGAGTCTGAGAGTAGTCAGGCAGCGAATCCAATATGGTGCTTCCCTACACACACGTCATCCTCCGTCTTTTCTCGTTGGCACCTCTTATCATGCTGTCTGCAAAATCTGCTAGATGACTGTATGCCCTCAAGCAGTCACTTTGAGGTTGTCGGATCGGTGGAAGCACTCACTGGCATACCAATTCAATGGAATTGTTCTAGGCGTATAGAAATACGTACGTGTTACAGTGAGCCCGGGGCAGGGCGAGTAATCCCAGTGAAACCACGATCAACTGCATACGTAGACGATACGAGAGCGCAGGCTCGGAAGTGTTGTCATCTGAGGAAGTGTGACGGGTTGCGGCGAGGGGATGAAGTGTCAGGTGTATGTACTTGCATTCCGGCGATATGTCTGAGCAAGGTCATGGAGCAGCTCCTCTTCGTCGATAACATCCCTGACCGACCGTCCCTTCACTATCCGAGCGAGAATGTCCTTGTCGACCATGTACACGCGCTGCTTGGGTAACTCCGCGGCCTCCAAGTTCCGGGCAACGCTCGCGCGGGTCTCCTGGATGTACATCTCGCGCGCTCGTTCCAAGATCCCCGCATCATCGTCGTCGTCGGTATCGGGCACGTCTGCGGCAAGGTTCCGAATATGCTGAGTAGCCTTAGAACGCACGATGTAGGCGGGGATGTCGAAGCGGGCACAGTCGCGGAGGATGGCGATATCCGTGGAAGTGAGACGGACGTCAAACAGTACAATGATGCAGTCCAAGGCGTACAAGCCTTGGTCCGTGAAGTACTGCCAATCCGGCACAGACAACGTGCCTGCGCCAGGCACGTCGTACCACACAAACGGGTATTCGGGATCGGGGTAGCGAGCGATGGCACTCGTAGTCTCGATGATGCCCGTCGGTGCCGCTGCCTTGTCGCTGTTACGTAGTCCGCGGAAAGCGTTCACTAACGACGTCTTGCCGCTCCCTGCGATCCCAGCGACGGCGAAATGGAACATGCCCTCTTCGTACCCAAGACGCTCCCTCGCCGCTTGGGACTCGGCCCATGTAGGCTCGACGACAGGGCGGATGCCCTTGCGCAAGTTGTCCTCCGCCGCCTGCTGTTCGATACGAGCGCCAGCAACAGCGTCCTCCGCGCTACGGAGAGCTTGGAGAGCCTCCTCCTGCTCCTGCCTAGCCGTACTCGCCTCGATGATGGCTCTGCTGCGCTCCTCGAGGGCTCGATTGACATCCTCTTCCGCTCGCCTTCTCTCCTCCGACTCGGTCTCCTGTCGGTCCAGCTCGGTGCTCCTGAAGTCGCCATCGGCCATGCTCCTGGTGTCTTCAGTGGAGTATGGATCTTGTCTATTTCGTCGTCGGAAGCTCTCTTCCATGATCGACAATTGTGCTTCAACTTGTTCATGTGCTGCCTGTGCCATCCGAAAGGCGTCTGCAGCCTCAGCGGTATTGGCTCTCATAGCGTTGAGTGTCGCTTCCCCCTCCCAGAGGCGCGCTTGCAGTGCTTCGATCTGGGATCTGCTCGCTGTGTCATGACTGTCGCCACGACGAGCAACTCGGAAGTATGCCCTCGCGTCGTTGTAGAGATCGGTGAACCGAGAGACCAATGCAGCAACTCCGATGGCCGTAGTTACTGTTTTGAATGTAGAATCCATGGCTAGGAAGCAGCAGCGAGACGAAGTAGTATGCGCGTCATTTAGCATCCCTCGAAACAATAGGTTCATTACATACCAATTCTAAGACAACAGGTAGTCGCCAGAGGACCTGAGAGCGCGCAAGATTGTCGGGAGGGCTTTATAGGTGGCAAGATCGACTTTCAGCTATCTTGTCGTTTGACGATGATATGATTACAGCGACAATGGATCTACGCACCGCAATCCCCTGACAGGCCACGCCGACTGCATGCAGTCAACGGAACACACCATACATAGCCAATATGGACCGGTGACCCGGGATATGAAGCATCGACGAGGAGTATGGTTCGACTTGTGCCGCAAACGAGGAGATTGAGTTCGGGTTTCGCAACGCCAATTCAGGTTAGATGCCACTCAGAAGCAGAAGCGGACTGATATGACCAAAGTGACTAGATTCTGCTGCAGTGCCCTACAGTTCCGAATCCAGGGTAACTCTAGCGTAGGAATCGTTGACATGGATGACAGAACTTATGAGAGCGACGACCACAACAGCTTACCTGTTGTTGTTCCGCGCTTTACGATGCAAGAGAGCTCAAGGAAGGATGGTTGGAACGGTCCATGATCCTGCTGGGAAACGGTGTTAACATAGGTTCAATATAGCACTGCAGCTTCTACATAGCTGCGTTGCAACCACGGGGCAAATGAGAAGAGCACCCAATTATCAGTCAACGGCCGAAGGTAAGAAGCACGCTCACCCTATGCCCAACGGTGCTGTATATCTGCACGGATCTTCGTACGACTTAGAAAAGGTGAACAGTGCAGATGCGGCACCCGCACGGTGTAGCCTTCGCGAATCGTAGACGCGCCGTGCTTTCAGCACATGCTGTACATAGCCGTTACCCATATGCCATGATTGAGCCAAATCGCACTGGGAATATGTTGCAAGGCGGCATCAATGAGCTCTCGAGAACAGTACTTGAAAGTCACTAGCAAGCAGCAGGACGTGATCATGACGGCGAGTTGACGGCGAGCGACGGCTCGTTTCAGAGGGTCGGCCCGACAGCCGTGACCGAAGCCAACCCGAGGAAGGACAACCCGTCTGCCACTCACTCTCACTGGCACTGCCCGCCGACATCGTCACCTCCGACTCGTCAGAGTCGTCAACCTGAGGCGGCGCAAGCTCGAACATGTGCCGGAGCAAGGCCTTCTCGTCAATCCCGCTCGGACTTCCCCCACGGACGATCTTCACGAGCACGTCCTTGTCGACGAGGTACACCGGCTGCGGGGGCAGGCCCGCCGCCTGCAGGTCCCGCCTCACGATCTCGCGCGAGTCTTGCACGTAACGCGCGCGTGCCCTCTCCATCCGCTGATCCACGTCCGGAACGTCCTCTTCTGCATCGTCGTCATCGTCCTCGCCGCCCATGTCACTCGCAAGGTTCTGGACGTGCTGGTTCGACTTGGAGCGCACGACCAAGGTCGGGGTCTGGAAGCGCGTGCAGCTCCGGAGGATGGCAACGTCAGTAGCGGTGAAACGGTTGTCGAAGACGACGACGATGCAGTCGAACACATAGAGCCCCATGTCGTTGAAGTACTGCCAGTCGGGGACGGACAGCGTCCCCGCGCCGGGCACGTCGTACCACACGTACGGCACGCCTGCGCTCGGGTCGGGGTAGCGAGTGATCTCCGCTGTGGTCTCCACGACACCGGTGGGTGCAGCGCCCCTGTCCTTGTCGCGTAGCCCGCGCAATGCGTTGACGAGCGACGACTTGCCGCTGCCCGACACGCCCGCGATCGCGAAGTAGAAGAGGCTCTCCCGATAGCCAAACTTGCGCTTGGTCGCCTCGCGCTGCGCCTGCGTCGGGACGACAAACGGCTGCACGCCCTCACGCAACTGTTTCTCTGCAGCCTACTTGGCCTCACGCGCGGCGGCATCAGCCCTGCCCGCCTCCTCCCGTGCGCTCCTCGCATCCTGTTCCTCCCTGTGCGCCTGGCGCGCCTCGGCCTCCGCGCGAGCCCGGTCGTCGTTCGCGCGGCGCATCTGTTCCTCGAGCCTGCCGATCGCCTCGCGCATCTGGTCTGCCTGTGCAACCGCTGCCCGGCGCGCCTCCTCCGCCTGGCGCACGGCCTCCTCCATACGCCGCGTCACCTCCTGCTGCTCGCGCGCCATCTCCCCCGCCTTCTTCAGGGTCTCCTCGGCGCGTTTGAGCGCGTCCGCAGAGCCCTGCATGATCTGGGGCTGCTGCATCTGGACGAGGACGTCCCACTGACTCTTCATCTCGTCCGCCATCTCCCGGAACTTGGAGTCTATCTTCGAAGCCTCGTTCCCCATGGTGTGGACGTTAAGTGTACACGGTGACCTGGGTACCCTTATCACGATGCTTGATGCCCCTCAGGAACATGGCGGCTCTCTGGGCGAGTGATACGTACCTGCGTTGAGCGCTTGCGTATGGGACGGTAGGCGTGTCGCCGGGTCAAAGTCGTCGAGGTCGATCGAGCAGCTCGTCTCGAGGACTTTGCACCGCTGAGCGGATGTGCATCTCAGTATGATACTCAGGCGTTCAGTATGGGACTTCCAACTGCGCCCGTCAGAGAAGGTTTCGGGCAGCGCCGCAGAGGGTGTGCCAACTCCCGCCCGTCTCCCACCTTCGTGTCGACCTGTCGCTCGCTCAGTTGTGCAGTTCAAATAAAATCCGTTTATCGTGCGCGTTATATACTAGAAGCACGTCGACCACAGATATCACTCGTGAAGTTGTGCTGCGCGGCAGGAGACAAGCGCTTGGCTACCTCGCTAACCCGACTTTGCTGACTTTGCATCATCCGGTCCTCCAGGGCCTGTGGCCTCAGCCAGATCCCGCAATAGATCGTTCTCGTCAAACGCGTTCCTCGGATGCCGCCCCTTGACCAGCAGCCTCACCGTCTCCTTGTCGACAAGGTAGACCCGCCGCTGCGGTAGTTCCGCCAACTCCAGATTCCGCGCGACGCTCTCCCGCGACTCCTTCACGTACCGCTCAGCAGCACGCGCGAGGGCGGCCGCCTGCGCATCACGACCGTTTTCCCCCTCCTCGTCGCTGTCCTCTTCGCCCATGTCTCGCGCGAGGTTGCGGACATGCTGGCGCGCCTTCGAGCGGACGACGTACGCGGGTATGCGGAACCTCTCGCAGTTCTGCAGGATCGCGACGTCCGTCGCTGTGAAGCGCGAGTCGAAGAGCACGAGCACGCAGTCTAGAACGTACAGCCCTTGGTCGGTGAAATAGACCCAATCTGGGACTGCGAGCGTGCCTGCGCCGGGGACGTCGTACCAGGCGGCGCGCTTCTTGGGATCCGGGTCGGGATAGCGTACGATGGTGTTCGTCGTCTCGACGATCCCAGTCGGGGCTGCACCTAGCTCGCCGTTGTTGAGACCGCGGAGGGCGTTGATCAACGAGGACTTGCCGCTGCCCGCGACGCCTGTGATGGCTATATGCGCGTAGCCCTCCTGGTACTGCAGGCGCTGCTTCGCCTCCCGAAACTGCTGGACGGTCGGGACGACCACGGGCCGCGCACCTTCGCGTAGCAGCCGCTCGGCGACCTCTTGCTCAGCCTGCGCCTCCGCTGCCGCTCTCTCCGCGGCATCTCGTTCCTGCTCTGCCTTTTTGCGCTCGGTGAGCTTTTGCTTGAGGTCTTCCTCGGCTCTCTGACGTGCTTCCTCTGCCTCTCGAGCTTCCGCCTCCATCGTTTGCCGCTCCTCTTCCAACCTGCGTCTCTCCTCTTCTGCCTCCCTCACCTGTTCCTCAGCATGCTTCCTCTCTGCCTCTGCTTTCGCCATCTCAGCCTCCACCCGCTGTCTCGCCTCTTCATCCTGCCGTATGGACTCGAGGTCCCCCGTCTCACTCCTCGCTCCGGGCCCGGTGAGGTGTTGTCCTTTCAGGTCTTCGTGCCGCTCTGGCGAGAAATATGACCAACAGCCACCCATTGTTGAGCGGAAGACGATAGGCCAGAGAGTCGAATGTCTCACGCAGAGGATAGGTCTCACCTGCGCCTCGTGAGTTGTCATTAGGTTGGCCTCCGTGATGGTGAGGCTGAGCGCAGGCCTGTGCAACTACCCACGCAGTTCTCATCCTACAAGGTTAAGGTTCTGATGTGGCCGACTTGGGTGTTGTCTAGAACTACGAAGGCAGTTGCGCGTTGCCCGAAATGCCGGCGAGAACCTACCATTCCGAAGCCTCCAGACTCGACGTGAGCCTCCTCTTCAGGAGCACAATTTCCTGTTACGGCAATACACCGGGTGGTCTGCCCAATCGTGAGCGCTCTACATAGTAGACTGGTACGCATCTCAATGATCGTAGTAGCTTTCAATTCATTCTAATACTCACTGCTTGAATCCACCAGGCGATGATCTTAGTATCTCTGCAACTTCAGCTGCTTCAGAATTAATGTCGTGGTCAACAGAACCGGATGTCATCTAGTCTGTAAGCGACTGTGTACGTCTGCGCAAGATCAGTATCGTTAGGCCCAGCATCGAGCGGTGTTATGAAGCACACAGGCAGATACACCGAATATTCAAGACCAGCTGAGAAGGGGCGCCATGCGATTGCCTATCTCGTCCCATCCTTCCCTGACCCGGCCCTGGTCATCGACATGCGGGATCTACTGACCAGTGGTTTTGTCGCCGCCGTGTCTCTTTACTTTGGCATTCACTACTCTAGCTACCTCCCATCGTCTTCTCCATCTTCCGGACACGAGAACTCGGACGTCGAGCGATAGAGTTGCAGGCCGTTCCTCCCAAACCTTCATGCCGACACACCCCCGTCCCCTGACCATCCCGCCAAACGCGCAGCCACGCAAAGCCTAGACGAGTTCTTCACCACTCGATTCTCCAAGGGCGACATCGACAGTCTGTCGGTCGCCGTCGTGACATCCATTGGCTCGCTGTACGAGGGTCACTTCGGTGTGATGAGGGGGAACGAGTCGGCGACGTCGCCGCCGACAACCCGTCACTTGATGTACCGCATCGCATCGGTCTCGAAGCTGTTCACTGTACTCGAGGGTCTGATACTGGAACAACGAGGGGTTATCAGATGGTATGTAGCACGCTTGCTTACCTTTCCGACCTCGAGTTGACCGGAACGCTCGCAAGGGGCGACCCAGTGGACAAGTACATCCAGGATTTCAGGTATCGCTTGGACGGCTTAGACCCCAACAAGCCCTCCGTATCCCGCGAAAGTACTCCAATGACCATGTACCAGCTAGCAACACACACATCTGGCCTCGGCAGGGATTGGCCACCTGGGACAGTAGCCGAGTGGCCCGAGAGCCTGTTGGGAGGTGGACCTCCACCGACCAACGGTCTTCCCTTCCCTTCGCACGAAGCGCTCTACGCCGCTATTGCAAAGCACCACATAACTTCGCCGCCTGCTTCCTATCCCGCGTACTCGAACACTGGGACGGGCCTCTTGGGTGTAGTCCTCGAGGCGGCGAGCAACGTGGCGGCCGGCGATTCATTTGAGAGCAGTTATGTTGAGCTTCTTCAGCGCGACGTCTTCGGCCCTATGGGGCTGAATGGGAGTCATTTCCTCGCCACCGAAGCCAACAAGCATTTGATTGTCGTCCCGTCTCTTGCTCCAGAAGTTGCAGTATGTATCTTGGCCACCGTTGCTTCTCCTACCCACGCTCACTGTCTGGCGTCTGCACCTAGGATCAAGACTTTCTGGACGCCATGAATCCAGCCGGCGGCCAATTTTCCTCTCTAGCCGACATGGTCACTGTCACGCAGACCTTATTGAACGCCAACCACCCGCGGAGCCAGCTCTCGCACTACTCGCTCAACAAATGGCTCCAGCCCGTGCACACGTTCGAAGAGGACGACTGGACCGAGATCGGGTTCATCTGGGAGATCATCAAGGCGGAGGACTCCAACGGTCGCCTGCGCAAGATCTACTGGAAACGTATGTGTGCTTTCTTTGTTGGATCATCGGCTGTGCTAATACTAGAGTTCGATTATTCGGCAGTTGGCGCGATGGCGGGCTACCACGCTGCCCTCGCCTTCCATCCCGGCACGGGCTACGGCGTCGTGGTGCTCATGGGCGGGCACTACCCCGACGCCGCCAAGCTCGCCTTCGAGATCGTCCAGCCGGCCATCGACAAGGCGCTCGCCGATCTCGCCGAGGAGCTGTACACCGGCACTTGGCGCGACTCGGACGTCGACCTTCGCCAGGAGGACGGAGGGAACGCGTCCTCCTCGGCGCGGGCCGTGGTTGAGAGGGGGACGCTGTACGTCGAGGAGTACACGCTCCTCGGTGTGGACGCGCTGAGAAAGCTCGGGGCCTCCGGCCGCCTCGCGCTGCGCTCGAGCATGCGCCGCGACGAACTCCGGTATGCGTGCCTGTTCTGTGGAGTCGCTGTCGGTGCTCATGGCGTGTGGGATTGGCAGGATCGATACAGGGATACCGGGGTACAACGGGATGAAGCATACGGGGTGCTACCCGTACTGGAACGGGCAGGACATCTGGGGTGTCCGGAACAACGCTGCGATCAACGCGATCTACTTGAGTGGCGAGGGTGCGGATAGGAGGTTGCATGTGCCGTCTCTGGACCTCATCTTGAAGAAAGCGCTTTCAGCGCATCAGTCGGTGCGCGTGTGTTGTTCCAGGACTGGGCTGACAAAGGGCATGGCTAGTGTGACAAACACGGTGTCTGGTTGCGTTGAGCTTCGCATGTCGAACTCAAATATGTTCCGCCATGGCGCATCGACACTGGTAACACTGGTAATAGATGGGCCCACGTAGGTGGACCCCGCAGCCTCAATGCATTCAACCTCTTGACACACAATATCACAATGCATGCGGGTGCATAGCTGAAAGCACTTAGCGCGGACAGGGTTAAGATCGGCGAATCAATGCGTAGCATATGACACAAAGTGATGACGGTAGAGAAAAATACCAGCTGCATGACGATAAGGTTGTAACCAGCGAGATCCCGATGCCGCGAGACTCCTTCAATCCTCATGCACCCGGCGGCGGCGGGCCTCCATAAGGAGGTCCTGCAGAAGCTCCCATTCATCGATGTAGTCCTTGGGGATCTTGTTCTTTACTATCCGGAGTAGCGCCTCCTTATCGACCAGGTAGGTTCGCTGCTCCGGCAGCCCTGCGGCTTCCAAGTTCTTTGCAACGCTCGCGCGCGTCTCACCGATGTACCGCTCTCGCGCCGGCCCCAACAGTGCGATCCTGGCGTCGTCGCCAGCCCCGCCTGCCATGTCCTCCGCAAGATTGGCTATATGCTGCTTTGACTTGGAACGCACGATGTAAGCGGGAATCTGGAAGCGGGCGCAGTTGCGCAGGATCGCGATATCCGAGGCTGTGAAGCGTGCGTCGAAGAGCACAATGATGCTGTCGAAAACGTACAGCCCATTGTCCGAGAAGTATTGCCAGTCGGGGATGGACATAGTCCCAGCACCGGGAATGTCGTACCAGACGAAGGGATACGCAGGATCGGGATACCGAGCGATGATGCTAGTCGTTTCGGTGATACCTACGGCTGCCGCGCCTTTGTCGCCGGCACGCAGTCCGCGGAAAGCGTTCACCAGCGAAGACTTTCCGCTGCCTGCGATTCCAGCGACAGCGAAGTGGAACAAGCCCTCCCTGTATCCGAGACGCTTCTTGACCTGTAGAAACTGCTCCCTCGTCGGGACGACGATAGGACGAACTCCCTCGCGCAGCTTCCTCTCCGCCTCCTCCCGCGCAGCACGAGCCTCGGCAGCAGCTCTCTCCGACTCCTCGCGAGCGCGAGCGGCTTTGTCCCGCTCCTGCTGGGCCGTCCTCGCTTCTGCCTCGGCTCTAGTACGTTCCTCCCCTGCTCTTCTCGCATCGCCCTCGGCGCGTTTCCTGCGCTCTTCCGCGACAACCCTCTCTGCATCTGCTTTCCTGGCCTCTTCTTCAGCGGACTTCCTAGCCTTTTCCGCGCGACGCCTCTCCTGCTCCTGCGCCCTGGCAGTTGCTTCCGCTACCTGTCTCAGCTCCTCAGATCTCCGGAGCTCCTCGTGGGCCACGCGGGAATCTTCTTCAGCCTTTTCCTGGTCAGCAGCAGCCTTGCGCATGAGGGCCTCCTGCTCCTGGATGCGGCTCTCTATCTCCGCCATAATGGGGTTATGATGAACGCCGCCTCGACTGGACGCGTCCATGATCCCTGTGATGGCACCAATGATCAAGGTTACTGCGGTGAGGACGGCGGCTGGTATGGATAAAATAGGTATCAGAGGGGTGACGGCAGTCGCCACAGCTGCGACCACGGAAACGGCATTGCCCATAGCTATACGCGAGACGCCGTAGCTTGCTTTCTGGAGACGGGATCTGTTAGGACAGACATATCATTAGTTGACGCTGATTGTGCGGTAAGGGTTTCATATCCACCTATTGCGGTACTACCAGACGCAGTCAGGGAACGGCGCGCGCAGACACACCGCGAGGTCTTTATAACTCACTACCTGAGAAGCGGGAATAAGCTTCAGCTTTCCGTGACCTTAGATGTAATCGCAGCTTTGATAAAAGTTAACACGCTGACTGCACGCGGCAGACAGTACGCCGACGCTCGCATCTAGACCTTCAGGAAGTTCCTTGAGGGTTATTCAATATGTGATTAGGAAGGCTTGCTATCCGTTGGTATTCATATTTGTACTGACCTTCAAAGCGACTGGACAGATCAATTGATTGCGTTGATGTGAAATCGTGCACTGTAGGTGAATAGACTAGAGTCCACTGTTAGTTGAGAGGGTCCACAGTGAGCTTATCCACGTTCATTCATGGCTTCGGCTTCGGCGGAGATCGATAGTAGGTTTCATTTAGACTGCGAAGCTGCGGCGCATGCATGAGGCCTTCAGGAAGAGTGGTGTCTGTTAGCACCCAGAACCTTCGAAAAGAGCGCGAATAGATACGGATGCAGCGCAATAGTATACAAACATCGACAAGACGACTACGGGATGTATATTCTTGAATATCCCTCAACACTAGCAAGACATCGGTCAGCGTCGAGTCCTGCGGTGAACGCGGGACGTACCTCCGACGACAGCACGGACAGGTATGTTTCGACGCGGACGATCGCGATGCCAAGTTCTCGCGGCAGTCATTGCACAAAGCCAGACACCTGCGTGACACGCGTCAGAACGGCTGTGGGAGCCTTTGCTATCGCAGAGTCCCGGATAACCTACCGACATGGCCAGCATATGATGTCCCTAGGTTCGACTGTGCAGATAACACAGTTCCGCCGACTGTCCATTGAGTCGTCGTCCACAACCCGCACAGGCACCTTGGCTTCCCTCCGTTCTCGTACGAAGTCGCCCCAATCACCGGCGGCGCTGTCACCGGAGCTCCTCTCTGAGTTTATGCTCCGGTACCTGCGGCGTGTAAGAGGCGAGGTGGAAGTCGAAGCCATATGTGCGAGAAGTACGGGCGCTGATGTAGACGAGGTCGCATCTTGAGATAGATCAGCGAAGAGCTGCGCTGCTTCGTCTGTCTCTGCTGTCGGTTCCTCGCTACTTTCTTCATCAAGCGCATAGACGGGCGCGTCGACTGGGTTGTTTGATGGGAACTCGTCAGCGGCGGGCACGAAATCGTCTTCGTCATCGCTGACAGACTCGCCACGCAGGAAACGGCGATATGCCTCCATGTCCTCTGCATCGTCCTCGTCCTCGTCCTCGATCGGTTCGGGACGACGAGGCGCGGGAGGCGGAGTGTGGACGTGGTGTCGGCTCAGGCTGGTCCCGATCCGTACCTTGGCCCACAGAGCGGCGAAAACCTCTACAATAACACGCTTGAAGGCCTTGATCGCACTGACGAAGAACATTAGCACGGCCTTGTGCCACCCGGCATTCACCATCGTATCCGCCCACAGGTCCGCCCTCTGTCCCTGCGCCTTCACGTTCGTGATCTCATTCAAAAATCCGCGCCGGCGCATCCTGCTATGGCCTTTCCGGTCGAATGCTGGCATCAGCGAGACGACACCTGAGCGGTCGATCTCGACGACGCCGCGGTCCTCTTCTGCTGGGCGCGCGACGAGGTCCGCAGCGCCCGCGCTAGTCACGCCGCCCACTTCGTTTCCCATCCCAGCGGCGCTCGTCGCTTCGAGGCTTGCGGTTCCGAGCCGCACGAGCGCGACGCCGAAGTCCTCGTCCATCTTCGGCATCAGCGTGTCTACGTGGCCGAAGAGCGGTCGCGTGACCGCGCCCTCGAGCAGCAGCTGTGTCACGACGTTGAGAAGCGCCGAGAAGGAGATGAGGCAGACGAGCATGGACTCGACGACGCATGGGAAGAAGTTCGTGAGCGGGTATGAGGTCGGTGAGGTCCAGATTACAGAGTGGAAGTGGATCAGGCTGAGCAGCGAGCAGAATGTAGTAGGGACGAGGCGGAGACGGGCCCAGCTCTTCTTCACTTCTAGGCAGTGTAGCATCGTAAGCTGTCAAATCCTAACATCAGCAGATGATTGAGGCATATCAAACGCCCGTACCTGCAGCAGCGGTAGCATGATGGTTAATATAACATGCTTACTAGGTCTCGAAGGCAAGTCTCGGAATTTGTCGGCATGGGTAGACGGCGACGAGTAGATGTGTAGTTGGAAGGCGAAGGAGAACTACAGACACGTTAGACCAGTAAGCGGTGCTTACGCCCACAGACATACCAGGTTGAAGGGCGCGTTATGATTGAGATGCAGTCCCTCGAGACCGCTAGTGAGAGCTCCGATAGCGAGTGCGAGACAGGTGCTGGTGAATGTGAACCAGCAAATGTCTTCCATATCCTTCTGAGCGGCCCACTGTCCAACGGGTTGTAGCCAACTCCATGATGGCCAGAACCTCGCTATTTGCAAGAGCAATATTGTCCAGAGCAGTAGAGATTTCGACAAGAGGTAGATGGAAGGTATGCGGAAGGAGGTACGAGAGAACGTGGATGAGAAGTCGACGGGCAAGAATGAGCCGAAGAACATGCGCAGGAACGACAGACGACCGTTTGCACTGCGCGCGGCGTGTATACGAGCGGCGAGCGGGTTGCGCGGGGGAACGACAATGTTTTGGATGCGGTTCAAGACGAGAGCCTGAACGTTTCAGTCAATGTCCCTGTCAGAGACCAGCATAGTCCTGCTCACCATTATGAACAGGCCGAAGAAGTAGCCGGACGTCACGAAGCCCAGCGGGCCAGGCAGAGGCTCCATCGAAAGCCCCAGAGAGGGGTCGTCATGCCTGGCTGCCTGTGCACCTGATGCTGACGTCCCGGTGTATGCGCGAGTGTGCGCCACGGTGGTATCGATGTCCGCGTTCAGTACATCGTCAAGCCGGCGGACGCGAGCGACGAGACGCGATGGCAAAGTGAAGAAGCGCAAGGCGGCCTCGAGAGTGGAATTGAGAAGTGTTGGTGTTTCGTCGAGAACACCATCGACCTCGGGTGTGTTCATAACTTAGGGGAGAGGGAGGGGAGCATGCCAGTTGATGGTGGGACGACTCGGTCGAGCGGCTTGCTCTCGGAGACAGTGTGGCGGAGGTGCCTGACGTGATCGCCTCAGCCACACCGCGTATGGGCGTCTACACGTTCAGCCACGTTTCGCTGGTTCGACTTCGACGGCGGAGCGATCTCTGACTTCTCCGCGTCGGCGAACTCCCGCTCTGAACCGTCATAACTTAGCACCACACTGCTTATATCTCCGAGCCCGCCGTATACATCAAATATAAGGAGCTGACTACATTTTCATTTTGGTACACTGCTCCGATAGTTCCCTGAGCGCGATGACATCCCAATGGCGAACCCAAGGCGGACAGCTCATTCGGACCTCTGCTCAAAGTATTCGGATACAGTCATTGTTGGCGAGTCCTCCTCCTTTTCATCTGGGGCGACGATCTTGACGGTGTACTCGTCGCTAGAGTCTGTGGACTGCGAAGCGGACTGATGAACCTGTCAGTAAACCTTCCCCGCGACGAACCATACGGAGGATCTCACCCTGGCTCTGCCTCCATCCGTCTGGACCTTAGAGTTCTCTGGGTCCTGCGAAGTGGCGGCGGTGTTCGACATGATGATTTGGTCGCTTGCGTCTCACAATATGGCAAGTCACTGCTGTGACACAGCTGTCAATATTCCAGAACGCAGAACAGGGATGTCGTACACGTACCTCTTTACGGCGGGTTGGTGGGAGGTCGATATTGGCGGCAAACGGAGACCAATCGCCCTTTTATGTCCCTCACGAGCTCGCTTAGTGGCAAACAAGCCGCTAAACGAGGGCCACAGCGTAGACAAACAATGTGAGCCTATGTTCCACGTCCTTACCGACGAGCAGCGTAGTCTGCCTCGAAAGAGCCGGATGTACGCACCATAGCCGAGGCAGAAGACTATTACCGTGTTGTCTCAGAGTCAGCTGAGCTGATACAGACCCTGAAGTGTTTCAGTACACCCATTTGTTGGACCCCGCAGTAGAAGTGGCCGGATTTGGAACAAGGCTTCGTCTGAGTGGCGACGAGTTAGCCCACCATGGCCAACTAATCGATAACATCAGCTCGTTAAGTGGCGGACCTTGTCAAGGAAACGAGTGGCTACTCACTCCTCGCCGAAAGGCCAGATGTACAGCTAGGATACCAGGACGGTAACCCAATAGCACCTTGCGTCGAAGACCGTATCAGTAATGTCGTCAGTGAACGGCATGCATTGCAGTAACACTATCACCGGGGGTCAAGCGAATGTTCCAATGTCTCACTCAGGGCACGTTTCTATCGAACGCTCGGCTACGAGCGCACCAACGAACAGTGTCCGGAATGAGATCCGCGTTGATAGAGACCATAATATTGTCGGAAGTTATTGTTGTTTGTTCTGAGGCATAGGCCGGGTTCTCCATAGAAAGTTCTCGTCGGTGGGTCTTGCAAGATGACCGGGCAAACCAAATCGTCCTGTCCCTGGCCGGATTGCTGCATCCGAGCTTAGCAGAGTGGACACTTTGGCTTTCATCGACAGCAACTCCAGCCACAGTTAAAATGCCCCTCCAGCCGTGTGCCAGCGCTGGGCATCGTGATCTATCATGGGCGGTCACTGGTTGACGCTGTCGGAGAAGAGGTGAGAGTTAACCAGACTATCATCTCTATAAATCCACACCTTAATACATGCCTGAACTTGAACAGCCGTTACAATCATGGTGGTAGAAGAAAGCTTGGCGAGTGGCGAAGTTCAGGATAGAATTATGCATGTTTAACGTATTACCCTGCTGTTCCAAACCACTTCTCCGGCCCGCCGCCCTCGTCCTTCGCTCTGCTGCTCGTGTACGTCAAGCGCAGCCGAGTCATCCCACCCTCCCTCACAGCCTCGAGAATTCATGCGCTATATGCAACATCAGCGCCCAGCGCGGGCGGCTGCACGGATCAAAACCACTCACCCATGAGCGGTGATACTTGAGAGAACCTCGCCATCCCCGCCACAGCCTTCTTTATCAGCCCGCGCACCCTGTCCTGTTCGCTCTCGAGTAAGCCTAGCGGTTGGACCCGTGCTGTGCACACTCAGCATCGTGTCAAGTTTGCATATACACAACGACCGAGACGTACTAATGAGGATCCGGATGACGATGGTCCATAGAGGCTAAGGCAATGGTTAGTGACAAGGGTAAAACACGCCGTAGCCTTTTGACCGTGTTGCTATCGTACTCACCGCGAGTATAGGATCAACATAGTGCAGCTGCTGCAGGTCAATCTGACCCACGAGCGCAGCTGCAGCTTTGGCGGCGTTAACGCAACGTTCAGGGAGCGTCCCGGTGGCCTCCCCTTCGCTGCGGTATAACAGAATCATCGCGACGTGCGCCTGCGTGTGTATGGCCAATAAGTGGCAGATCGTGCTAGCATCGAGCAGTGAGTGTATCATCGGCAACGACGCGGAGAACCGGTCAATGACCCGAGTCAGTAGCTGCACTTCCGCTGCGTGCGTTCCCTGTGATTGACCGGGCACTTCGTGGCATTAGACTGGTATGAGGCTCGACAAGGGAACATTGATTGATACCTTGCGGAGCGCCCGTGGCAAGTCGGATTGCCCGCTCGCACAACGCTGCAGCCTTGACGCGTAATGCAAGCAAGGACGTCCCCCCTGTCGAGGCCGAGGGCAACTCGTGTACGAAATTATACACCGTCCGTGAACCTCGGACATCGGGAGTTAATCCGAGCTGGAGCGCGTCAGTCAAAGGTGCGTCTGTATTTTATCATTCACGTCACTCACATGATGATACTCCTCCGTATCTAACGGCCATGGTGTGTCGATAGTCGACCCATCGAACTGGGAAGGGGAACCAGAGACGACAGACCACCCCTTGTCCATCGCGAACACAGTCCAGAACGCATTGATTCTCTCCCCCTCCTCAATCCGGTCGAGCGGCTGATCGGAAGGCGGGTTTGAGCCGGGGGCAGACAAGGACCGAATCTTGTGCAACCGCCCACTAAGAACCAGCGCCACCGCGGCACTGCAGTGGTACCTCCCCTCGAGCAAGCGGCCTACGCAGAAGAAGTAGTTGGCGAGGATGACCTCCGCTTGGATGGTCTGCGTCAAGGGGTACCGTCTGGGTCCACCGAGATCCCTAGACACCGCTTCCACAGCACGGCCGAGAAAAGTTGGCACGTGAACCGTGAGGGCTTCGGTGCAGGATAGATAAGCACCGTATAGGTACATCGCGTTAAGTAAGGCCCGGGAGAGATTGGCATCCCTATACTGCACGTCAGTGGAGGTGGCAAGTGCTAGAAAATTCTGCTTGTGCAGGAAGAAGCCGACGTGGTCGGCATGAGGCAGGAAATGTTGCAGTCTATAGAGCTTCAGTGAGTATGGCATACTAATTCACGGCATATACTGAATAGCTCACAGCGACTGTGTCAGCTCGGCCGGAGGCTCATCCATTTGAGTGGCTACACAGACCCCAGCTTAGCCTGTCGAGGCAATCAGTAAGAGAGGTATCTTACACGGGGATGTTGTATGAGACATAGCCGGTAAATGAGGTGTAGCTCCCGCGGTTTCTTCTTGCGGGTGCTCGAGTTCTTGTATCCGTTCTTGCAGGCGAGTGGCGTTGGTCTCTAAAACCTGTGTTCGGGAAGCGGAAGATCCGTCCGTATACTCGCATTCCTCGTGTCTATTTGTACGGGCGCATTGTTCACAGACAGGTTTTGCAGTGTCGCATTTCTGACATCGTGGGGATCCGGGTCAGAAACAATTGGCCGAGCGGTCACCGAGAGTCACCGACCAGTTTGCGCCTGCGGCAGTTTGTACATGCCATGCCTCGGGGGATTCGCTTGCTAGAGCTTGGACCAGGTTGAGAGGAATGATGGTTTGTCTCTGTTGCGGACATTACAGCCCTTGCAGGACAACTGCGATCACAGTCTCAATGACAGAAGTGACTCCAAGAGCGATGCAACGACCGCCCATTACACGAGCGTTCGTACTTATAGAAATGCGCCAGATATTGGTAATGCGGACCGCCAGGGTAAACCCGTTGTGTTCGGGATGTATTGAAAGCTTCCCTTTCTGCACGGAGGTGCAGAATACCGAGATCTCTGTTGCGGCATCAATGATCTGACAGTCTTGAAATCGCAGATTTGCTGCAATTAGTCCCGAACCGCATGCGCTCCGCCAAGCGTAGGACACCGGAAACGAAGGCAGACACCCGGCGACGAGGGGCGGGATCCCGGGCTTTCGCGCGGTCTGCTGCGGCGCCCTCAGCGATCCCGTTACCCACGCATCTACGCTGGACCTGAAGCTGTGCTTCTTCGGCTTCTCGGACTCGGATGGAATTCCTTAGACTGGTGTGCAGTTTGAGCTATGAGTCAGCTAGGTTCGTCATTGATGATCGTCGGCTGCTCGTCAATGACAACTTGAAGAGCGCCCTCGGAGGCTGGGACTGCTGAGAAAACACCGCGAACCCCGACAGCACGCGCTCGAACAAAGTCCCTTGTGCTATGCTTAGAGCCGTGAGAGCCCCACTTCAATGGCAGCGCAGTGCGTGTGTGACATCGTCGTACAGCGGTGAAACTCGTGGCCGACTTCTAATGGAAGTATCAGCACCCAGCATATATTCGTTTCCTGTCATGTGCAATCATCTTCTCATATTGCGACACATCTGTGACGTGGGGGACGCAAACGCACAGCGCATCGAGGGTGGGAAAGTGATTCACGACACAAAGAAGTGGACTGACCAAACTCTGGCATATAGGCCCTGTGAAAACCGACGCAGATTCATTTTGGGCCAGACACATTGTGCAACATTGACGGTTCTGGCCCATGCAGTCGAGCATAGCTGCATAATTTGTCGCGACGAATATATCAGCTTGCACGTCACAGAAGTACAGGTGGCAACCCAGTGTATTCTTCATGTATCTGTAGCATCACGATCAGCTCCATTACAACGCTCGACGACGGCTTCAGCATATCGCATAGCCACTAAGCCTTGGCAGACTCGCAAATGCGAACGACGTACTACAGCTGTTCGGCGTCTTCCATGACGCTGGCTACTGGCACATAGTGACACCGACTTCGATTGTTGCACATCGGGAACACCATGTGGAGTCACTACACATCTTTCTCAGGTGCGGTCCCGATCCCTCGTCGAACACATCATCGACGCCGACTGAACGCCGATACGAAGGCCTACAGAGGCGTCTTGTTTCCGCCATTATCATGAAAATCGAGATGATTGATGACACAACGGAACCGGTGATGCCGAAGGCATCGCTATCCGGGTGGGCTGGACTGGTGAGACTGAAAATCTGAACTCTCGACGGACTGAAAACACAGTGTCGGATATCATCGGCTCCGGTACTGAGTGAATAATAATAGGAGACGGTGGCACGCACCCGGAAACATGCTCGCAATGCAAACCCACCGTAGCATGTGAAGATCGAGGTGTATTTCACCACGCTCTTCAATTCGTGACGCCACGGGATTCATCCCCACGGAAGTGAGGCCGTATGCCGCTGTATGGTCGGTTGTATTTGGCTCGAAACGGGTGCTGCGAGAGTTGCGCGATACTTGGTCGTGAGGAGAGCAAGAGCAAGTACGCCCGAAGTACGCAGTGGCAAACACGCCGCGGCGCGACTAATATCCGGCTTTTGCCGAAATCATTGCCACAATCATCCAGTCCGAGTCGATCGTCACGGTGGCCTCGACGGACTCGGAAGTGTATTCGAGTCTGCTGAGCTCTGCGTTCTTGCATCCCTGAGATCCTGCATCTGCAAGGCAACTGTAAAAAGAACGCCCGACTTTCCCCGTTGTCATGTGAAGCTGTCTCCACGAGCCCCAGCCTGAGGGACTCAGGCTCAAGCGCTGGAACCGGGGCCGACTGGTACTACATGTATGCATGGGTTTGAACGGGATTGCACAGCTTGCACTCATATCTCTCTCTAGCATTTCTGATGCAATGTTCCACACATGTGGCCGACTGCCCAATCTATGCAGCCAAGCGGCGGATTGCGGCAGGCCAACCACGGACACCACGAGAGTATCATTCAGACATTCAGCACTCATGAAGGGCCAAGTCCATTTTGTCCCGGTCTGTACGGTGACCGTGACTTATCATCCAGCATAACGAAGAAGATGACGAATGACTTCGAGTCTAGCGAGGCAAAAGGTTCACTGGTCGGTAAGTCAAACCGCCATCTGAAGGCGACTACGGTCGAAAGAAAACTTCTTTCTACGGTGATATCCCAATACGGCCCTCTGTGACTTGAGCATCGGATCTATCCTACGGTGTGAGGGCGGAGGTCGGCGACATGAGCCTTCCCGTGTGAACGGGCAACCACGAAGGTACACGGAAAAAGGAAGTACATTGTTCCCCAACATACTTCAGTACGTACACAGCACTGATGACTCGTCTATGTCGAGGTATTCAGGATAGATATGCGAGTCATCCAGCAAGAGTACACACCCCCGGTAAATCAGTCTGCAACGATCCGCCTGCGGCTCGCTTCGGCAAGCAGGTCCCTATACAAATCTGCTTCGTCGATGGTGTCCGGATGCGTCTTTCCATTTACGACGGGGACCAGGATGTCTTGATCAACGATGTACACGCGCTGCTGCGGCAGTCCCGCTTGCTCGAGGTTGTCGTGGACGTCTTTGCGCGTATCCTTGATTGTCTCTGGCCTCCGCCCACCGTTCACTCATCGCCGGCCCTCGAAATCTGTCGAATAAGCCTGTCGGTACGTCCTCGTCCTCGTCGTCTGACTCGGACTCCACCAATTCGTTCATGACATTCTGGATATTCTGACCCGCCTTGGAGCGTACAACGTACGCCGGGATCCGCCAGCGGTCGCAATTCTTCAAGATCGCGATGTCTATCTCGGTAAAACGATCACCGTAGACGACGACGATACTATCGAAGATGTATAGGCCTTGCTCGACGAAGTACACCCAGTCGGGAGTGTTCTGCGTGCCGGCACCTGGTACATCATACCAGACGAACGGGTTGTAAGAATTGGAATCGGGGTAGCGTGTGGTCTCCATCGTCGTCTCAGAGGTGCCGGTAGGTGCCGCGCCCCGGTTCTTGTTCCGCAGACCCCTGAGGGCATTGACGAGCGACGACTTCCCTGTGCCAGCCGCGCCAGCGACAGCAAAGTGGAAGAAATCCTCCTTATACCCCAGCTTCTTCTTAGCGGCCACCATCTCGTCGAGCGTCGGCATGCGCATTGGCCTGATGCCCTCGCGAAGCTTCATCTCCGTCATGTCGCGTGCTGCGCGTGCTTCCGCTGCCGCGTTATCCGCCGCCTGTCGCTCCCATTCCGCCTCCTGCTGCTTGGTTGACATCCAGAGCATCTCCTGCACGGCCTCCATACGGTGTAGACGCTCCTTCTCCGCGGCCTCCTCTGCTTTCCTCCTCTGTTCCTCGGCTTTGCGTCTCCCTTGCTCTGCATGTCGCACCGCTGCTTCCGCCGCCTTCTGTGTATCTTCTCTGCCACCCCTCCTGTTCTTCCCGCCTCTGCGCCTCCCTTTAACTGCTCATTATCCTGCCTCGCAGCGGGAGCCGTACTCTGACCATGGGCCTGAGCTAGAAGTTGAGCCTCTGGATCCCGTCCGTGCATCTGGTTGACGCGCCTGGTTGTTTCGTCAAGCACGGGGTTGCGCCGGATATTCCGGGACTTGAAGGCCTTCCGGATGGAGGCCACCAATCCACCAATCCCAGCACCGAGAAGGGCGGCCCCTGCGACGGCGGGGAGCAGATACGCCATAGAGGGGTGCGTTGACGGCGGTGGTTGTGCTGTAAGCAGTGTTGGTGATTCGCCCAGGGCAGAAACTTCATCACTGCAGGTACAGGCAACTTGTCAGCGACGAAACTGCAGGCGGGTGACTTGGGGTGCGTAATCCGCATGGCAGCGGGCATCTATCGCATCTGGAAAAGCAAGCACACTGATGTCGAATCTATCAGATCTTCTCCCGGATATGAGTATGTTCTTGTCACATATGTCGAGACTCGAGCCGTTGGCCGCGTAAGTACGTAGATCAGTGTGATTCATCATTCTGTGAAGTTTATGGATCGTCCCACGCATTAGCGGCGTACCACGCTCCCCAAGTGCATATGTTCCGCCTAATGTCCGTCAGAAACGTACAGTCGATTAATGGCATCGCAATCAGGCGACCATGTATAACTCAGTGCGCAGAGCATGTCGACGGTCAAGCTAAGCGCCCAATTGGCGTTAACGCACGATCGGATCTAGCACGAGCGCTAGTCGAACATGGACACCTTGAGCAGCCCACGACGACCTTCGTCCTACCACCGAAGTTATAGATGCCCTGACCGTGTCCTCAAACCATGCCAACATTCTCTTCTAGCCCGCTCAAAAGTAGCCCTGTACACCGTGTGCTCCGAAAGCACCCTGCGCTCTTCGGCGTGCCGTTCGTTCTCATCATCGTCGGCGCGAGCTTCGCAATGCAGAGCTTCACGCAGACGCGGTACGACCTGCACGACAAGAAAGTTACTCAGGTGCGCTTCTACTGCCCTCTGCCCTGCCCCAGCTCAGGTCTCACGTCTTCCGGCGCGCAGGTGAACAAGGAACAGGAGCTAGGGCTCGCGAAGAGTCGGAAGAAGTTTGATATTCGGGAGGAATACTTCGTGCGTGGTCGTCTATATCCTCATGCTCTCCGGACCTTACAGAATGCTCCGTCCTGCAGCGATTGAGCGCTACGGCGGAGCAGGAATGGGAGCCGAAGCGAATCGAGCGACCGAAGGGCCTCCCGGAATGGGGCGTCCCACCGACCGAACCTCCAAGCAAGCAAGACAAGGCATGAATGCATGACGGATCGCAGTCAGGCTACGCAGCAGCTCTCGGCATCTTGCACTATGTCCTATTATCCTCCATTGCACCGCTCTCGCTCGCACATCACGCACTTCGCACGTATTCACACGCCGGACTCTCCAGAGAATCAGAACCACAGCACGCGCATCACAGCAGGAGGCTTCAAGTCCAATATAATCCTAATTACAGCGACGCCTTAGATCCCTAGGACCCGCGGTGCAGCCTAATACAACACCTTGCTCAATCTCTGCACCGCGTTCAGGAGAATGTCGCCCTGCCGGATCACCGTCTCGTACTGCGCGGCCTTGAGCGGCGGCCGGTTTGTCTCCACGACGCCGTGCACCTTGTCAATCGAGCAGTGTAGCCGGCCCGATGCGATGAAGCGGGAGACCTCGCTGGAGGGGAAAGGGAGTCAGCACGATGTGACGGGGTACGGGAAGATGTACATGAAGGAGAAGGGTCCGGGGATTTGTCCGTGTAGACGAAGGAAAGGGCAGGGATGATGAAGAGAAGGACAGCATGTACGTACTTATCAACAAAATCAACGCTGACACCGAAGCTCCGCGCGAGGCTATCGAGTGTGAGGCTGCGGTACGACTCGAGGAGCTGGCTGTACGCAAGGATGCGCATCTCGCGCACGTAGAAGCGCGTGTGCGGGTGGAGGAGGCGCGAGGGGAGGAGCAGCGTCTGCTCGAGCGTCGCGAGCGCGACAAAGAACTTGTCGTAGTGCGAGTCGTACAGGTTCTTCATTAGGTCCGCGAGCACGGGCAGCTCGGGGAGGACTTGTGTGATGTCGGACGCCTCGATGAGCTGTGCGCAAGTAGGTCAGTCTGGCTTCCCGCTGTACCGAGGGGAGCGCTGTACCTTTTTCTTGAGGTCCACTCGTGTCAGCGTGAGCACGTTCGAGATGATCGTGTATGTCGCGAAGTCATGGTAGCTCAGGAGCTCCGTCGCCGTGAATGTCGATAGTGCGTCGAGCAGAAGCTCGCCTCCTCGCTTGAACTGCCGGATGCTCAGAAGGTGGAGGCCGCGGTAGACCTTGAAACGGTTCCGACGGTCCCAGTCGCCGCCCTTCTCGATCAACCTATATGCCAGAGACGTGAGCAGACAATAGAGGTTTATGTTGGCAGGACACACTCTTCTGCTTCCGAGAGGTGGGAGAGAATCATGTCAAAGTCGCCAAAGAAGAAACCGATGCGGACGAGCGTGAGGACGATGTCTATCCGCGAGCCCATCCCGGCAGTCTTCTCTAATGCCTTCTTTTGCGCCTCAACCGCTTTGTCCTGCAGACGTAAGAGTGAGTATGCTGGAGAAAGTGCACGACACCCAAGGAGAGTGGGCCGGAATCCATTAAGTACTAATCCACGTACCTTCTCTCCGATCCTGGTGAGGAAATTCGCTCGAGCCTGAAGCGCGTCTGCAATGTCACTCTCTCCTTCTGTCTTCTCCGCTTCTTCCAGCCGCTGGTCAAGCTTCTCCAGCTCGACCTTGTTCGCGGCTTCCATAGAGTCGAGGAGGGACTGATCAAGAGGCAAGGGGGATGCGGTGGTCACGGAACGGTAATACGGTGCCATCTCTGTGCGCCACATATCGTCCAAGCATTATGCACGGTTGTGGATGTGAAAATGAGCGACAGAACGGAGGGAGCTCTGCAGGAACGTACGGTCCGCCTGAATGCCCGCGAGGAGCTCCTTCTTCGCATTCTCGTGTAGGTGCGAGAGGTGTGGCTGCGAGAGGACAAAGAGGTTCTGAGGGAGGGAAGAGTTCGGGATGGGGAGCACAACGTCTTCAGGCATGATTACGCGTGTGAGGTGGATACACGAGGGAGGAGGAGATGCTGAGGGCGAACGAGTGATCGACGAGTACGACGCGTACGCTATAGGCGCTCGAGCGCGACGCGTCACCGTCGCGTGCGGTCCCTCTCTCCCTTCAGCCACCCTCGACCTCGCCTACCTTCTATCCCCTCCCACCTCGTTCGAACCTTCGTCCAACATGCCGACCAAAGGAGAGCTGCTTGAACAAGCATCGAAGGCACCACCTGCCCAGGCAGAGGCCATCTTCAAGGAGGTCATAAGTCCGTCTCCGCGCTCTTGTAGTGTCCACGCTTTCGCTGACTTCCGGCCTGCAGCAACACCCATCTCGGAGCATGCAGACATTCCACAGCGGGAAGCAGAGCTCCGACAGCAGGACACTGCGCTGGTGAAGCTAGCGGAGCTATATCAGGCTCAGAAGTGCGCCATGCATCCTGCAAATTATAGCGAAGAAAGCTAACGACTGTCTAGGAACGCGAAAGGTGTCGCAGAAGTTATCACGCTCTCGCGCTCGTTCGTTTCAACAACAGCCAAGGCAAAGACCGCTAAACTCAGTACGTGTCACGCGTACTGACTTGTGGTGTGTACTTACGTGCCGGATAGTTCGGACGGTGCTCGATTGTTTCAACGCCATTCCTGACAGCCAGCAGATCCAAATAGACGTCTTGAGCGAGAACATTCAATGGGCACAGCGAGAGAAGCGGATATTCCTCAAGCACAGTCTGGAGACGCGGCTGGTTGGACTGTGAGTATCAAAAACACTTCTGAATCATATCTTTCAATAACTCGCGCAGTCAACTAGAGATGTCACAGTTCAAGCCTGCTCTGAGCCTCATCGATAACCTCCTAACAGAGCTGAAGCGGTTAGACGACAAGATGATCCTCACTGAGGTGCATCTACTGGAGAGTAGAGTGTACCGTGGTATCGGCAACCTTGCAAAGGCAAAGGTGTGCATCAGCGTTGACGAACATCTGATTCCATTTTGACTTCTGCATCGCCTAGGCCGCCCTTACCTCCGCGCGCACAGCGGCCAACTCCATCTACTGCCCACCACACCTCCAGGCACGGCTCGACCTCCAGTCCGGTATCCTCCACGCCGAGGACAAGGACTACTCAACCGCCTACTCCTACTTCTACGAGACGTTCGAGAGTCTCAGTTCGCAGGACGACCCTGGAGCACTCGGCGCACTCAAGTACATGCTGCTGTGCAAGATCATGCTGAACCTAGTACGTTGCTGTCCCACTCAACCCACTCAACCAACCACTGATGTATGCGTGCTGAACAGCCAGAGGATGTGACAGCGTTGTTGAGCGTGAAATTCGCAGTCAAGTATGCGCAGCTGAGGGATGTAGAGAGCATGCGCGCCGTCGCGCGTGCACATCAGCAGCGGAACCTTGCGGACTTCGAGAAAGCGCTGAAAGACTACCAACAAGGTGCGGATCCCCCGACCATCACCTCTATCAGTCCGTAGCTCACCAGACCACATTACGCGCACAGAGTTGTCCAGCGATCCGACAATCCGGACGCACCTGAGCGCTTTGTACGACAAGCTGCTCGAGCAGAACCTCCTGCGGATCGTCGAGCCGTACAGCGTCGTGGAGGTAGAGTATGTCGCGCAGCAGGTCGGCCAGGGACGGCAGGCGGTCGAGATCAAGCTCTCGCAGATGATCCTCGACAAGGTGTTCCACGGCGTGCTGGACCAGGGCAGGGGTTGCCTGATTGTGTTTGAGGAGTCTGAGGCGGATGTCAGTTCCGTCAGCTATCTAGTTATCAGAGTTCATGCTGACGCATTTGTGGGCGTCGCAGAACACGTATGGAGCGGCGATAGAGACCCTGGAGCAGGTCGGAAAAGTCGTAGACTCGCTGTATGCAAAGGTCAGTGTCTGCTGTCTGCCTGCAGGCGTCCTATGCTGACAAGGTGTCCCCTTTAGACTGTCAAAATCGCATGATGTATGTGGGTAGTTGTCGTGTATAGCATTTCTTCTACGCTTCGCCCGGTATACGGTTAGCGTGCGGCAACTGTGAGTGTGAGTAAGGATGCGCCCATGCCTGTCCTAGGGTCTCATGACCCTGCTTCTCGCATCCACGACTAACCTGTGGCGTACACACATCCGCATTTATGGTTTTTGATGTACGTCAGCGGGACCTCTATATAGGTGGTCTTATCTGCTGGTGACCCCGTCTCTGCTCACAGGCAGGTAGCAACTCGAGCCTACCGGTAAGTGTACTATCTTCATCGGTCGATGATAAAATGCTAGATTCGTCCTGTGTTACCGCAGCCCACCACAGGGATTATGGGCAACGCAGTCAGCGCAGTTGGGAGTGCAGCCAAACGAGCCTTCGAAGCGATCCGCAACGCCTTCCGCTCTGAAAAGATGGAGCCGAACCCTACCATGTCGCAGCTGAAGGTGCTCATACACCAACGTGCGCCAGAGCCCAAGCCCAAGCCCAAGACAGCTGATCAGTCGACCGCGGCGGAGTACTACTCCGAACGGTTCTTTCAGGAACGCATGAATGCACGCGAGACGCTGCGACGAACCGGTCGGGCTGAGCAGGCGGAGGACAGGGCGGAACAGTACTGGAAGGAACGTATGGATGGTCGGGAAGCGTTGCGCCGCGCGCGCCGGGAGCAGCTGCGTGCGGAGGAAATGCATGTTGCCGCCGATAAGGCAGCGCGCGAGGCGGAGCAGCGCCAGCAGAGGCCCATCAGGCCTGTCAAGGTGCCCACCGAGGGAGAGTACGAGGCTGCCAAGCAACTCCTGCAGTACGAAGAGGGCTACATCCACTTCGCGATTGCCGGTGTTGCTGGGAGCGGCAAGTCCTCGCTCCTGAACGCCTTCCTCGGCCGGAGGAATGCGGACAGGGGCGCTGCCCCAACTGGCACCTCCGAGACGACGAAGGAGATCACGCGGTACGCCGACCCCAATCTCGACAACCCCTTCGTCTGGTACGACGTCCCCGGTGCGGGGACGTTGTCCGTCCCGGGCTGGCAGTACTTCAGCGACCAAGCGCTGTATGCGTTTGACGCCATCATTGTCCTGTTCGACAACCGCTTCACGGAGACGGACATCGCGATATTGAAGAACTCGGAACGCTTCAATATCCCCACGTACATCGTCCGCTCCAAGGCGCTTCAGCACGTTCGCAACGTCATGACCGACATCAGTCTCAGTGACTACACTGCTGACGCTGGGAAAGATGGTCGCGACGTGCGCGGGCAGCCGCTTTGGTACGCTGCTCGCGACAAGTTCGTTCAGGACACACGAAGCGATGTCAAGAAGAACCTCAAAGAGGCTGGGCTTCCTGCGCAGCGGGTTTACATCGTAGACAAGGATAACCTTCGACCCATCATCAGAGGACAGTCCGAGCCGAGCCGCGATGACTTTGATGAGTGGAGGTTGTTGAGGGATATCCTTGATGAGGCACGCCGTAGGCGCGTCGTTGAGGATTTCGAGTCTTAACTTTCAGTGTGGCACCCAGTTCAGTGGCGTATGTCGTGTACGATGCAGTTGTGCTTTGAGGTCGTATTCTTGTTCTATGTGTACCGTCGCAGCAGTAAGCACGTCTTGTTGTAACGATGGTTCGTCTGACTTCACAGTAATAACGGCAGTTTCTTCAGCGTAGTCCACGGGCTGTTCGCACCATGGACATGGGACCGGCCATGAACTTCCCGGCGAAGATGAAGATAAGTATAGACGCACAGTTCAAGACGCTGTTGTGACAAGACCATATGGCGGCGCTTCCTCTCGTCTAGGCGCATACCTTCAGAGCTTCTTCAACCTCATACGGCAGCGGTACTGACGGTATGCTCCTTTAAGGTTTGAAACCTAGATATGCTCGTGAGCTGTGAGTACGTTAGCGGGCCGTTCCTGCAGACTCAGGCTGCCCAATCTCCACGACCACCCTCCATATCTCTCCCACCAAGTCGTCGTTGCCTACGGCAAAGCTGGTCTCCCGGTGCGTAACATACATACATAATGCCTGAATAGATGGTCGCTTATACGTTCTGTAGCTTAAGCGGTTGAAAGCTCAAGGCATGGGTACTGCATCCAGCAGAGCCATCGTCGATGTCGATGCCGCTCGGTCCGAGAAAATGGGGCCGAACCCTACGTTGGTGCAGCTAGAAGAGCTGATCAACGAGCAAATCCAGGAGCGCCGCGCGGAGTTGATTTTGCCACGAAAGAGGCGGGGGCTGCATAGGCTCATGACGCTGGCAGAGCAACCAACAGTTGCAGGCCATGAAGGTCGTATCCTTGGAGTAATGCAGTCCCAGCTGCCTCCTAGATCCATTCGACCCGTGGAAGTACCGTCCATGGACGAGTACATAGCCGCTTGTGTGCGTCTTGGGTACGAGAAGGACCTCGTCCACTTCGCGATCGCTGGCGCTACCTGGAGGGACAGGCTCTCGCTCCTGAACGCCTTCCTCGGTCGTAGGGATGCGTACAAAGGCGATCCGGACCCCTCTGAGACCACAGCGATCGGCACACATCGTTTTACCAGCCGCGACAACCTCGTCGTCTTCCACCTTATCCCCACCTTGGAGACGCTGTCAGTTCCGAACTGGCGATTCTTCAAGGACAAGGGGTTCTACCTCTTTGATGCTTTCGTGGTCTTGCTTGACCAGGAAGGCTCATTCACGAAGTCGGATCTGGCCATCCTAGAGGGCTGTGCGCATTTCGACATACCGTCATACATCGTCTGTGCAGGCGCGCACACTGACCGTGTGTTGACCACCCTTGGTTCCAGTGCCAATGGCGCAAGGAGCCAGCGGATCAGGACCGGTCATAATAACCCGGCATTCTCGCAGAACGCTCGTAGTCGCTATATGCGATCCACCGAAGCGGCTGTCGAGAAGGCGCTGAGATACGCCGAGCTTCCAGCACAGTCGGTCTACTTCGTCGAGGAGTCCACTCTCCACGATATCATCAGCGGCAAAGGGTGCTGGCAGTGGCTAATCAGCTTCAGAAAAACCCTTTACGCTACCATCAAAGGTCTCGGCAGGCAGGCTACCAGGAGAGAAACGAAGCCAATGCCCGGCGTTGCTAATTTTGACGAATGGGAGCTATTGGGAGATGTGTGCGAAGATGTACGTTGCAGACGTGTGCTCGGTCATGACTCATGGACAAACACGGGCAATGTCCTCCTCATATCTATGAACCACTAACGTTCTCGTCTCCGGGTACTGCATCCACACATGGCACGTTATGTACAATTGTCGCGGTGAAGCGGAGGTCAAGCGTTTGTACAGTAGCATCGATTTTTCCAATTGACCGAGTCTGCTCGACACATGGGCAGGGCCGAGCTGGTGCGACGGTACATGTATGTCACTTGTCGTTTGTGACATACAAGTACTAGTCCGAATGCTCAGTCAGTACTCAGCACTCAGTGCTAGCAGTGTGGGGGACCTTATAAGTAGTAGTATGTACCAGACAGACGGAACGGGAGCGCCCACCACCGTGACATGCCAATTACCTCCTCTCAGGTATTAGGCTAAGTTACCAGTGCGGCGGCACGGCTCTGTACAGTATTGCTGCAGTACTTCACTTGCGCAGCCTCCATCTAAGTCTTCGAACCTTTTCGGGTTCATTCACGCCCGTTGTGCGCGATTCGGACCAGACCGCCTCCACTGCGATCGTATATATAAACTCGGAAGGCCGCCCCCGCAAGTGCAAGCACTCATCATGCGTATCCAACCACTTCAACGCCCAACGGATCTGGAGGCTAAGTACTACTATCAAGTCCTTCACAATGTACTCTCACTCTTTAGGAGCCGTGGCAGGGAATGAACTAGCCGTTCTAGTAACGCCCCAAGCTGATGCATAGATGCATAACATACTCCTCATTGCCCGGTATCCGCCTCCGACTCCCAATATTATCAAGGGAATCTACTACGCCGTGGGCCTTCGCAGGTGAGGAATCAGGATGTACTATATATGGCGGCATGGACAGTATACGTAGGTCCGTTTAAGGTTCAGTGAACAACCTTAATATGAGTTGCGACTCCGCAGATTCAGGGTGCGTTATCTCCCCGAGACTCTCCACATTCAAGCTCGTTCTATCTCACCACAAGCAGTACCCATAGCAAAGGCGATCTTTCTGTACGTCCGTTGCAGGAGGCCTCACTGGCAATGGTTAATCACTTACACGTTATGCCAGTGAGAAGCCCGGCCCAAAGGATGGGTAGTGCATCTAGCAGAGCCATCGTCGACGCCGCCTGCTCTGAGGAGATGGGGCCGAACCCAACTTTAGAGCAGCTGAAGGAGCTGATCGTAACGCACGCCCGGGGACGCAGCGCCCGGGTGACATCGCGTGGAAGGCAGGGGCAGCGAAGACTCATGGTACTGGCAGAGAAACCACGAGGAGTAATCGAGGGGCTTGAGGGACAAGTCTTTGGGATGTGGACATCGCTGCCTACCCGATCTATTCGACCTGTCGAAGTACCGACAGTGAGCGAGTTCGAAGCCGCATTCGTGCGTCTGGGGTACAAACAGCACCTCGCCCACTTCGCGATCACCGGCTCTACCGCGAAGGACAGGCTCTCGCTCCTGAGCGCCTCCCTCAGTCGTAGAAATGCGCACAAAGGCGATCCGGACATGATCAGCACCTCCGTGACCACAGCGGCTGGCACACATCGTTTCACCAGCCTCGACCACCCCGTCGTCTTTCACCTTATCCCCACTTTGGAGAAGCTGTCAGTCCCGGGCTGGCAATTCTTCAAGGACAAGGGCTTCTATTTCTTTGACGCATTCCTGGTTTTGCTTGACCAGGAAGGCTCATTCACGAAGTCGGATCTGGCCATCCTAGAGGGCTGTGCGCACTTCGACATACCGTCATACATCGTCTGTGCAGGCAAGCACACTGATCGTTTGTTGGTCGCCCTTTTCCCGGATGGCTCGAGGAGTCAACGGGTCAAGATCGGTCAGAATTCGGCGTTGTGGCAGAACGCTCGTAGTCACTACATGCGACCCACGAAGGAAGCTGTCGAGGAGGCGCTGAAGGACGCCGGGCTTCCAGCACAGCCGGTGTACTTCGTCGAGGAGTTTGTTCTTCACGCTGTCATCAACGGCAGCGGAACGCAGGTTGGCTCTGGAGAGGCCAAGCTGCCGCGGGGCAACTTTCATGAATGGGAGCTATTAGGAGATATTTGCGAAGATGTACGTCGCAGACGGGTGTTGAATTTTGACTCCAGTAGCGTAGCTGAAGTCACGCCGCTCCTGAAGTCCAGGGATTGATGGTTTCGGGCTATGTATACAGTTGTAACGTTTCGTCGCACGCGCAATGATTGAGTAGGCAAACATTTGTATAGTATCGGAACCAAGAGTACAGAGTTGCTCCCGAGGCCTACACCTGAATGATATTGACATGATCTAGTCAGGTGCGCGTCACGGCCTCTACTACGAGTGACAAGAATGCTAGAAACCTGACATCCCTGCAGTCAGCACAAGCAACCATGCGCGACCGACCACTTCAGCGTCCAACGTGTCAATGTTATAGCGCAATATCGGGTTGACTTACGACGCTATCCTTCGCGTACCCTCGCAATTGCGCGGCGAGTGAGTCGGCCATCCGTGCTCGGCCATCATGATGCCAGAAGCCAATGCATAGACGTCGAACATACAGTAATAGACATACCCGCAATGCCCAGGGATCCAAATATCACCCAGCGACGGGGCCGCACAAACAACATACGCCGAGTAGGGAGGCTCTGATATCGGGTAATCAATAAAAGCCACACTCGAAGTCGACAGTACGCACTAATAGCCCCTTTATAAGAGCGCGACTCCGTCGCTGCCCATGGCGACCAGTTGGGCATGGGAGAACGGCTGCCACTGCCACCCTACGCCTTTCTTCTGCAGATGCCCCATGAGAGGGAAGGGAAAGCCAGGACGGGGATGCCGGTAAACGAAGCCATTCTCCGCCGCCCACCGCAGCGGCGCCAGCCAATCGCTACCGTCAGCTTGCCGCATAGCACTGGCTTGAAGAGGTGACACATCGTAGTCGGGCAGCGCTTGCCACACCACGAAGCCGTCGTCGTCGGCCACCCAGAGGATGTGTACGAACCCTAGGAAGCCTCTCCTGGCCCGGTATTCGTCTCCTTTCAAGCTAAACCAATGCTCCATGCGTCCTCGTAGGTGGGGATATCGCTCGCAGGCGGCGGGTATGCGCAGGAACTCGGTGGAATCAACGCGATATGACCGACTGGGATTGCCGCCGCAATCGTTCCGGTACGCCAGGCTGATGACGACATACTCGCCCAAGTAGTCGAACGTTCCGCGTCGTCCGCGATGATGCGTAGCGACGGGGACGATCTGTTGCACTATCCTTGTGTGAGCGTCTAGGAAGTGCTCGAGGAGATGGAGCCGAGACTCGGCCGACGGTACATCTGCAGTAGTCGTCGACTGTGACGCTGTGCGGATGGCGCGGATGCGCGCCATGTTGTACGCCACGTCCGAGCAGGGAAGTCTGCGGATGGATGTGAGACGACGCAAAGAACCATGGATGAGTCGTACGCACTGATGCGACTCCCAATCGTCTTGCTGGCAAACTTGACTGCAGTATGTTGTTCGCTTGCAGCGTTTGCACACCAGATAGTGTTGTCCTTCCTTGGGCACGAGCCCGCATGAGCTACATGCAGGTGCCTTGTCGCTCGCCGACGCGATGTCAGCGGCGTGAACGAGGGACTGGGAGGAAGACATAGGAACGACAGATGCCGGCTCCAAAGTATCTCGTCCGCGGCCTACTAGTTAAGTTGTGCGGCGCCGACATTAGGCCTGATCGAGACGGAGTGCTAGGTCTAGCGCCCAGAGCGTGTGGGGCCCCAGCTGGCCCCTGTCCTGGGACTGGACACTCATATGCACTCGCCCAGCCACTTTGTCGGGTATGCCTCCTATTCGTAGAGGCTCGAGTCGACCAAAGGGGCTAGTTCGGTGAATCAGGTGGGCCGTGCGTTGGGGCCTCTATCGAAGCGCAAAGTAGTGGTTCATGCGCAGCCTTGCGGTACTGTCATCGTGATTAGGCACTTGTCAGCTCGGTCGGATATGACCAGCAGGAAATGAGACATCGTACTGCGTATCGTCGATTCTCGCTATACGTTCTAGAGGCACCGATGATTCTGGTGCAGGCGGTAGCGTGGCAGGGAGAGTGAACGTGATGACCGACAATGACGTAGTCTATGTCGACGCGGAAGAACGTTACACTGTACTTACCAGCTGACCTGGTTGATGTATTAGCGCTTCAGTATTGGCAAAGACATGCCTGCGATGACGCTGTGCCTGATATCTGAGGCCTCTCGGGTGCGGGAATTGACAGAATGGAAGCTCGCACTACCGCAACTGAGTACAGAGCGCATGGCCGTGCACAATCTTTTCTGACACTGTCTGGACAGTCGCTACGAGAAAACGAAGCGAAATAGTAGACACCCAGGTTATGGATGTGTTCTACGGATCGCCACCAAAGAGAGGTGAATGAGTGGAAAGTGCGTCGTAAACATGAAAGGCCAATAACTCACCTCGGCAGCGGTCATGGACTCTGTAAATCCGGCCTGGGCAACTCAAGGACGAGAGGAAGGAGAGACATCTCGGAGGCTTCCGATCATCTATGCAGTAGTAAAGCCTCCGTAACCTGAATTTGGTACGGGACTCGAAACTGAACAGTGAACCGCATCGTGAACCGCACACGGGACCTGCCAGATGAGGACTACTGTGACGAGAAATATGCAGCCCCAGCAAGTTCCGACCACTTCTGCATCAGTTCAGGATGTTGTGGGGATGCAATAAAATGTACGAGAGGCCTCCGAAGTATATTCCTTTACCGCGGCTCCCCATGAGAGTTGGTCTGATATCGTCGGTAGGCCCGGGAGCGGTCATAACAAAGATGAGTCATATGCAAGGATAGTTACCTGCATGCTGCTAATATGTAGCTAGCACGGGCTGTACGGTGAGTATATGCGCTGTGAAATCCCTGAAGAGCACTGAGAGAGAGACAGGGACGAGAGAGGAGGTGAGACACGGCTTGCGTGGTGGCGTTCTTCGCGCCACAGGCCACTAGACCCTGCCATTCCGATACTTACGTTCCCATCGGGTCCGTAGTCCGCTGTCCCGACGGAGAACAAGACGATATGGCACCGCCCGACATTGTGTAGGGAGCTTTGCAGTTTCTCCCGGCCCCGCTGCGATGCTGCAGAACCATCAGGTGGCGCAACATCGTCGTACAGCCCGCAGTCAAATGGGTCTGAGACCGGTGATACCAGCGGCGCATCATACCAGTTCGCGGCGGAAGCAGGTGGCCGTACGTGGGACGCAGTACACATTTGTATACGCGCTGTACCGGGAGGAAAGACAGGCCATGATTCGGAGGGGCCTTGGGATGCAGCATCGTTCGCCAGTGACAGAACGCGCGGCCTACAAATTCAGGGCGCTATGCTCTGCAGTTGCGCAGACAAGACAAGACCTCCCGCGAGCACCAGCAGAGAAGATCAGACACATGGCGAGGGCCTGGAAGAGTATGATCGTGACTGGAACGTTGGCAATGGGAGGGATCGGCGAATTCCAAATTCATAATGAACTGCGCCCTCTTGATCGCGATTTGATGAAGGCCGACGTTCGCCCGACGTCGTGCAGTAGTCACTGAGCCCTTCGTATCCCAGACGGTGAGAAGAGGGGTCTCCACATCTTGTTGCGGCCACCTTGTTGCAGGAACGCGGCATGCCTTGATCCCAGCCTCGGGGGTGGCGGCGAGTGCAACATCAAGCAAAGTTTGATCTTCAAAGACCCAAGCACCGAAGCTGTCGGGGCCAGCGTTCTCCGTCGCGAGCCAAATCTTGGTCCGAGTCCAAGGACAGCCATACGGACTTGGAGGTGTGATGCTTGCGAAGGGCCTTGCCGGTACACAGATCCCGCTTGCAGATGCTGTACACTTTGTGCGAACGACAGGTTCATAGCAATCCAAGTGACACCGGTTGCCAAGACGCATACACCGACTCATCGAGCCCGTAGATCCCGGACAGCGAGACGACCGAGTAGTGCGGTGGCAGTGCACGCATGAACACAACTTGAAGGGGACAGGTTTTGAATGTAGGCGAGTATGACAGCGCTGGGAGACGATGATGGTCGTAACCAGATTGAGGCCAACGAGTCAGGACTTCCGGGCAGCCTGAAGGCGTTGAAGACATTAATGTAAGCGCAGCGCAACGGACAGCATCCCGAGAAACGTTGACAGGAGTGACGCAGGTACCATAAGTAGCAGGGCCGTACGAGACAGCTGCTGTGGCGCACAGGACCGGCCGAATGCATCAAGTTCAATAGAGTGCTTTTGGGGGCGATGTGACAGCCGCACCGGCAACTCTGTGAACCCAACCGGTGCAGCCTCGTGCTGGGAGCGGGCGCCGCCCGTGTGTCGTTTCTCGCGGTCTGCTCACCGAAGGCGACGGCGCTAGCTCCAGTCCGAGTTCCGTGAGTTGTCACGGCCCATGAAGGAGAGTTCGGGCGACGAACTTACGAAGGCATGCCATTCGGATCGAGGGTTTCGAATATCAGTGGACGGACAGTGGTGGACGGCGGACGTGAGCCAATCGCGCAGGTTCCGAATTGACAGGCCCCTGCATGCCCGCGCACGCTGGGGTCGTCTGACTTGGCTCCGAGTCACCATGCCTGCGTTCTGACTGTGCAGGCCGCGGCGCGAGGCTTCGGTGGCATGATGGCGACTCCCGCATCACGCCACGACCACGGCGAGTGGAAGGTGGGCGAGCGAGGGGACACGCGCGCAGAGGCCAGCCGCCGTGCTGACGAGGCTGCCGCGAGCCCGGAACTCGCGTCAGGATGAGTGTGCGCCGCTCAGTCACCGCGCACGCGCGAGCCATCGCAGCTTCGTCGCCCCATCGCACGCCGGCGGGACGCTGACAAATGCACCATCACTCAGCCGCGCCGCGTCACGCCCGTCACGCTTTGTCAACCGTCCTCAGCGGCATCCTCAGCGTCGTCCACCTGAGCCTCCCGCGCCGTCCCGACTCCCGACCATCCGATCTTTTGTTCTTCAGTTTTCCGCACTCGTCGGCCGCGGGCGAGCCGGGAGTCCACCGAGCCCACGCGTTGGCCGACTCGACGCCGACGCCGCGGCGACGCGCAGCGCCGAAAATAGTGCTGCCACCTCATCTCAGATCTGAATTTTAGCCTCTCCCCGGCCAAGCCGGGTCCGCTCCGGCGTACCTCAATGAATCAGGGCCGTTCGCTCCCGATGTCGAACGTTTGTCGCTCACAAGACGGAAAATTTGCGTGCGGTTACAAGGACAATTATCGTGTTGTGTTGTCATGATCGATCTAGGTACAGACAGTGGCTGGTGTTACAATGCAGGTGAAACAAGCAAGATCGGTATGCGTACAGTACAGGGGCCCTCCGGGGGATTATGCAGTATGTAATGTAGAGGGAGGGGAGCGGCTTCTAGAGTACGTGGAGCAATGCAGGATGCGAATGTTGCTGGGCAGCTGTGCGCTGGCAGAATGCGAAGTGAGAACGAAAAGAATAGATAGCTATAACGAGCGTGCGTCTCGCAGCAGCCTTACGCGCTGCGCACTTAATTTTAGGATCGAAGAGTATGAATAGATAGGATGCAGATGCAGGCTCATACAAGCACTTGCGGCGCATACGCCGCGGTGGGCGGAGCGAGGCTCGGATGTACCTGCAGTGGCCGGCACGCGCCCGACGGACAGCGCTGCCTCGTCTGCGAAGCCCCGCGCGCGTGCATGTTGAACGGAAGAGGGAATGCGTGGAGGAGCTGCAGCGCCGAGGACATCCGGTTGTGGCCCGAGCTGCGCGGCTGCGCAGACGACTCGGACTGCGTCCGCTGCACCTGCTCGCCCTGCGGCTGCTGGGAGCGCTGCGCGTATTCCTGCTGCACCGCCCGCGTCTGCGGTCGCCAGTCGAGCTCCATTTCGTATGATGGTGGCTGTGCGTGGACGTGCGCAGGCGTTGGTGAGGGGAGGACGACGTACTGTGGCGCCGGGGCGACGGCGGACCCGAGTGAACGAGCATGCTTGAGTGGGGCGGAGACGGGCGCGGGAGCGTAGATGGGTACGTCGGCGGCGTGCGCGGCGAGCCGAGCGTGCCGGACGACGCCGACCGTCAGAGTCCATGTCGACGTCCGTCGAGTCCGAGTCCGAGCTCCAGCGCGACGCTGGGCGGGTGCGCACGGGCGACGGCGCGGCGCGGATGTGGTGGTGGTGGGAGGGGTGCGAGATGGCCATGATGGCGGCGTGGTGCGCGAGGACGTCCTGCTCGGACACGCCGAGCTCGAAGTCGAGCACGTCGAGGAACTCGCGCTCGATGCGGCCGATGTCGCGCTTGCCGAAGATGCCTGTGCAGAGCGCCCAGTGCACGTTCTTCAGCGTTGAGTCGTTCGTGTACTAAGTGGAGTAATGATCATCAGCATGTGTCGGAAATGAAGGGGCGGAAGGAGATAGCGTACCTTGTTCGCAACGATGAGAGCGCCAAGGAAGACACGCTCGCAGGCCCACTGCTCGAGGGCGATCTGGAGGTGTGGCTTGGCACGGTCGATGTAGGCGAGGGTGACGAGGAGGGCTGGGACCTTGATCTCTGCCTTGTGGATCACGTCCGCGACGAAATTGGTGAACTTGGCATTTTCTGAATGCCGCGAGAGGGAGCGACCTCGTGATGAGATGAGGGACGACCCAGGGAGTAGTCGACAGTCTCAACGACGGTGTCTACGATGTGCTCTGTGGAGGTGTGAGGGGTATGATCTACATGCCGAAAGAGGAAAGGACTGACCGATGAGGTTACGAGACAACTCGACCTTGATGAGCTGGAGAAGGGCTGGGTTGTGGAGGGAGGGGTCCACGAGGGACGCTTTGTGCACGGGAATGGCCATCTGGATGCGGGACGAGGAGGGGAGGATGCAGGGGAGGCGGGGACTCGGGGCGCAGTGGGTTCATGGCTGGACGGAGGACGTATTATATGGATCGCAGTGGGAGGGCCCGGGGAGGCTTGGAAAGCGGTACGATCTAGATCGGCGCCGTAGGCCGCAGAGATTGCATGTGGCGGGCGTAAGCAGCCGCCTCGGATGACTGGATGACTCTCCTTCTCCGTCACACAGGCGCCCACTCATCCGCCCCCAACGCACATCCCCAGGCGCCCGCCGCGTCACCCAATCGGCCGCTCGTCCCATTTGGTACCCGCTTCCCCGAGTCACACCGAGTCACCCTCCTACCGTCACCCGTCACTCCTGCCCGCCATTGGCTCCCCCCTGCCGCCGTCCTCGTCCGGCGCACGCGTCCACCACTGTTCGGATGTCCCTGCCTGCTCCGTTCACGACCTCTTCGTCGGCCCTTCGCATCGACGCCGCGACGCAGACGGTGGGGCGGCTGGACCCCGTCCGATGTCCCGTCTGGGCTCCTGCCACATGCTTCGATGCTCACTCTGCGTGCCTCGCCCGATCTGGAATTTGCTACCGCCACCAGCAGCGAAGGCGATCCTGCGTGCTATTCCTTGACACCGCCTATCGTCCTCGTCTATGTCTGCTATCTATCACACTCTGTGTAGCCTGGAACTCTGCCTGCGTTCCAGGCCTCCTGCCCATCGCTTTCACATGCTCCACGCACCCGAGTAACTCGGAATCATTCGAACGCACTCATCCGCAGGGAGAAGCAGGGAGCACCCGCGGAATGACGCCGTCACGCCAGTCCTGCCATCCGGTTGCGATTTTGACCACCCGGATGTCTCCCAGCCCGTCGTCATATCGCACTCGACGTTCTCCAGGCAATTCCATCACTGATCCCACGACAAGCAGACTATGCACCTGGTAATGTATCGATATTCCCTTCCATCCGTAATGCACTGTGCGTGCGCACAATTTTCTCTCTTCCTCCGTGTCTCTCGCCACGCTTCGCAGCCTTCTGTCGTCGGCTTTCCTCCATTCTCATCCGCGCACAAAGGCCCCCATCCCGATTTCCGCGGTGCACTCAATTAGGCACCGACCTAACACCACCTCCCTCGGCCCCCGCCGATCCCACACGCTCCGCGCCCAACAGGGAGGCATCTCCGCGCCACAACTCTCAACCAGCCCCCGCCGCGCCCCAATGTCACTGTCAGGCCGGCGAACGCCCCAGCGTACCTACCGACGAATGTCCATTGTCCAGGACGTCCACCATCAGTCCACCATTCAGACGTGTCTGTGTCCGGTGCTCGCTGATCGTCGCCGCCACCGTGACCTGCCTTCCCTTCGATTCCGCCGGCGCTCCTGGCTTGCGGCCATCCGAGTCGGGCAGCGATCGTGACAGACGTCGGGCGTGACGGCGAGCCCGCGGAGGTTTTGGACAGATGGGGCAGGTGCACCTTGGCGATGCCGGGCGCAGCGGACGTCCGTATTGACGCGACACACTCCCGCAGTACGCCTCTACTTAGCGATTCCTGTACTGTTGCATTCAAGACAGTTATTTGACACCGGCTATAGTGAGCGCGGATGGTGTGCACCGGTGTGGCTGCCGTAGCCCGCGCTGTGACCTTTTTGCGCATCTGTTGATCGCTAGCGTGTACGACGCGCCGGCCGCGGGCTGTCGATGGTCGGTAGGGTCGTCTCCCGGCCGTCCAGGACGAAGATGAATAAAACATGTTTTACTTTGCTTTTAGTTGATCGTTCATCCAGGGCGTAAAGCGCCGGGGCGCGCGAGACGCGCGTGTACATCCTGCTAGTCTTTGATGACACCCGCTGAGCGGTTTCTACGTACCGGTGAGTGAGCCTCATCGATTTGCTTCTCGTCGGCTTGACTGTCCAGTCATGATGGCCTGTGTACGATGATGTTCGTCCACGCTTCATGCTGGCTGGTCACTGATCGAAATCTACCTTGCTGTAATCACAGAGGGCGGCTGCGCAGTGTCATGCAGCCTACTACGGGCTCGTCCTTCCGAACCGCGTCGGACTCGTAGAGGTCCGCAGGATGCAAAGCTCGGCTTCAGAGTGGCATCAAGCCCGGCCGGCACGGCAACGGAACGAATTTGGTGATGGCGCCCACAACGCGATTTAGGCTGGCTTGAGCGCCCGCTAGCTCTCCGCGCGCGCGATCCCATCGAGCCCTCGCAACGTCCCGGTCTGGGGAGCGTGTCGCTCTGTGCGACGAGAATGCGCGTTGTAAAGGGCGACTCGGAGCGGTTGCATGCCCAGCGAGAGCACGCCAAGGTACGAGAGGTCCTGGCAGGTACCCAGCTGCCTAATTTGCCGGCGATGAATAAGATCTCATCTGACATCGGGCGTAAGGATCGGGGACTCTCGTCCACGTGCACGAGGCCGGTGCGCGACGCGTTGACTGCGCCGCGGTCGGCGCGCAGGCGCTTGACGGAGTGCAGCGTGCCGTACCGTGACCGCGCGTTCGAGGTGTACGAGTGTATACGCGTCACATTGCACGGGGAACACGTATGTACGCAGCTGCGGTTGTCGACGGACGTTCGTATGACTGCGACGGCTCCCTTCGAGGACGTTCGCCCAGGTGCTAGTAGGGGCCCCCGCTCAGCAAGGGCTTCGCTCGGAGTCTTGCTAATACTGCAACTCGGTCACCGTCAGCTCGCACTCAAGCTGAGCAATCATCCCCACCCACTCATTGAACCATCCCGAACCCCCCTCGCGCATCGGGCCCAACGATTGCGACTTGTTCGTCGATTACTCATCCTCCTCGAGTGAGACCATCTCCCGCCCCGCCCTGTGATCGCCCAGACCGGTCACAAATCCGAGATGGGGATTCGCAGTTTGTTTGTCAGCCGTGGCGCCTGCGCGGAATGGGCGGCTAAGCGATCTAGATACGAATTGTAGGAAGGCGCGCGGGCGCTTGACGGTACCCGACATAGCGTCCTTTTTGCTGGTGTTGGACGATACGCCCAGGCCTGTTACTATGCATAAGACCGGAGAGCGTCAACAATTAACTAGTCCATCCGGAAATGAGATCCTGTCTTTGATAATTATCGATGAACGGCGAACTGATCCACCCCGAGGCGGGATCGTTAGTAGGTACTGGTTATCTACCTTGGTCTCCTCGGTGAGAGCATCTCAACAATCGAACCAACCACACTGTGATCACACACTCAATCCGTCAAATACGGTGTTTACGGGCATACGTGTGACATTCGTGACATGAAAGACATACAATATTAGTGGATTACTTGATGAGTGGAACACGGCGAGGACGAGTAAACCACGCCCTCGCAAGAATGGAGAGTGTCCGCACGACTGTGCACCGATCTACAGGAACCTACACCACACCGGCACTGATCGCTTCATGCGTCCGCCTGAGAACGATTGCCTCCATCAACCTGAATGAGGGGCTACAGTCTCGACCGTGTCACCCGCCCATCACCCCACCCGGGTCCACCACCCACCAGCAACCCCACAGCGACACCATCAGCCGTCAGCCCTGGCCGAAGCACACTCCTATCTCGTCGGACGCACACCACGTCGTCCCTCGTTGCAGCATCCCGCCGCCGACCGCAGGCCCAGAATCCGCGAAAACGCCGCCTGGCCCACTCAGGGCGCGGAAGAGTTCGGCGCAGTCCCCGGAGCAGGTGTCGCACCCGCACTCCCCGTGGGCGCGGTCTCCTTCGCCTTGCCCTTGTTCGTCTTGCTGCCCTTCGGTCGCCCGCGCGGACGCTTGCCCGACGGTTGACCGTCCGCGCCTGAGGTGTCCTCTGCCGCGCGCTTGTTGGATGTGTTTCCCTTCTCGGTCTGGAGGCGGAGCTCCTTGAGGTACCTGCACAGCAAGACGTCAGCTTGACGGGCCTCCGCGATCGACTCGGAACGAGCCGTTGTGTGGTAATGGGATGTCAAAGGCGAGATGGTAAGAGCATTGACAGGGAGAAGAGAAGCAGGTACGGGTGGAGTGCAGAGGGGAGGAGTGCACCGGGAGAAAGGACAGTGATACGAAATGAACGTGCGGAGCGATCGACTGAATGGACACTGACTGCGTTGATTTCTCTTCTAATGTTTGTTGCAGGCTAGGCAGGGGCGCCTGGCCGAGCTCTTGCCGCAGTCTGTCGACGTCCGCTTTCGCGGTGGCGTATTCGGTGTCGCTGAGGGCCTGGATCTTCTGACGCAGGTCCGCGCATCTATAGTGGGGTGTGAAAGTCAACATCTGACATGACATTTGGGGATCTGCCACTGCGAATTTGTGACAGATAGCGAAGGGCGGCGGACAACAACATAGGTGGTTGGGGATGCTATCAAAAGGCAGAAAATGGATGGGGTGCAAGGGAGGTGGTACGCACTCCTTGTTCAGCGTCGCTTCCATCAGGTCCGCCTGACGGATCGGAGTAAGTTACATAGTTTCAAGGCACATATTGGACGTTGGACCTTGTCTCGATCTTCGTTCACCTACAGAATCGGTGGGATTTCAATGCGGCGTGGACAGGCATGGCATCGAAGTGCTAACCTCGCGAAGACAGTTCAGCAATCTAGCCCTTTCACTCTCCAATCTATTCAATGGCAGTCATGAAACACTGACAACTGCGAGATCTGAATAACAGCAACGCACTTGTTCTTCTGCTCTTTGACATCTTGAATGGCCTTCTGCTTCTGGTCTAGCGATGCATGCGCCGACAGTATATGTGCCGTGTGGAGCTGTAGGGTGAGCGCATGTTTCCTGCGTGACAATGGCGGTTAGGACCTTGCTGCGACATCGGGGGTGTAAGTCGGGGACCGCGGTAGCTCAGACCGCGTGTGCGCAGACGGCGGGCGAAGTCACGACCGGACGAGCAGTGGCACTCGCATACTCGGAAGACGCGAAAGCACCGTGCGCCGGACCAGGATGCGCACGGATCACGCAGTCAACGCCGCACCAGTCTTCAGGATTGATCGCGACGGCGAACGTCCCACCGGTGTCGAGCGGGCATGAACGCATTCCGTATGGACCCGTCGCACACATCGACCGGGCATAGATCGTCCGAGGACACAACCGG